AATATAACTAACAAAAAAATTCAAAGAAAATTGGAATAATGTGGCAATGTCGCATCGAAATTTCAAAAATTAACTGGGGGGTGCTTCTAAAATGGCGGATTAACTCTCCGCTACGCTCTTAACAATCAACTGGTGAGTCAAGAAAAATATTAAAAAAATTCCTTCTCACATTTTGGTAAAGTTATAATACCGCAGTGTACTATTTTGGGAGCCCATGGAGATTTTTTTTGTAAATTATTTAAAACAATTTTGGGGTTCAATTTTTGGAAAATTCTGACCTGACCTATTTTTGAGTTAATTTTGGGACCCAGTTTTTTCTTTTTTTTTTTTCTTGAAAAATTTGAAACACTTTTGAGATTCTAAGTATTCCTATTTGGAAAGAATTTGAAAGTGCTTTAGAGCCTCTAGTCTCTTTTCTTAAAGAGTATATCATTTGCCAAAATCAGTCTTAACAGGTTCTAGCCGCACCCACCCACCCTCTATTTCCTGAGAGGGTATCTCATTTGCCAAAATCAGTCTCATCTTAGCAGCTACTAACCCCGCCCACCCACCCTCTCTTTTCTTAGAGGGTATATCATTTGCTAAAATCAGTTTAATCTTCGCAAGTACTAATGACTAACTTTTACAAAAAATGATAAAAAATTTGGAAACATTACGAGCTCACTTTATATGCACAAAACAGGAATTTTGAACATCTCTAGTGTTTAGTTAGGTATTATAACTACAAGGGCTTACGTTTTGCTCTTTTTTCTTAATATGTGTAGTCTTCTTTTACAACAAGAAAGGTAAAACATGTTTAAAATGGTAAATTTTTGTAAAAAAAGTATCGATTTTGCAATACAAATGAAAAATTCGTCGCAATTGAGCTTGGGATGGTTATGGGTGAAGCTTAATTTTTGACTTGTTTTTTTCTTAATACTTATACATAGTATTCTTTGAAGAACACGATACTCCAAAACATGTTTTGTATTTCTTGCAGAGAAATAAGAATTTTACAATTAAGCTCCGCCCCTTTGGCTCACAACGAATAAAAAAATCGTCGCAACTGAGATAGGGCGGGTGGACGAGTCTTATATTTTGCGATTTTTTCTTAATATTATTTTCTTTCACAACAAGAAACTTAAAACATGTTTAAAATGGTAAATTTGTATAGAAGAATATCGATTTTGCAATTACACTCCGCCTCTCGGTCTAACAACGAATTGAAAATTCATCACGATTGAGATCGAGACGGATGGGTAGAGCTTCAATTTTGGTTTTCTTTTTTAATTAACACATTTAATTTTCTTTGTATAACATGATTACTTAACCTTAAGAACATATTTCACATGGTAATTTCTCGTACAAAAATAAGGATTTTACAATTAAGCTCCGCCCCACAGCTTACGACAAATAAAAAAAAACATCAGAATTGAGATAGAGCGGGTGGGCGGGGCTTTCTTTTTCTTAACATACATAGCCATCTTTTCACAACAAGAAACTTAAAACAATGTTAAAATGGTACATTTTTGCAACGAAATATGGATTTTGCAATTATGGGGCGGAGTCGAATTGCAAAATCGATATTTCCTTATCCATATTTTCCATTTTACACATGTTTCAAGTTGGGAAAAAAAGTCTACACTTGTTAAAACAAAAACGCAAAATGTAAGCCCGCTCACCCACCCTATCTCAATTGTGATGATTTTTTTTATTCGCCCGAACCAAGGGAGCAGAACTTAACTGCATGTTTTTGCGTACCGTGTTGTTCAAAGAATACTATATATATTATGAAAAAAGGGCAAAATATAAACCCCGCCCACCCAACCCATCTCCTTTGTGATGATTTTTTTTATTCTTAGAAACTAGAAACGCGTTTAAAATGGTAAATTTTTGTAAGGAAATATGTATTTTGCAATTAGACTCCGCCCCTAAATCTGCCAATTAATGAAAACTACATTACTACCTAGATTAGGACAGGTATAGGTGGGGCTTAATCTTTGGCTTTAATTTTTTCTTAATATAGATACATAGATAGTATTCTTTAAATAACACAGTACTAAAAAACATGTCTTACATGGTAATTTCTTGGAGAGAAATCTAAGGAGTTTGCAATTAAATTCCACCCCTTTGCCTCTCGACGATTAAAAAAAATCATCACAATTGAGTTAAAGCGGGTGGGCGGAGGTTATATTTTGTCTTTTTTCTTAATATACGTAGTCGTACTATCAGAAGAAGAAACTTAAAACCTGTTTAAGACGGTAAAATTTTGTAGACAAATATGGATCTTGTAATTAAGCCCGGCCCCTGGATCTGAAAACGAATGAAAAATTCATGACAATTGAGAATTGAGATCAGGCCGGGTATGGGTGGGGCTTAATCTTTGGCTTTATTTTTTTCTTAATATATGTAGTGTTCTTTGAACAACACGATGCTCAAAAACATGTTTTTAATTCCTTGTAGAGAAATAAGAATTTTGCAGCTAAGCTCCCCCCCTTGGCTCACGACAAATAAAAAAAATCACCACAAGAACATACTGAAGAGTTAATCCTCCATTTTCCATACACCCGGTATAATGTTTCAATAAAAAAAAAGTTTTCTGTTACACCTCAAAAACAAAACACTCTCTATAGTTAAAAATAATTTCATAGTATACTCTCCAAAGAACCGTATAACTTTGGTCATTGACTTTTTTTTGTTTTTAATACATATTAACGAGATATCGAGGAACGCACGTTTAGTGACTCACCGTGTGTAGATTTCCAATATAATCAATAAAATTAATTAATTCATTTATGAAATTTCTAAACATCCTGTATAAACAATACCAAAAATATATAAATATTTTTAAAATATTTTTTAACAAAAATTTAATTACTAAATTTTTGAAATCAAGTTGTTAACTTTCTCTAGGGGAAAATAAATAAATTTTAACCTTCAAACAAAACCCCTTTTCTAGATTCAACGACAAACTATATAATTTGCTTTAATTCATTTTTACGATAATCATAATACTCGTATATCGCAAAAAAGTATGGAGACAATATTCAACCAAAAACTTAGAATATGCTATACATTTGAAGTAAAAAAAAGAAAACTTTGATATGACGTCATCAAGTTTTTTGAAGGAAAGAACAATGAACAATTAGCGATTTAGTATGTTCAAGATAACCACAAAAAGTAAAATTTCAAAGCAATCGGTCTTATATATAGTTTCTGCATTAAATTGTAAAATCTTGTGCCATTTTGAAATGTTTTTCAAAAATCTGTATGCATAAGGTTAAAAATAAAAATGGATTAATAAATCACAAGTATATTTTGCGAAAGATCAGATAAATTTTGGGTAGCATCAGTATGCATTCAGAATGTCATATGTATGACAGTAAAATTACTAACAATTATCGGAGATTTACGCGCACATGACCGACAGACAGACGAAAACGGAGGACCTACTTTTTCATATTCTGAGAGTTATTTAAAACGGATCCTATTGCAGTGTTTCCCTAGCTTACACTCAGGTTTTATGATAAGCATGTAGTTGGATACGAGTAGTACTCATATAAAGAATTAGAGGTGTTTTTTTTAAATTATACATATTTTCTACAACCTTTCCAAAAAATTTAGATCAAACGAATTAAAACTGAATAATTAAAAACAACACAAAATGCACTCCAACAGAATATCAAACTAATGAAGGTCTTACTTTTCGTGTCAAAATCATAACGTAAAATTATCACTGATCCGAAATTATATAACTTTTGTGGATATTTCAACATTTGTATTTCTTTAACGCTAACTCAAAATCATTGATTATTCAAATAAAAATTTCCTTAGTGGCTGGCCATGAAATTAAGAAAAGTTAAATCGATGTGACTGAGCAATAATTTATTAGCAACGATTTAGTCAATATGTGATCTGAAGCAAGCGGCACACAATTATATTTTTGCTATGTAAAAGGTCACATACCCAGACTCATTGTAGCAGAAATAAAGATATTTTTAGTGTGCCAAAAATAAACAATAAATAAATAATAAACCCACCTTTACACTCACATTCTACGTTTCGTCGCCCTACTAACTTGAATAAAGCATAAACTAACAATAAGAATTATTGTGATGTGATGACATATAACTTTGTGTGTGTTGCTCGCATGAATTTACTATTTGGATGAAAATTGTTGTTAGAACATCACTTTCAAGCTCAAATCCGCAAACAGTAATAATTGACCTATGAGAATTTTAAGTAAATTTGTCTTGGTTAAAAATGCTCAATCCATAACAACGCTACCTACAGCCAAAAACAACGATCTAGAAAAAACAAAATCTAAATATTATTTCAACCCCTAATTTAAACATCCCCGAAAACACCCACATTCGCCCGTAATTTTTTTCTATTAAACCATTTCCAGTTGCCATGCAAATAATAAAAAATCGATGAATATTTAAACGACAAAACTGATAGTGACAAGCAAGATTGAAACGCTTGGGGCGAATCATGTTGCTCTCACACTATCAGTCAGTGATTGGTTTAAATAAGGACACACCTAATGACACACCACCTTTGAAGAGAAACAGAGATACGTTTACTACCCATTTGAATAATTCGCAAATAAGCTGATAATAATTTATTAGAAGCTTAATTTGCAAGTCATCGAAAAATATTCCGAGAACCGAAGAAATCGCACGTTGAGTAAACAGTGCGTTTCTGAAATTAATTTATGTTGACAATGCTCAGGGTGTGTTTAAAGAGTGTATAATAAGTAAACACAACGTTAAATGAACGGAAAAATAACACAACACGAGGGAATCTCTGGCTATATTTGGAACAAAGTATGATATATGAAATGTAGACAACGCATCCAAGGGGGTCTCGAATTAAAAAAATGGGAGTTTCACGACAATGATAAGCCAATTAACTGCTTAAGGAATGCCTTTAAAATACGCAAATGCTGATCGCCTTGCTGCTGCAAATCTATAAACATATTAGCATTTTCCAAATTAATTAGAATAAAACGGATAAACAATGTTGTTTGCGTGAACTTATATAAAACCCGCTGGACTCTTATTCAGCATATTTCAGTCAATTTTCAAAGAGTGATAATGGTAAGTTTCCGCTCCATTCCAACTGTGTTATTTTATTTTTCGATTTATTTTAGACCACTTACACAGACAAAGGTCCCAAAGTAAGTGCAACTAAAACTAATTTTTTTGTAAATTAATATACATAATTATAGCCCACGACCGGAAAATTTCTGAGTTTTGACCACCTCACTTTCTACGTTGGGAATGCCAAACAAGCTGCTAGTTACTATGTGACACGATTAGGTTTCGAGCCCTTAGCCTACAAAGGGCTCGAAAATAAAAGTCGCAGATTTGCATCCCATGTAGTGCGCCAAAATCAAGTAAGTTTTTTCGAAACAAAAAAAACTAAGTTAAAAATCAATTTATAGATTATTTTTGTTTTTGTATCGCCGTATGAACCTGGTGACGATGAAGTAGGACCTCACTTAGTCAAACATGGAGATGGTGTCAAAGACATTGCGATGGCGGTGGAAGACTTGGACAAAATCGTTTTGGTAAGTACACAACTAATTTTTTAAATTTTGCTACATATACTTATATTTAAAATTTTTAAATGATTAGAGAGCCAAACAAAAAGGTGCCAAAATTATTAAAGATATATGGGAAGAGAGTGACTTTCACGGTATTGTCAGATTTGCCACAATCCAAACTGTAAGCACGTTATAAATACACACACAGTTGTGTTACACGAATTTTCTAGTATGGAGACACCACACACACTTTCATTGACCGCAGCTTATACAGAGGTCCTTTCCTCCCTGGTTACACCATGTGTAACGAAGACAAATTATCCAAAACTTTGTAAGATAGAAAAAATTCTAACAAAAATCGTCTGATTATCATGATTTCTAGACCTCCTGCTAAATTAGACTTCATCGACCACGTCGTGGGTAACCAACCAGACGGAGAAATGGAATCTGTGGCCAAATGGTACGAAACCATTCTTCAGTTCCATAGATTTTGGTCAGTAGACGACAAACAAGTCCACACTGAATATTCCGCCTTGCGGTCAATTGTGATGAGCAACTGGGAAGAAAATATCAAACTTCCTATTAACGAGCCCGCCCCTGGTAAAAAGAAGAGTCAAATTGAAGAATACGTGGAGTACTACGGAGGAGCAGGAGTCCAACACATAGCCCTAAACACTCAAGACATTATCAAATCAGTTCAAAACCTCCAATCCAGAGGAGTAGAATTTCTTCAGGTGCCTGACAGCTACTACGACATTCTTCGGCAGCAACTCAAGCTCAGTAAAGTTAAAGTTTCAGAAGACTTAGATATTTTGCAAAAACTGAAAATTTTGATCGATTATGACGAAAACGGGTATTTGCTGCAGATATTCACGAAGAATATGCAAGATCGACCGACCTTGTTTTTGGAGGTTATACAAAGAAGGAATCATAACGTAAGTGGGTTGCGGTAGGCTACGCGTTGCGTTTAAAATTGTGTAAATAGCACCTTATTACCAATTTAATTCTAATTTCGTTTTCAGGGATTTGGTGCCGGGAACTTTAAGGCATTGTTTGAGGCCATTGAAATAGAACAAGCGAAGCGCGGCAACTTATAAAAATAACCAATATAATATAATTTTTGTATAATAAAGTTTTAACATCACGATTTTTTATAATTAAATACTAAAGATTCTTCGTCTTGTTGTGTTTTGGGCGTGGGCCCAAAAGTTAAGTCCCAGAACCCTGTATACGTTTCTTCTCTAGGCTTGAATCTGTGTCTGTGTTTAGAACACTGATTTTTCTTCTTTTGTAGCTCTTCAGGTGGTAAATTTAAATCCTCGTAATATTCCTGGCATTCGCGACACGCCCATCCTGCCAGTTTTTTCCGCGCTTTACCCCTCACTACTTCCTCATACACAAACTTGGCTTTCTTTTTTTCAGGACTTCTAAAAACAATTTTATTTTCTTATAAGAAGTTTCACTTATTTTATACAAACCTTGATGGAGGTTCTAGGTTTGTTTCAGATTGTGAAGGCACTTCAAGATCAACAGTTGCATCTGATTCAGCATCAGTTTCAGTGTGGTCACTGTCATTTATAAGATTGATCATTTCTGTAATCGTCATGGACGGCAAATTTGAGTCCATTTCTCTGCAAAAAAAATTAACATTGCTATAAAATAAGTAAAATGGATTTACCTTTTGCATGTTTTGGGCCTTAGAAACGACTGCGTTAATGTATTTGTTTGTTTACTTGTATTAAGATTAGGTTTTTTTTTCTTTGACCTGAAACGTGGTCGCTTCATTTTTCTTTCTGTAGTTACTTCAGGAGTGTTGTTGATAATTGAGCATTCCAGTATATTCGAGTCATCCATTTTTGAAGTTGTACTATCTTCATTAAATATCTCCATTTTAGGTGTCGTTTTGTCACTACATGGACTCACTGACTTTTTTTTCTTAAAATTGAAGCTATTTTTATGTAGCACCGGACTTGTGGCAGTCACATTTTTGCTACATTGTGGCACTGGAGAACTCTCTTTTAAAAAAGCGGCAGTGTTTGCAGATTCAATAAAAAACTCTTCACTTGCTTTATTTAAATCATATTGTTCCAATGGCACGATTTCAGGACTCTTATTTTCTGTAACAAAAAAAATTGTCCAACCTGTAATTCTAACCTAGTTTTTACCTTTATCGACATTTTCAATGGCATCAAGCTCGAATTTTTCAGACTGCACCCTACAAATACAAACACTAAGTATCCATATCGAGCATAAATGTTAACGTGTCTTACAACCCACTAAATTTTCTTCGTTTCTCTAAATATTCCCTTTTCTTAAACTCAGACTTTATAGATGACAACTCGTTCTCCAAGACATTCTTCAGTCCTAAAACAATTTTTTTAAAAGTGTTCAGTCACAAATGACAAAAAAATACTGCTCAATTCCTTCTCAAACGCATAATATATCATGGACACTTTTCGAAGTTCTGTGTTTTCCTCTCTCCATATTGTTTGGATATTGTCGTTGTATAGAGACATCCAATCACTATACGCTTCTGACTGCATTTTTGAGCAACTATATTATCACAAAAAACGTGAACTGTTTAAAAATTAAACAAAAAACTTATGGCAACATTTGTATATTTGAGGTTATGTACCTAACCTGTCAACAATGAATAAATAAGACGATGTGGCTCGAATCTCGACGCCGGTAAAATAAGGATACATTAATTTCGGCACGGGACCCGACCAATCACAACAAAACACATTCACACTGACGCCAAATTCAAATATTATTCATCGTGTGTATTCAAGTGTTCATTTCCAATATCATAGATCTAGGGAAATCCATACGATTGTTTTTATATTTATTATTGTGTGGGAACATTTTTTTTAATCGACACTGATTTGTTAATTTTACAGATTCTCCAGTTTTCGATTTCACGATTTTTCAATTATTCCATTTCTTGCTTTGTTAGATCTCCGATTTTACAATTTTTTGAGTTTTAAACTTTCAGTTTTTTAATTTTTCAATTTCGTGTTTTTTTATTTCTCAACAAAAGAACAAATTTATCCAAACTGAAATATTGAACAATGAAGAATACAAATATTTTAAAATGAAAAATCCAAAAATTTCAAAATAAAAATCAAAAAACTAAAAAATCGAGACCGAAAAATTGAAAAATTGTAAAAACATGGAAAAATTAAAAATAAAACTGCAAAATCGTATAATTGAGAAATTGTAAAAACGAAAAAATAAAAATCCCGAAATTGAAACATGAAAAAATCGAAAAACGATACAAGTTTTCAAGTTCTTGATTTTCAATTTTAATCAAAATGAAATTTTACAAAATCGAATAACTGTAACATCAAAACATTAAAAAATGCAATTTTTAATTATTTATTTGCTCGATTTTTCATTTTTTTATTGTTCAACAAAAGGACAAATTTATTCAAACTGAAATTTTGAAAAATTAAAAAATTAATATTGAAACGTCTAAAAACTATAAAATTGAAAAATCAAAAAATTTAAAAATTGAGAAGTTGAAGAATTGAAAAAATAAAGGAAAACTGAAAAAACCGAAAAAATGAGAATCGTAAATTGAAAAATGAAACTTGATATATCGAAAAATTTTAAAATTGAAAAATCGAAAAAAGAAAAAAATGAGAAATTAAACAAGTGGATAATTGAAAAAACAATTGAAAAATCGAAAAATTGTAATGTAGAAACCTGAAAACCCCGATTAATTAAAAATCGAGAAATTGAAAAATTGAAAAAACAAAAACTTCTATAAATTAAATAATCAAACATACAAAAAAATTAATTTCAAAATCCAAAAATTTTACAATGAAAACCGGAAAACTGAAAATTTAGAAATTGTAAAAACGAAACATGGAAAAATTTTAAAATTGTAACACCGTAAAAACGAAACACTGAAAAACCCAAAAATTTAACAGTTGAGAAATCGAAGAATTGAAAAAATACAGAAACTGAAAAATCGAATAACTGAAAAATTGGAAAAACGAAAAAATAAAAAATACCGAAATTGAAACATCAAAAATCGAAAAACGATACCAGTTTTAAAGTTCTTGATGTTCAGTTTTAATCAAAATGAAATTTTACAAAATCCAACCATTAAAAAATGCAACAATTAAAAATCGAAAAATTGAAAAATCGACAAAACGAAAGAATTCTGCAATTTTTGATATAAAATTTTTAAAATTCTCAATTTTTCATTTTTTTTTTTTTTGTTCAACAAAAGGACAAATTTATTCAAACTGAACTTTTGAGAAATCGAAAAATTGTAACACTGAAACATCAAAAAACAAAATAATTAAAAATTGAGAAATTGAGAAAATCACCAAAAAGAAACAATTTTGCAGTTTTTCGATTTAAAATTTTTCAAATTCTCAATTTTTAATTCTTTGTTTTCTCGATTTTTCATTTTTTAATTGTTCAACAAAAGGACAAATTTATTCAAACCAAAATTTTGAAAAATTAAAAAATTAACATTGAAACGTTTAAAAATTATAAAATTGAAAAATCAAAAAATTTAAAAATTGAAAAGTTGAAGAATTGAAAAAATAAAGAAAAACTGAAAAACCGAAAAAATGAGAATCAAAAATTGAAAAATGAAACTTGATATATCGAAAAATTAAAAAATTGAAAAATCGAATAATGAAAAAAATGGGAAATTAAACAAGTAGATAATTGAAAAAACAATTGAAAAATCGAAAAATTGTAATATGTATAGAAATCTGAAAACCTTCGAGAAAGTGAAAAATAACAAACAAAAACTTCTATAAATTAAATAATCAAATATACAAAAAAAAAATAATTTCAAAATCCAAAAATTTTAAAATGAAAACCGGAAAACTAAAAATTAAGAAATTGTAAAAACGAAACATGGAAAAATTAAAAAGTTGTAACTTCGAAAAACCGAAAAATTTAAAAGTCGAGAAATCGAAGAATTGAAAAAATACAGAAATTGAAAAATCGGATAATGGAAAAGCCACGAATTGTACAATTGAATAAAAACCCTAATAATTATTTGAAAAATTGTAAATTTGAAAAACAAATTAAAAATGGAAAAACTGAAGAAATGAAAAATCGAAAATCCTAAATTGAAAAACCAAACTTGAAATATCGGAAAATTTAAAAAATTGGCAAACTGAAAATTGGGTAACGAAAAAAGCAATTAAAAAATCGAACAACTGAGAAAAAGATAGCAACTGTAAAATCGAAAATTTGTAACATTGAAACCTGAAAATGTTATAAATTAAAAATCCAGGAATCGAAAAATCGAAAAAAACGAAACACGGAAAAATCGAAAAATTATCATTTAAAAAAACGAAAAATATAACAATCTCGAATTTAAAAATCAAAAATCGAAAAAAAAAATTGAAATTACCTACTTGGAAGTATTTTTAATTTTTCATTTTCTCAATTTTTCGTTTTTTAATTTTTCAACAAAAGGACAAATTTATTAAAACCGAAATTTTAAAAAATCAAAAAATCGGAAAACTGTAACACTGAAAAATTGGAAAACCGAACAATTTAAAAATTGAGAAATCGAATAATTAGAGGTCAACAATTGGAAAAGAGAAAATTATAACCTTAAGAATGAAAAAACTGAAAATTGAAAAAACAAAAAATCGAACAACTGCAAAATTGAAAGTCAAAAATAGAAAAAACGAAACTTGAAACACCGAGAAATTTAAAAATTGTAATCTTAAAACTTGAGAAACTGAAAACTTCGATAATTGAAAAAACAACTGAAAATTTGACAAATCGAAAAAAAAGAAAATGTAAAATCGAAAAACTGATTAATTAAAAATCCAGAAATAGAAAAATACGGAAAATAAAATTTTGTAGAAATAGAAAAATCGACAAATTAAAATATCTAGATACTAAAGAATCGAAAAATACAAAAAATTTAAATTGAAAAATCCAAAAATGTCAAAATAAACATCGAAAAACTGTAAAATTGAAAAAAAAAACCGAAACATTGAACAATAGAAAAATTGAACCGAAATGTCGAAAAAATAGCGAAATCAAAAAATCGAAAAACGAAAAAATCAACAATTGAAAAATTAAAAAATAAAAATACCTATCTTAAAATGGAAAAATCGAAAAACTGTCAAAACTAAAAACTATAACACTGGAACCTGAAAAAACTGACGAAATAAAAATCGACAACAAAAAATTAAAAAATGCAAGAACTCCAAAATAAAAATCGAAAAATTGAGAAACCGAGAAACCCTAAAATCGAAAAGCTTCAAAAATCGATGCGAATTAAAAAAAATGCTCAGACCACACAGATGAAAGCAATGATATTCGTACACACACATATAAATAATAAAGAAAAAAATTTCGGAATCGTCGAAATCGCCTAATGGAGTAAAAATTAATAAAATAAACCAAAAAATGTAAGTATTTATCGACCTTTTGAAATAATGACACGTTATAAACCCATCATTTAGTATAACTATGTTACTTACCTGATTACGTGAAATGCAAAGACGAAAGAAGATAATTTATTATCGAACATTGGTAATAACGATGAGATCAATATCTAACCAACGAGTTAGTTTAATCCTTTAAATGAAAATACGCACCAGATGGCAACGACTAATTCGGTTTTACTTTCTCCAAAAAGTAAGTACTTAGCTACTTAATTCCATAAATTAAACCTGTGATCTTGCAGACGATCCCCTGTGGTTGTTAAAACGAATTTTCGTAGATTTCATGTTCCATAGTTTTCTGAAAAAATTTAATTTATTTGTGATTTTCTTCAACTCAGTACTCTTTCTGTTCCAAATTAATTACGTTTTACAGAGTGCGAATAAAAAGAATATCCTTTCAAATTATGGACCCACCATGTGTATTGTCTTTTTCGTAATTATTAATATTCACTCAAACTGTGAAAACACGCACTATTTTTTTGTTTTTTAGATGCTTTTTGAAATGTGGACATCAATCACATACGAAAAACGAATTAAAGAATATGTGATTAAATTGCATCAATTATCTTGGTCACTGCAAGACAATGAAAATATCATTTTAGAAAAATTAAGACCGTTATTTATTTTTACGGTTGTCGTAGTTGTTAATTATCTTCTAGCAGTATTTTTTGTTTCACCGGTGTTTAGGTATCAGCAAGATATTTTCTTAATTAAAGAACTATTTGGAGAGTTTTGCCCACAATGTGGTACTATTACAGAAATAATTTTTTGGATTACGGCACCATCTTTAGTTTATTCTGGCATGGTGAATATTGGTGTTATGTTCTATCTAATAGTGAATTTCAAAGTTCAAATGTCTCTACTTATTTGTTACGTCGACAATATGTCTAAAGATGTTGATCAAGTTGACGATCATTTGTGGCACACTTCTAGAACCTACCAACAAAAAATTTCCAGCAGTCTACAATTTATTGTTGAACGTCATTCGACACTAATTATGTAAAATACCCTTTTTACACTAACGTTCATTAATGATGTGTTTTAGATATTTAAAAAAAATAATCGCCTCATTTACGAGCACAATACAACTTCACTTGGTAATTTTTTTCTTAATTAACATCGCCACAATCTTCTTTGTGATTAACGTAAGTGCGCATGCGAAGCTTATTTCAACGCATGCGTTATAGTAACAACCATTTAACATTTTAGCTGTTTTCAGATAACGACTGGAGAATAAATTTGCGTTCATTTCATGTTACTTTGACTTGTTTTCTAGCGACTTACTTTTTAGCAACGATATGTCAACTTATTCCGGATATGGTGAGAATACAAGAAAGAGTGTGAATGTTGAAAGTGACGACTAAGTTTTCAGACCACTGAATTTTTTGACATCACCACAAAACTACCCTGGTATAGATGGAACAGTGTCAATAGAAAAATGTTGCTTATTTTAAGAATTAACTCGATCCAACCAGTCTCTATAAACTTACCACAATTAGGATCCGTGGGATATTCATGCATTTTCAAGGTAATTTTTTTGAAAAATGTTTGAAAAATTACAAATTTAGTGTTTCAGTTTGGGCAAACTATTTATTCGACGACAACGGTTTTGTATAGTTTAAGAGAATAAAGATCTTTTAATTTATTGTAATTATAGCTATGGGCACCATTGCAGCCTTTTAACATAAAAAAAAACATGTAACTATAAAAATAAACTTTATTGCTTAACTGTAATAACAATTGTATTTCCGATTTTTTTTATATTGTACCCTGTGGTGTCCAGAAGACTGAAATTTGGTTGCGCTTTCCCAATGGCAACTTTTTGGTTAATTCTGAATTTTGATCTACGGCGGGTGGGCGGGATTAGTACCTGCTAAGAAAATGAAGGGCGAGTAAGGCTGGTAAGGTAGAGGTTATCTCATTTGATAAAATCAGTGTTATCTTGGCAACTATTGGCCCCGCCCACCCACCCTTTATTTTCTTCGAGGGTATGCCATTATTGCCATTTATTTGGCAATATCAGTTTTATCTTAGCAAGTACTAGCCCCGCCTACCTGCTCTTTATTTGCTTAGAGAGTAAGTACTAACCCCACCCGCCTGCCCTAAGAAAAAAGAGGACGGGTGGGCGGGGTTAGTAGCTGCTACAATAAGGCCGATTTTGGCAAATGAGAGATACCAATTCGATAAAAAAATTGAAAAGTAAAAAAAATTGGAAAGTTGAAAAACTGGAGAATGGAAAAGTTGAAAATTCAAGAAATCGAAAAGAAAAAAAGACTGAAGCCTAAAAATTGAAGAATGTCACTGTGAAAATCGAAAAGTAGAAGAGTTGAAAAGCCAAAGAACTGAAGAATGGAAAATTGAAAAATCTGGACATCGAAACGGAAATTAATTGTAAATTCGAATATCGAAAACTCGATGAATCAAATATTGGAAAAGCGAAAATCGAAAAATCGAGATTTCGAATATGTAGGAATTAAAAATTATAAAATCGAAAAGTAAAAAAGTTGAAAAATCGAAATACTAACTGAAAAATAGAGGAATTGAAAAATCGGCAAATTGGAAAGAATTCATTTGAAAATTCGAATATCGAAAAATCGAAAAGTCGAAATCTCGAAAATTAAAAATAACAAAAATCGAAAATTCAAAATATCAAAAAATCAAAAATTCGGGTTAGTACCTGTAATAAGAACGATTTTGGTAAATGAGAGATATCGATTCGATGAATCGAGCACTCGAGAAATCAAAAAAATCGCAAAGTAAAAAAAATTGGAAAGTTGAAAAACGAGAATGGAAAACTTGAAAATTGAAGAAAAAGAAAAGAAAAAAAGACTGAAGTCTAAAAATTGAAGAATGTCACTGTAAAATCTAAAAATCACAAATCGAAAAGTACAAAGATTGAAAATTCGAGTAACGAAAATCGAAAACTCGAGAAATCAAAAATTCGAAAAGTAAAACAATTGAAAAATCGAAAAACTGAAGAATGAAAAAATTGAAAAGTCTAAAAACTGAAGAATGGAAAATTGAAAAAGCGGGATATCGAAAAGGAAACGAATTGAAAATTTGATTTTCGAAAACTTGATAAATAAAATATTCGAAAAATGAAAATCGGAAAACCGAAAATTTGAAAATCTAAAAACCCAAAATGTAAAATTCGAAAACAGAGATTTCGAATATGTAATCGAGAAGTTGAAAAATGAAAAAACTGAAAAATCGGAATTTCTAAAACTAAAAATTTGAAAAATCGAAAATTGGAAATGTTAAAATCGAAAAATGAACATTGAAAATTCGAGTAACGAAACTAGAAAACTCAAGAAATCAAAAAATCGAAAAGAAAAAAAGTTGAAAAACCGAAAAACTGAAGAATGGAAAAATTGAAATATCGAAGAATTGAAAAATGAAAAATCAGGAAATCGAAAAAAAACGAATTGAAAATTCGATGAATAAAATATTTGATGAGCGAAAACCTGAAAATCTAAAAACCGAAAATTCATAGTTTGCAATTGAGATTTCGAATAATCGAAAACTCGAAATTTCGAACACTGAAAATTCGAGTAACGAAAATCGAAAACTCGGGAAATCAAAAAATCGAAAAGTAGAAAAGTTGAAAAATCGAAAAACTGAAGAATAGAAGAATTCAAGAATTGAAAAATCGGCAAATCGGAAAGGACAGATTTCAGATTTGAATTTCGAATATCGAAAAATCGGAAAAATGAAAATTCGAAAATGTAAAAATCGGGAATCGAAAAACCGAAAAATCAAAAATTCTAAAATCGAAAAGTCGAAAAACGGAAAAATGAGAAAAATCGAAAATTCGAAATATCGGAAAGCCAAAAATTCGGATTAGTACCTGCTAAAATAAGCTTTTTTACTATTTTTCCCAAACTCACCAGTGATTGTTAAGAGCGTCTTTTATAGATCTTCAAAAGATCTACAACGAGGTCGTAAAAAACAAAAAATATTAGTCAAATTCTGAGAAATACCAAAGTAGTGGCATTTATCTTTGCATAAACATAAATTCTTATGTCATTTTACACCGGTCATGACAGAAACATACAAATGTTTAATTTGTTACAAATAAACGCCCATTTATATGTATTAGGTAAATATACTCAGGAAACATTAACGATCCCATAAATACCAGTTTCGAAGGTTGATGGAAAAAATAGCCAAACAGAGCAGTTGCTTTATTAAAATAAGTACATCTTAACATAAATGCATATATAAGTATCTATTAGACTATAGATATATGCATAAATGTATACTAATATGGTTTTGGTTGTGCGTCAGAGACGAGGAAAGTTGGCTATAACCACTTCTTAATCCATGTGTTACTCTAAACGCTATTTTTGTAGCATAAATTTAAATTTAACGTTTTTTTAAATCGCGGGAGATAAATACTTACTAATTTGCTAAAGGACTTGTGGCGACATGTTGATCCATATCACAAAACACTCAGATGAATGCTGAATCATCGATTTCAGGTTCAAGGATGATTGAACTCTGATTATCTTGTCGCTTGTCGGCACCTTTGTTGTATAACTCAAGCCATGACTGTCTTCAGAATAATTCTGCAATTTTTGAAATGGATTTTTCTCGTCCTTAAATAACTGTAACATAAATCAGTATATTACAGATACAAAAAATACAAATATTTAATGACCTTGAATGACATTTAAACTTTATTAGTCTAGCAAACAGTTTTAAATACACATAATCCGTATTATTTCTTGCGATAAAAATTTATGACTATTTTTGATCTCGAAAATCTTTTGCAATAATATTAGCACTGATAACTTTTGGGTCCACATCTTTTGATCCGCTTTTATCATATGACACCTCTAAGTTTCACATATGACCGAAAAATCGGACAAAAACTAACGTAACATTAAACAAGACTTTATTGCTTTAACAATTACAAACATCATACAAGTGTAAATTTTTAAAGTGCAAATTTCAATTATTGTCTTATAAAACTAGCAACTACTTTCACAACTATCACAATTAAACATTGTACAAGCAAACTTATCATTCAAACGTTGTCACATTTCTCCATCTTTGTCATGTGGAGCAAAAATAATACTTTCGAATCCCCCTACAGTAGTGAATAAAAGAAACAAAATAAATAAATACATATATTATGTTTCAGTATGCCTAGAAGATAATTAGATCTATAACACGTCCTTAGGACTCCTATATACAAATTGACAATATCAATATGTACAATTTTGCTTGGAAATTTTTCTACCAATCATGAGATTATACTTGGTGGGGACTAGATGGACGTGATCCTACTGTAAAATCTTTATACTGGGAAAAAACACAGATCTGCAAAAATAGAAACAATTAAAACAATGAATTACACGCATTGTTAAAATAGCACACCTTATCTTTAAGTTGTTGACACAATTGTAATCCAACTGTAAAAAAGACTAATACTTCATTCAGCCAAGGCACCGAGCTTTCGGCATGAGTTGAATCATACTTCATAGTACCGTGATTATTTGTCAGCTGATAGATCGCAAATATCAATTTGTGGCTTTGAATGTAGAAACTAATAGCCAGATCTTCACTAAGATTTGGGTTTAGAGATTTCTAAAAATAAAGCGTTATCATTGTCATACTAATTTTAGAAAAATACCATATTTAAACTTCTAATAAGGTCATCTATAGGTCGCTTCCTAGGTACTATCAAACTCGTGCGCCCCCTTTGTAAACTCCCCAAAATATTCCCCAGCACGTGCAAAACCTCATCTGATGATCTACAAATTGCCACTTAAGTTACACAATCACTCAATTGAATTATCACTCACTTAAACTTATAGTTTTTCCCCACATCATCTATGTGATTGATCGCTTGCTGGAGGTGATTGGCAGCATCCTGTACTTGTTGCAGCTTCCAGGGACAATCATTCTGGATACTAGTACGCACAATAGTTGTATTTGTTTGCCTAGTCACTTTAAAAGTAATATCCTTGAAAAGGAAACAATCAAGGCGAGTTGACCCACTTTTCTAACTTACAGCATGTGTAATACTGTCTCCGGTTAACGTGACCACACACTTCACCTGATCTGAGGGCACGGAAAGAACGAATTTGTCCTGTTTACTAGAGTTGTCATGACCATAGAGCCGAACTGGAAACCGCCCAGCGCACTCCTACAACCACCCTTAAAACAACCCCTACAAAAAATCACCCTTACCGCGAGTATCTGGTGAATCTGTTCTAACCCCTTGTGGACTTCCTGGTGGAGCACCCATTCAAATTCCTTTTGCTACAAAATCAGTTCACATAACCTCACTTTCGAGTTTCAATTTACACACGCTTACCAAATTGAGGGCTTCTTCTTTTTCGCAATCTACCATCGTTCGGAGGGGTAGTGGACGAATTTCAGTTGTTTACAACGTGAATGCTAGTTTTCACTGCTAAAAATTAAACAATTCAGACTGCAACTTTGACATTTAAGTGACGCGAATGACGCGGTGCGCATGCGTACGGTAATTTGAACCGCTTCAAGCGCGGGGTTCGAATTTGAAAAATTTGGGTGTCGCGATTTGGCGCTAGTTCTAGCAAACAAACACGTTCATTTTGATGTAAAAAATAGGTTGCACCTGTTGTTTCCTCGATTCTTGTGAAATATGAATTTTGTTTGAAAAATCGTTCGTTGCACTACGCCCAACTCCGCATTTTTCTTTGCGGATAGTGCCAAATTTCACTTTTAGTTGCTTGGAGCCCCTAAGGGTGTGTCCGCACTGGATCATCAGCACAAATGTTGGATTAATTGCAGCTTCGCTGCCAAGCGCATGTCCCACAAATAAATAAAATTGTTAATTACTTCAATAATTTGTTTTTTCGCTGGGTCGAGATGGACGGACGTCGGCGCCAATTGTTGTGACCTCATCGATTGATGGAAAGAACCGACGTCAAGGAATCAATTAGATTAATATGTTTTACACACTTCAAAGAAATATGGCACACCAGATGTGTGAAGACGAAAGTATATTTTAGAACAGATATAGAAAAGTGAACGACACGGAGCGTGGGAGGGACACGTTCTGAATATTTCACAAATGTTATAAATATATAGATCTGTATTAGATCGGCGGATTGTTTATCGAAATCAGAGCGAAAGCGGCCACACTTCAATCCCCGCTATTTTCATTTTCGGTTACCACGAAAGCGTAATTAAGAATCTTGAGATTTCTCGTTTTTGATTTGAATCCACCGAGAGTTGGACGCAGATGCCCTCTGGAGAACATAATACGGGCGGACTTCAAGCAACTGCTGCATTTGTTTTAACTGAAATATCTAAAAATACGAGCATGGGTTGATTTTGCTGCCGTTTTCTCAACGGCTGTGATTGGTAGAAGGATGCTCGAGTGTGGGCTGAAATATACTCTGCAAAAGACTTGAAAAACCCAAGGGGGACGGGGAAACGCTAGAAATCCACTATAACTCTAAAATAATAACCAGATTAACAGTCAGGGAACCATCTAGTTCTTCTCAGACTCTTGCCACAGACACAAGGTTCAGATTTCCCTTTACACCGACACATCGAAATCGAAATGGTACATATCAAATACAACGTGTACTTCAGTGATAGTGAAATTTGGCAAAAGCACAATCGATCGTGATTTATTGCCGCTTTCTCACGGAATTGCCATTTTGCCAGATTGCTAATTCATACGATTTGCGAAGTCGATTAATCTCTTTTTCTTAATTTTAGGATGAGCTTCCGCCAGAACAAATCGCCGGTAAGTAAAGCAATCGATAGTAGGTGTTTGTTTTCGTCGACACACTTCGGCTAGTCAATATTTGATTTTTCGCAACGGTGACGCACTCCACCTATAAAATACCATAACAAAGCGAATTTCCAAAAACAAGACAAGTTAGTAAACTCGGTCCTATTTTTCCCGTAGTTACAAATTTATTATCCGCTGTTGTCGCCTTGATCGGCCTATTCCAACACCTTAAATCTGTCAAACCCCGCTTAATCCACCCAATAAATAAACTTTATTTTACAAGCGCGGTCCAAAATTGGAGCGTCCGTCCGTCGCGACGCCACCACCTGTGCCCAGTTAAGCAAATTCGGCCCGAATAAACTGCATTTTTTTGACAGGTGTAGCCTATTTAAAATCTTCGCCGCAAAATAGCCACCCACAAACGCCAAAAAACTGCAATCTCTAAATAAATCCACGGACGATTGATAACTGGAACTTTCCGAGCTTCGGGATCCCACAACAATAACACCGTTGACAGTCTGTTTGGCGGTTTATTTTCAGACAGCGGCTTTTTTCCATGGTGTTAAGTGACTTGGATGGAACCCAAACAATAAATAATGGATTTGTCGGTGTCTGGGTATGGCGATTTTCCGCCTTTCTTCCGGTTCGGGTGCGTTGGAGAAATGCTTGGCACGGATTTCTTGACGTTTGTGGGTGTGAAACGCGTTCTTCGGGTGCAGCTGCTCGATTTGATTCTATTCTTACTCGACGTTTCGTATAAACACAGGGGATCGTGTACACGAGCTATATACGTCCGTCTTGGAATTTACTGAGGAAAAGAGACGGAAGTTTCCGTTTTCTCATTAACGATTTGTTCCAGTCCTCCGCAAGGCTTTCGAGGCTTTCGATAACCAAAAGTCCGGAAGCATCCCTTGCGACATGGTGTCGGACATTCTGCGTCTCATGGGGCAACCTTTCGATAAGAAAATCTTGGAAGAACTCATCGAGGAAGTAGATGCTGATAGTAAGTCGGGTGTTTGTCGTTGTTTTTTCTAAGTTGAGGTCTCCAGAGTCTGGGCGTTTGGAGTTCGAGGAGTTCGTGACGTTGGCGGCTAAGTTCATCGTTGAGGAGGACGATGAGGCAATGCAGAAGGAGTTGAAGGAAGCGTTCAGGCTTTATGATAAAGAGGGTAACGGGTATATTCCGACTACGTGCCTTCGCGAGATCCTGAGGGAACTCGATGACCAACTTACGGATAAAGAGTTGGATATGATGATTGAAGAAATCGATACCGACGGTTCTGGAACCGTGGATTTCGATGGTGAGGGTCTAATTTTGGACGTGTTGACGTCAATCTCAATTGCTGATGTTTCAGAATTCATGGAGATGATGACTGGTGAAGTTTAAACGCGCAACATCTACTTTCTACAGTGCATTTTATTTGTTAAGGAAAAAAAAACTATGTTGTGAACGAAGTGTTACATAAGATTTTATTTTAATTACAATATATTTGTATTTATTTCATAAATAAATTTATTGACTTTATCGTCGTTTACAATTTGTACCGTCAAACAAGTCACTTAAGCTATTTTCGTTCGATCTATAAACTTTGGTACAAATCACATCAACTCTTAACTCACAGCTGCACACACCAATAAGCGATTCATTGACCCCTACTCAGCCAAACGAACAATACTACGTGAGGTAGGATATCACATACAATTTTTCAACACGGGAATGGAAATCAACCACTATACATCAATAAAATTTAATAATAAAAAAATAAAAATATCACAAATTATTTGAAAAACTGGGGGAACTCGTGCGAGATCTCCCGCACTAATTTTTGGTCATATTTACTTAAATCACTTTCTTCACAGAAGATCCGAGTGAAACATTTAAGAATATCGTCGATTCTGTGTCGGTGCTCGTCGTAGTTCGTGTTGCGCATCACCCTCCGACACAATTCAATATACTGCTGCCTTCTCTGTAAAAACAAAATTGAACCAACCCTACGCCAAACGCACCGACGCTACCTTGTCCCCCGGCGACAAATCCGAGATGTTTCGCACCACGATATCAATCAAAACTTTAATATCGTTCGTGTAGAAAAGATCCGCCGTGGTTTTTCTGCTCAACAAGTCCACGAACAACTTGAGCAGGGAATGTGGAGGTGCGGGTTCGTGTTCGAAAATCCGCACAGGATCATCTGGAACCTAATAATAACTCCCTGGATTTGGCTATGTCTTGTACTCACGTTCGCGATTAAGCAATAGAAGAATCTTCTCGGTGAACGTTTTCGCAACGTCTCGTTCTTCCAAAGCGTTCAGAACCGGATTTTCCGAACTTTCGCTAAATTGCAAATTAAAAGAAATTATACAGTTGAGGAATAAATCCGGGATTTGTTCGTCGATGTCCGTATCAGGAGGATACTCGATGTTGTTCAATAAAAAAGACAGAAAGTTCCCTCCTAGCAACTCTACAAAGGATTTTATTAATAGTCGCTTTTATCGGTTAAATCGTTCGCATGGAAATTAATTACCGTGATGCGTAATCGGCATCGGTTCTCCCATCGAAAATATCATCGTTAACAGTATTGACGAGTAGTTTAATTTGGGAATGTTGCGAGCGTTCGCCATCATGTCCCTGAAATAAAACACCCCACGTTGCCACATTACCAATGGTACAATTACCACAAGCAACAATATAAGTTCTATTTTAACAAAACAATAAAACACAACGCCAACGATAAAAAATTGAGTTATTTCAAGTTCCTGGCGTCTAACCCCGACAGGTTGATCCGATTTATTATATTAAGTGCAATGCGACTGCAGCCGCCATTAAAATATTCATGACCTAAATGATTGGCGCTTTTAAAAAGCGCGTTGTTTGTTTTGGAAATGTTTCGACTTTTTTGCTGGCTTTTGCAATAGACTGAAACTTGGCATAGGCGGTAAATGCAGAAATAATTGTCGCTGGAACAACGACTATCAAAAATTGCGTAAATCGCGAGATGCGCTAATCAAAACATGTTTATGGCGCTCTGGCGCACCCACGCGCCGCGATTTTCCCCGAAGAAATATTGTTTTGTCCGATTTCGAAATTGGAGGAGATCGAGAGGCAGATAAAACAAATGCCAAAGAAAATTTAGTGCTAGTTATTTTAGAAACGGTGGATTTTTTCACACGGGCTGTTAAGATTAACATGTGTTTTAATATTTTACGTGCGTTTGGAGTGAGTGGTGTTTTGGCGCGCTCACCAATGAATGGCCCTTCAGTTTAATGGGGATCATATGTCGAGATAATGCTATTGTTTTGAAAGGACGAAAAACATTGTGGAATGATCATTAGTTACGAGCTGCCCAAAAGCCAAAACATGTTCCACATCTATTCGGGAATTATTTATTTTCCTTATAATTAAATTTATTGTCTGTAATTTTCAGCAAGCAAGCACTTAAAATATAAAATATCTCGGTTTATTTTCGACATTCTAAGTACAGTTGCTGTTTTCCGCTCGACATGCATTCAAAGCATTTTTTCATTTTGACATTGAAAAAGCGGTTCTGTTTTTTTTCCATCGTTATTATGTCGGTGATAAGAATCATACATTTGTTAGTGTGTTGAAATTTTTTTATAGAACAATAACCTTGGTCCCTTTACGTAAGGTCAAACATATGATCAGAGTATATTCTTGCACATATTCGAGCAATTTAGTTTTATATTTGAAGTGTAGGTATTCATTCTTTTATAATTTAGACGATTTTACAATTTCTTTTAAATCTAGTTTTACAAATATTTTTAAATTAATAAACCAATCTTTCCACTAAGAGTATTTAGAGTCAGATAACTGTGCCAACAATCAAAGAGTAATTTTTGATTCCATTAAAAAAAGCATGTGACGAAATAGTTCAAAAGATTCAAAATGTTTATAAATTTTTATTTCAAAATTTTTCGAAAAACTCTCCAAATACGTTTGTAATAATACGTACCATTTACGATATCAAAAAAAATTGGTCGAAGTTATGTCGACAGAACTTCGCTTGCCCCCGAAACGCAGTCCTATAAAATCCGCTTCTTTGAAAAATTATATTTTGATTTGAATTTTTCAATTCTTCAATTTTTATTTTTTTTTGTTTCTTCAGTTTTTCGATTTGCAATTTTTAGACTTTTCGAGTTTAAATTTTTCAGTTTTTTAATTTTCCAACTTTTGAATTTTTTATTTTTAGATTTTGCAAGTTTTAATTTTTCAATTATTCGATTTTTTAATCTTTTGATTTTCCAATTTTTAGATTTTCTAATTATTCATTTCTTCAAATCTTCGTTTCGCAATTTTTCGGTTTGGTATTTCATTTTCTTTATTTTTACAAATCTTCGATTTACACTTTTTTGATTCATAATTTTTCAATTTTCTGTTTTCAGTTTTTCGATTTGCAATTTTCGTTTCGGTTTTTTATGTCCTTTGTTTTTTCAATTTTTCGGTTTTTTGTTGTTTTTATTTTATAATGTTTCTTTTTCCCAATGTGACGTTTTTCAATTTTTAGATTTTTCAACTTTTATATTTTTTAATTTTTAATTTTTTCAATTCTGGATTTTCCAGTATTTCGATTTTTCAAAATTTCAATTTCTTCAACTTTTGATTTGTAATTGTTCTAGTTTTCACTTTAAATATGTAATAATAATCATAATTTTTAAAAATTTTCACTTTTTCAATATCATGATTTTACAATTTTTCCATTTTTCAATTTTTCGATTTTTAACTTTTCAAATTTTGTTATTTATTTTTCGATTTGACAATTTTTGGGTTTTCCAATTTTTCTCTTTCTCGATTTTTTCTTATGTCCAATTTTTAGATTCATTAAATTTTTTCGATTTTTAAGTTTCTCGATTTTTGGTTTTAATATATGTATCAATTTTTCGTTTGTTCAATTCTTCGACTTGCAATTTTTCTTTTTTTCAGTTTTTCCATTTTTTCCATGTTTCAACTTTTCGAATAAAAAAAAATTGATAAATTGTACAATTGAAAAATCAAAAATCAAAAAACGGAAAAGTATAAAATGAAAACTTTGAAAAATCTAAAAACTGGAAATCAAGAACTAGAAAAATTGAAGACACGAAAATTTTAAAAATCCAAAAAGGACAAAATCAAAAAATGAAACATTGTAAAATCGAAATATTGAAAATTTAAGAAACCGGAAAATCGGATAATTAAGAATTCCAAAAACTGCAAAATTGAAAAACTTTAAAATTGGAAAATTGAATTTTTGGTTTTTAATTCTGTGATTTGCAATTTTTCGGTTTTTCAAATTCTAGATCTTTTAATATTTCGTTTTTTCAAATTTCAGATTTTTCAGTTTCTGAATTTTAAAATTTTCCTTTTCTCAATTTTTGATTTGCCATTTTTGCAGTTTTTACAGATAATACTTATAATTTAAAAAAATTTCACTTTTTCAATTTTATGATTTTTGATTTTTCTATTTCTCGCTATTTAATTTTTCAATTTTTCGATCTTTCGATAATACAACTTTTGGGTTTTCCAATTTTTCCATTACATTTTTTTGCTCTTTTCCAGTTTTTCGATTAATTAGTTTTTTTAATTTTTCAATGTATCAATTTTTCGTTTTTTCATTTCTTCGTTTTGCAATTTTTCGATTTCTCAATTTTTCCACTTTTCGAATAAAAAAATCGAAAAATTGTACAATTGAAAAATCGAAAAATTGGAAATCAAGAATTTGAAAAATTGAAGAAACGAAAAATTCAAAAATCGAAAGATTAAAAATTGAGAAACTTGCAAATCGAAAAATCGGATAATCGGAAATCCAAAAACTGCAAAATTGAAAAATTAAAAAATTGGAAAATCGAGGAATTGAACAAAGATTGAAAATTTGAAAAATTGAATAAATAAAAAATATAAAATCGAAACAAACATTGAAAGAACGAAAAATTGTGGTATAAAATTGGAAAAATGAAAATTAAAAAAATCGGGAAAATGAAAATTGAGAAACTGAAAAATCGAAAAATGAAAAATTGTAAAATCGGATCATGACTTAAAATTTTTCAATTTCACGATTTTTTAATTTTTCCATTTACAATTGGATTTTTTAAGTTCTTGACTTATTCGATTTTTCAATTACTCGATTTTTACTTCTTCAAAATCTCGATATTTAACTTTTCAAATTTAATTATATCTTATATTTAATTTTACAATTTTGACGATTATACCGTTTTTCGATTTTACAATTTTTGGGTTTTCCAATTTTTCTCTTTCTCGTTTTTCGTTCTTTCCAATTTCTAGATTCATTTGATTTTTTCGATTTTTAAGTTTCCCGATTTTTCAATTTTTCATTTCTTCAGTTCTGCGATTTGCAATTTTTCCTTTTTTCAGTTTTTCGATTTTTAATTTTTTCAGATATTTTAGTTTTCCGATTTTTCAATTTTTCCATGTTTCAACTTTTCGAATCAAAACAGAAAAATTGAAAAATCAAAAATGAAAAAATCAAAAAATTAAACATTGCAAAACCGAAATATTGAAAATTAAAGAAAGCGCCAAAAAAAAACGGATAATTGAGAAATCCAAAATGTACAAAATCGAAAAATTTAAAAAGTCAAAAATCGAAAATTTTTGGAGTTTTTAATTCTGCGATTTGCAATTTTTCGGTTTTTCAACTTAACTAAGCTTCTAAATTTTTTGACTTTCCCTTTTTTTAATTTGAGATTTTTCAGTTTCTTAATTTTTAAATTTCTTGTTTTTTCAATTTTTGTAGTTTTCATTTTAAACAGGTTTTAGTCATAATTTACAAAATTTTTTAGATTTTCAGTTTTATGATTTTTGATTTTTCAATTCCACTTTTCGAATCAAAAAATCGAGAAACTGCAAAATTGTACAATTCAAAAAATCAAAAATGAAAAAACGAAAAAATATAAAATGACAACTTTGAAAAATCTAAAAATTGGAAATCAAGATTTTGAAAAATTGAAGAAACGAAAAATTCAAAAATCTAAAGATTGAGAAACTTAAAGATTGGAAAATCGGGTAATCAGAAATCCAAAAATTGCAAATTTGAAATTGGAAATCAAAGATTGAAAATTTGGAAAATTGTGATATAAAATTGAAAAAATGAAAACAAAAAATTGGGAAAATGAAAAATGGAAAATCAGGAACTTGAAAAATTGACAAAACGAAAAATGAAAAATTGTAATATCGAAAAATTGAAGAAACGAAAAATTGTGATATCAAAAACCCGTAAAATCGAAGAAAAAAGAAAAATTCCAATTTGGATAGAAGCAGTGTGATACTAATAATAACAACAGTACTGCTTGCCCAATTTTCTGGATTGGTGAATCGTGGAAATATCAAGTTTGCTCCGCCCCCTTGCAAAAATTAGCGACTTTAATTACCCGCAATCAACGAATAGCAGCTGCAGCTGTTTCAAATACGCGCTCTGATTGGTGAAAATTCTAACGCCAATTTTGTTCCGCCACTTGGCCCATAAAATATGAAAAAAAGGCGGAGCTTAAGTCCACCGCATTAACGAATTAATCGTCCAAATAATTATGTTCCATGTTAAATGATTAATTGGAATTTCCATTAAATCAAAACAAGAAAGTTTTGCTGAGTCATAACATTTGGCACCTATTTTATGAAGCAAATAACCTGGCAAGTTCTCCTGGTAGAATCGAATTCAGCATGATGCTGACGACTGTTTTGTCTAAGCTGCACAAAACCCCAAAAGTTTGTAACAATAGCTGGCGAATCGACCAGCGAATTTCCATCTGATAAAATTGTATCAGAGTAACAATGCAGTGGTACTGGTCTGAGGAAATCACATGTCTGGAAATACTAGCATCTGCGTTTGACTAAAAAACAAAAACACAATTAAACAACATTAAAACTACAAAAATCAACAAACCAGAATAGAAATCAGTTCTAGCAGATACTCTTTGATCACATCTTCGTCTTCGTGGAGCATCCAACTGCGTTGTTGCGAATCCTCCTTACAAGACGTTAACTCCGTAAAAATAATTTTCAAACGACTAGCATCATGTGTTTGATCGATTTGAACATCATCAACAACAAGGGAAGTTTGTACTTGAGACAATATAGTGCTGAGATATGGAAACACAGACGCCGGTAGAAGCTCGTGTAAGCCCTGGACTACCGTAACCACAGCCACTCGAGACATTTCATGAGACAACTGAGTATTAATTCTCACACTTTCGACTAGTTCATACACAGACTGATGGGTAATGGCTGGAGACGACGTGTCTGACTTTTTCCGGTCATTGTAAACCTCAGAACTGACCTCATCATGTATATTCTCAATGGACTTTCTCACTCTCTCTTTACTTGTCTTTTGAATTGGAGTAATCAACTCCTCCTTAACCTCATTCTTCAGTTCGGTTATCAACGACGAATGTGAACTAGGAGAAGATCTCAGACTTTGACCGTGCGTCTCTCTATCCGAGTTTTTGTAAGGTAATGTTTTATTATCATCGCCGTCACTGCCAATTCTACTAATTTCCGGTAACAGTTCGATTTGTCGTTTCACGTCTTTCAGTCTTGCGATCACCTCTTGCCGCTCACCATTACCCTCACCAGAAGCGCGTTTGTTCAGGTTATCAAGGCAATTGTCGAGGAATTGTAAGTAAAAAGAAGGGTTTACGGTAACAGTTTCTACATAGTTTGAAGGTATAAAACCCATTTCTCCATCTTCGTTGATCACTTCCCACCAGTTCTTATGCTTGGTATTCGTCTGGTGCAAAATAAAGTATTCATTTGTACGGAAACTAAGGGTCTTCGCGTACGTCGCTTTGAAATCATACAAACTGTGCAGCATATCTAGGGTTTCTGAATTGAAAAAAACGATATAATTAGGTCGTAGGTACGGAAAAAAACGGGATTTTGCTGGAACTCACCTGACAAAACTATGTTCTGTGTCATTTTGGAATTACGTAAAATCGGTGAGAGTGAAAGTAATAAACTTTATATAATTATTTGACAAATATAAATGTCACGCCTCTTTTTTGTTTATGTTGTTGATCACGTTCTGGGTGCGAGTTATGCACAGGTCGCAATCTGTCAAACCGAAGAAATTAATTTTCAATTATCGCTAAAATTAACAAACAGCTTTCCTGGGGTATTGTAAACTTAATCAAATTGATTGTTAGTCACAAATTTTGAGTTTATTTCATCAGTTCGTACTGCTTTGACAAAATATCAACTGTTTGGTGACATGATCTTGCGCAAAATGTGGTTGGCTACACTGCTGAGTGCAATTTTTCTGAAATTTGATTGTTGTGTTTTAGTGTGGTTTTAAAACGTAAATTTGGGTTTGTCATCGGATTGGGTGAGTGAAATTTGGTTTATATTGTTGATTTATTATACAAAGCGTTTATTTCATTACGGTGCGGCGTTTAAAAAAATGTGTAGCGGAGGTCAGTGTGGCGGTAATAATTTGAGGTTATGTGCACACTTTGTAATTTAAAAAAATGTTTTATTTGAAAAGAGTCGATGATAATTTTTCAAAACTATTAAAAACGTGATTTTTGTGGAATTAGAGTGATGTGTTTATAATGACGTTTTTAAAATTATGATTTGTTGCGTATATACAGGGTGTCTCAGAAATAAGTACATTAATTTTAATCAGTTATAGAGCTCATTGAACTCAACAACTTTTTTTAGTAGAGTTTTGTCAAGAACTTTTTAATTATCAAGTTAAAAATTGTTAAAGTTATATCCCAATTAAGGTTACCCGCCCATGGATCCTTAGTCACCCATGGACACTAATAATTATTATAATTAATAATGTATGGTCAAAAACAGTTACTAGGATACGTATTTTCCTAATCGTGTCAATGTGACAAACATTTAGAGAGAAATTGAAAATCCTGATCCCTAATGGCATACGGAATTTCATTGGCCCAAATGTGGGTGTTGAACACCTTCCCTCGTGTAACCGACTTCATCACTTGATGGTATAAGAGATACAAAATTTGCTTGTTCGTTTATTTTTCTATTAACCCACTTACAAAAGTTTTGCCTACGTGGTAAGTCTGTTAGTTTCAATAACTGAACTTTCTGGTCCTGAAAGGGGTACATTTGTTCTCTGAGTATCCTCCAAATACTATTCTCCGATACATCACACTAGACAGTGATACGTGCTAGTGCCCGGTCGAGCTTCGACACTCTTCAAAACAGCCTCTTCAGTATTAGCAATTCTATTACTACGTAACTTACCCCGATCCTGAGGTACAGGTTTAAAAGATCAGTACTCTCGAAAATGCTACAACGTTCTTAAAACTGCGTACATTTGGCAGACGACGATTTGGGAGGTTTTCTGAAAAAATTCGTTGGCCGCGAGTGCCGTTTCTCCGAGCTTCACCGTACGTTAAAACGATATCGGTGCATTCCAGATTTGAAAACAAAGCCATTTCAACACATTTCGTCTATAAATTAGAAATCTGTGCCACACAAACTTTAAAGAGACAACGTTTAATAAAAACATTGACATAAAAGTGATTGTCAGTGTCAAAACGGTTGCTACGGTACCTTCTTCATTGTTGTAGTGCTGCTATTATTTAAGTTATTATTTAAGGTGAACATAGACGGCTCGTGAATATATGGGTGGGAAAATTCGAAATTCAACTTGAGTTTTCGAAAAAATGCTAGATAAAAAAGTTGTTCCGTTTCACGAGTTCTGTTACTGGTTAAAATTAATGTACTTATTTCTGAGACACCCTGTATGTGTAATCGTGGAGGTAGGTCGAATATACACAGTGTCCCATTTATTTGATTCCTGCAGACATATAAATTAAAACTGTTTAGATTGGCGTCACAATTTTGTGATTGTAATCGAGTCTAGTTTTATGTTTTCTCGACCTTTCATGACCCCTACAGTACGAAGTCTGCCTGTCTGTACGTCTGTCCGTCTGTCCTTCTGGCTGTCTGTCAAATTTTGTATTTATGTTAGGAATATCATGTAGATGGTAAAACGCTAACCACTAATACGATAACGTCACTTCAAAATTGTACATATATCCCTTAAGAAACTAAAGGGCGGGTAGGTGGGGCCAGCACTTGCTAAGGTAAAACTGATTTTGGCAAATGACATCCTCTAAGAAAATAAAGGGCGGGTGGGTGTTTGGGGTTGGTACCTATCAAGATGAGACTGATTTTGGCAAATGAACAATAACAAGGCAAACATTTGCATTCGCGGTTCGTTGGGTCAATTATAAATATTGATCTCACTCAGAGTGTAGAGAGTACATGGAGATTTTCTTTGAATGGGAGTGAAATAAACTTCTATAAAATTCGGTCAAAGCAGACAGAGTCAAATACAACCACTGGGAACTGCAATAATAATGATATATTGTTTTTATAATAATTTGATAAAATTCCAAAAAATGAGAGAACGGGTGGGTGGGCGGGGCTTAGTTTAACTTTTCCCCACAAAATCTTTTATAAGCAAGCAATAGCCCCGCCCACCCACGCCTCTTCATTCGTTGTTATTTGCTATAACATATAACACCCGCCCTCTATTTACTTAGGAGGTATGTAATTTGCCACAATCAGTCTTATATTAGTACGTTTTAGCCCGCCGACCCACCCTTTTTTCTTCTTAGAAGATATGTGATTTACCAAAATCAATTTTATCTTAACAAATACTAGCCCCGCCCACCCGCCCTCTATTTTCTTAGGGGATATGTAATTTACCACAAACAATCCAATCTTAGCAAATTTTAGCACTTGCTAAGATAAGACTGATTTTGGCAAATGACATCATCTAAGAAAGTAAAGGGCGGGTGGGCGGAGCTACTATTTGCTAAGATAAGGCGGATTCTGGCAGATGTCATATACTCTAATAAAATAAAGGGTGGGTGGGCGGGGCTAGTACTTGCTTAGGTAGACTGATTTTGGCAAATAATATATCCCCTAAGAAACTAAAGGGTGGGTGGGCGGGGGCAGCACTTGTTAAGATAAAACTGATTTTGGCAATGGGTTTTAAAATGTATAAAATAACATCGCAATACACCTGTAGTTTATGACGCCATGTTGAGTTTTTACCCGAAACGTCCAGATTTTCGGAAAAAAAATCAAAATTATAGAACATTTTGCAATTTAATTTTGAATCTGCAAAACCGAATGATTTGAAATCTAGCAGATGTTTTAAAGTTATGATAAGCATGATAAATTTTTAATCAAAATACTGGGTGTCTCGAAAATGGCAGATTAACTCCCCACTACGCTCTTAACAATCAACTGGCGAGTCTGGGAAAAATAATAAAAACTTTTCGCCTCACATTTTGGTGGAGTTATAATGATTTTAAAATTGGTTCTTTTGCTGCGTTTAACAAGTAAACAACACATTTATTATCACAATAACTAGTAATAAAACTTTTAGTTAATATTTCCCTGGCCCATGACCATGTTGAATTACCATTTCAGTTAGAATGTACAAAGATATGGTTGTGGTGTTTTTGTAATAATTTGATAAAATTCCATTTGACATTTGACAATAATGTTTGCTTGATATAAAGCGAAGGTACAAATCAGCAAAAATCGAGTAAGCAGTTAAAAATGTTTGACGTATCTACAATTGTCAAAGTTTTCAAAATCCTACGTTCAAACTGTTCGCAGTAAATTTTAGGTTCCCTGGTGTTTTATTTTCGGAGAAACTTAAAGGAATCTGGTGTTTTGTTGCTGAATGAACCCCAAAAATCATTTGACCTTTTAGTGTTTTATTTTTTATTACGAATTTGAAAAAATCAGCGTTATCTGAGCAAGTTTTAGCTCCGCCCACCCGCCCTCTCTTTTCTTAGAGGGTATCTTATTGGCCAAAATCAGTCTTATCTTAGCAGCTACTAGCCCCGCCCACCCACCCTCTCTTTTCTTGGAAGATATGTCATTTGCCAAAATCAGTTTTATCTTAGCTAGTACTTGTTAAGACAAGACTGATTGTGGCAAATTACTTAACCTCTAAGAAAATAGAGGGCGGGAGGGGCTAGTACTCGTTAACGTAAGACTAATTTTGGTAAATAACATACCCCCTAAGAAAATAAAGGGTGGTTGGGCAGTGGTAAAATTGCTAAGATGGGACTGAAAAATATTAAGAGTCGTCACTGGAATGAAGAAGGGGTGGACGGGTGGGGCTACTGCTTGCTCATAAAACTAGAAAAAAATTAAACTTGCCCTCACCCGCCGACCCATTTTCCCATTTTCTTTCTTCTGAAATAAAAAATAAATCTCATAGCACATAGTGTAAGACAAAAATTGCGATTAGCACTTTTTTCTTTTTTCAACAGCCTACGTTCTGTTAGTTCCTATTTCTACTCTACAGAAGAACATATAATGAACTCCGCCCACCCACCCGCCTCCATTTCAGTGATTCATTTTATCTAGTCCGAATGAAAGGTGGATTTTAAGTCAACAGAGATAAAATCGTTTGATTGAGAGCAGCGTGTGTGGGCGGGGCTAGTACCGCTAAGATAAGACTGATTTTGGTAAATGACACTCTTCAAAAATTAAAGAGTATGTGGCGCTAGTATTCGTTAAGATAAGACTGATTGTGCCAAATGATATACCTTCTAAGAAAACAGAGGGTGGGTGGGCGGGGCTAGAACTTGCTAAGATAGAACTAAACAATATTAAGGGCCGGTTGCATAAACGCAAATCAAATTTAATCTCTGATTAAGAACAATTGTAACTATGATAATAACAATCGTTACTATGGAGTTAATCAGAGATTAAATTTGATTTGCGTTTATGCAACCGGCCCTAAGAGTAGTGGAAAGATGAAACGGTGGGTGGGCGCGGTAACGGTTTAGTTGGTTATGCTTTAATGGATTTTTCTTTTATTGGTTTTGTTTTTGTTTATAATTTATAAATGTCTTATTACATGTTTTTTAATGACTACTGGTTGTTACGGTTATTGTCCTAAAAAAAAAAATAAAAGGTGGATTTCAGTCACCATCATGTCACCATCGTTACTAAGAAATCAGAAAGTAAGCTGGAGGTATTCATGCATTAGTGCGTGGAGTGTTGCCAATTTTACTTTATAAAATTACGTTTTTTTGTTATCTACATCATAAAGAATTTTAAAAAATTTTTTTTTGGAACTCCCGAAATCCCTGTATATGACGTATTGAAGAGTTAATTCGCCATTTTCCAGACACCCGATATACATATTTGCCTATCCCCTCCAAGAAAGTGATGACGTCAGCTGAAAATTTTGCCGAATCTATCTAAAATGTCCGAAATATGATGAGTCTATACTTGTGATTTATAATTCCATTCATATTTTTTGGATTTGGTTAAACAGGGTGACTCGAAAAAAAATTAATGAATGCGTAAATTTATTTTATAGACTGAATTAGGAACTGCAAAACAGTGCTTTGAAATCTTGGAGATGTTTTAAAGTTATCACAAGCATGGTAAATTTTTGATCAAAATATTTTTCTCACCTCACCTAAAAAGTTGATGACGTCACCTCAAAATATTGCCGAATAAATCCTATCTAAAATGTGCAAAATATGACTAGTCTATACTTGTAATTTATCATTGCATTATATTTTTTGGATTTGCTTATACAGGGTGATTAAAAAAAATAATGAATCAGTCAATTTATTTTATTGAATAAATTAAGAATTACAAAACTGAATATTTTCAAGTTTTAAAGTTATTGTAGGCATGGTAAATTGTTAATCAAAATGGATCTGTTTATTCGCCCCAAAAATTGATGACGTCATCTCAAAATTTTGCCGAATAAATTGTACCTAAAATATGCAAAATATGATGAGTTTTTACTTATGACTTATCATTGCACTCATATTCTTTAGATTTGCTTAAACAGGTGGCTCAAAAAATTTAATGAATGAGCCAATTTATTTTACTGATTAGATCAGAAACGGCTCACTCCATTTTCCCAGCAAATTTTTGAAATACAATGCTGTTATTTTTAGTATTACATTGCACCAATCCAAGTTGATATACGTGTCCTTGCAAAAATGTTGATGACGTCATCACAAAATTGTGTAAAGAAAAAACTCACTTCAGAAATGTCATTGTACTTCAAGAGCGACGGAAGTTCTGTCGAAACAACTTTTGATCATTTTTTTCTATTTTGTTTACCTGATTTGATTGACTGATAAAAGCTGAATCCATACAGTTTACACTGAAATTTTTTTGAAACAGTTAAAAGTAAGTTAATGACCTGTTAAGATGTCAGTATGAGAGGTTACCTTTGTCAATCTTTGAATTTAAAGTGGGTTTTATAAACTTGTTGTTGACGTTAAAGTTCTCGTTGCAGTTGCTGTTCCCACCCATACTCAACAACATGTTCTTAATTTCTTGTAAAGAAGTAAGTATTTTGCAGTTAAACTTCGCCCCCTTGGTTCACGGCGAAAAAAAATCATCACAATTGAGATAGGGCGGGTGGGCGGGCTTACATTTTGCCTTTTTGTTTTAATATGTGTAGACTTCTTTAACATGAAACTTAAAACATGTTAAAGCCCCACCCATCCGTTTCGATCTCAATCGTGATGAATTTTTCATTCGTTGTCAGACTGAAGGGCGGAGCGTAATTGCAAAATCGATATTCCCCTATATTAAACGTCGAGAACTATCTTCAACAATGCATAAGTACTGGCAGAAAGCTACAGTGTAGAAAATGATGACATCTTTTTAAAATATGAGGGTTTCGGTGAAATGGCTTAATATTAGTGGACCTCATTATCTCTATCAAAATTTGATTTTCGTGGAATTAGTGCTGCCAACCAGAAAAATGCCCCCCGTACTTTTGGGGAGTTTCCCTCAAGCTGGCAGAATTACTCACTACCGTAATTTCATTTCATCTCGAACGTGAACGGATGATGTAAACGACGCATACCTTCGCTGCGTATTTATCTTACAATGGCAACATCAACGCCGAACAGCAACTTCAGCGGCAAGTTTATAAATCGACCTTAAGTCTTCCCCCCAAAATAATTATCTATCATATTTTTGTTTCTTTTATTGGTTACAATTGTGAGTACATTTTGTTACAAAGTAACTTTATATTATACGTTTGAGACAATGATGAGTTGTATATAAATTAAAAGGCACTAAATTTTACTACTAAATAATAATACAGACAATAAAGTATAACTGAGTTATAGATATATTATAGCACCTCATTATTTATTGTGGCTCCTCTCCAATTAAAACCAAAAGACATTTTTGATAATCACCAGACGTATCCTCCTGCAACATATAAGTATTACGAAAACAAAACCACCTTGCGATTTAATAACTTACAACAATATCGGTAGCCAAAGTCGCTGTATATAGTGTTTCATATTCCTTTTTAATATCAGCCATATCAATTTCGCTCCTTGTCACAACAAGTCTCATCAAATCTCTATCGCTTGTTCCAAGTCCTGCCATAGTTGCATGAAGCTGCTCAGCGAAAAATTTAGCCGGATTTTTCACATCACCCACAATAGCCAAAAGTCCAGTTTTAACATCTCCAGAGAAAAAGTCATCAATGGCATCTTCGATACTCTTTCCGGCCACATTTTGATACTCATTGAAAATCAACTGCAACTGAGCGTAGCTTCTGTGGCAGAACACATCGTGGTAGACATTCCAGCGAGTGTCACTCGTAGCGTTGTACATAGAGTTAGCATCAGTAAGAGCTGCTTCTTGATCAGGATGCTGATATTCGTCTCTTTCAGTACGACAAAGAGAGAGCAAGAGATCTCTGTATTCACCGCTAGTATCGTCAATTACAGCATCTTCAAGCTTCACGGCATATTCTATAAAATAAAATTAAGAATATGTACGTGGTTCACTACCTACGACTTACGTTGATGATACGAACGACGGACCGCCAAAATTTCGGCATTGCTTAAAGTGCACAGTATTTCAGTCAAGTCATTCTCGTCAGTACCAGCACCAACCATAGCATAATTCAGCTCTGAAGCGTAGTACTGATCGAGAGGTGTCATCATCGCCACGATCAAACTTTCGAAATCTCCACTAAGCTTGCTCATCAGATCTTCAATAAGATCCGCATCGTGTAGGGTTCGGTATTCGTTGACGATCTCCAAACGTTGGGCCAGAGAGCGCTTGGCCAAAATGTTGATGATCGTTGCTACGTCGGTTGTATCAGCATGAAGGGCTTGGTACAAATCTTCGGCGTCTTCACGTACAAGGAAGAACCTTGAAGGGAAGACAGTTGGGGCGTTGCCTGGGTGGAAAGTCTACAAAATTGTATGAGTTATTAGAGGAAATTAAGCGGACGGTTTATTTATTTAGTACACACCTTTTTACAACGGCAAGTTCCGTACATACTCATCTTGGTCTGCAAATAGGAAAAATTGATTAGTTGGTTTATCGTTTCTTGGTCGATTCTGTTGTGAGAACAACTCGTTTCGGCGCTTTTTATATAGGTGCGATACAAAAAAAAAATAGTGTCAAAGACCCGCCGGTGAATTTATTTGTATTAAAAATACATTTCCTACTTAATTTATTTTTATCAGTTGATTTATTGTTTTTTTGTTAGTTTAATAATGTGCATTAAAATCTTATCGGGTAAAGATTTACACTAAATCTGTTTACTGACCAAATTTGACTTGAGTCATGTGTTTTTCTTTGTTATGAAAAGTTTTTGTCACGAGTTTGAGTAATTATTGTGACTCATGTGTAAATCTGGAGAAATGGAGTTTTTGAAAATTTTTAGGTACTGCATACAACAGTTAGACTTTTTTGAAATAATCATTATAACAAATAACAAAAAGAATTGAAAAAGTGTTTATAAAATTCCCAGGCTTTGAGACTAACTTTGGATATTTTTTTTTTCAAAATATTAGAACAAAAGTATTTATTAAATTTTCCATTACTTTAGCGGTGAAGATGACAATAAATCATGTTGATAAGCTGTTCCTTACCTTTTTTTTTAAGAAAATAGCCCTTACCTGAGAAATTTACATTATTTAAATTTTTGTGTTAATTTTTACTAGGGCAGTTTTTTTATCGTCATTATCAAATTGGTTATTAAGCATTTGCCACTTATTAGAAGTGACAGTTTAAGATAAATTGAAGTACTTACCGCGATAACACGTCACACAATTATAGTTTTTCTTTAAGTTACACTGCTCTGCTATCGTTGAACTGACTTAATACGGATAGTTTGGCGTCTTTTAAACAAAACTTTATCTTTAGGTAATACCGTCATTCTCCTAAGGGTGTGCGTGATTTTGAAAACACTTAACAAATTCTAGAAAGGATGATTTATTGGGAACATCGACTTGTTGAAATAAGGTGATCTAATTTATTTATAAATAGGAAGGTTAACAAACGTTATTCAAGTGAAATATAAATACATCCCGGAAATATGTAAATCACATTGTTTTTACCTGACCTGATGCATGCTGGGGAGTACCCTCCTTAAAACGAAAATTAGGCTTTCTTTGTGAGTGAAAGACTTCAATAGGGGGTATTCTAGTGGAATGTGAGGACGAGAGAACGTGGGAGTGGCTAGGACTAAGGATTGTCGTTATGGACCTATTGTTAGAGTTTTTCACCGGTCACGGAGCCTCAAGTGGCACACCTAATTTAAAAAGAAAAACGCCCTAAGATTTCCATAAGACTATTAATTTCTGTTAAATAATGTTTATTATCTATTTATTCCGGAACAAACATCCGACCTGACAATGAGTCAAAGGAAGTGACATTGCAAGAGGTGTCAGGTAGAAAATACTGACGCGTTTTCGCAGTATTATTTTATTATTTATCTACGTATAAATAACAAACCGAATATCACGTAAATTATGAGAACAGTGATATTGATGATGAATAAGGCTCGGATAATACCCATTCACGATCTTTATATAGTAAAGTAGGCTTTGATATTTTTTCTTAAAGTTGGATAAACTGATTTGATGATCTAGTTTTTTGTCTGTCAGTAGTCTGATTGACATTTGCTTTGAGCTGGATAGCCACTTTTCTACTTCATTTATTAGATCAGAATTTATTAGACGCAATTTTTTAACCAAGCAAACAAATGTTTTATTTTTGTCAGCATAGATAATTTGTCATTGTGACAGATTCACAGATCATTGCGACATTATTTAAAAAGAAAGTGCCTAAAATAGTTTTGCTGCAACAAAAAATTGCAATAAAAAGATGTTTTTTGCGGTTTCGAAAAGACAAGCCCGATCTTTCTTTTGAAGAGGTAACTATGAGGGTCTCGAATATATTTACTGTAATGTAAAAATACGCTGCAAAATATTTTTTAATTTTTTTTCTCATACGTGGGAACATCAACTACGGCGAAAATTTTATCAACAGGGGCCAAAATTTAAAAACATCAGTATCTGGCAAGCGAAAACCAACGGATTTATTTGCAAATTATATGTTTCGGAAAGACCTGCAACGACAAATTTGGCAACTTAATGAAAAAAACGAATATTTCACTGTAGATACACTTTTGGCATTTTATAGGGAACAGTTGTAATTTAAAGAGGGGCGAACCACATTATACAAAATTCTTAAGTCAATGGGCTATAAACACAGGGAAGTAAATGGTCGCAAAATTATATGTGAACAAAAACATGTCGTTGCAGCCAAAATTACTTTTTTGAGAATATATTTACAGTTTCTAAGTTCTTGTGAAAATTTGACTTTCGTGTATTTGGATGAAACATGGATCTATCAAAATGGTTCGTCCATTCGTCGCTGGGTGCACGATACTGATCTAAAAAGCAATCCCACCAAAATTAAAAGTGAAGGATAAAGGTTTACTATTCTCCACGCGAGTGGTTCAACGGGGTTCTTGGATGGTTGTGACAATTTTTTAAATTCAAAAAATTACGATAGAGACTATTATAAAACGATGGACGGGACAATTTTTCGAAATTGGGTGGTTAATCAGCTCATTCCTGCCTTGGCAAAGTTGAACCAAAAATGTGTTTTAGACAGTGCACCGTATTATTCGGTTCAGTTGGATAAACCACCCACTTTTTCTAGTAAAAAATGTGAAATGCAAGAATGGCTCTTTAAACATAGTGTTGAATTTGACAAAAAAATTTCGAAGAAACAGTTGTGGGATTTAATTAAACCCTTCAGAAACAATAGAAAAAAAAAAAGATATTTACTAGACAAGACATTAAGAGAAAGTGGCCATGAAGTTCTTAGATTACCTCCGTACCATTGTCAATATAAACCAATTAAAATGGCGTGGGCATTTTGTAAGAACTACAGGGTCATTATAAAATATTGTAGTCGAAGAAGGCCATGATTTTGGTGACATTTTGTGCCGCCTTTTTCAGTTTTGTGGAAAGGATTACACTAATATTGGAATTTTTATTTTTTACGCCACATTAGTTGACATTAGCGGCTGCACTGTTTCAACGCTTCATCAAATTCTGTCAGATGTCAATAATTTTTTCGTTTGTACTGGTACGTTTTCCCTCACTTTGTGCGTGAATTGACTTGTCTTGTTTTCATTTTTGCTGTCTTCCCCTTTGTTAGAACTTTAATAAGTGTCTCAAAAAACAGTTTTTATCAAAACTACAGATCATTGTGGAATAATCTCAGGTAATGAACACAGAGGAATAACTATGGTCAGTGTTACAAATGATTTTTTTAGTTCTTTGGCGCAATCATCATGCCTATTACCGTAATGGGGTGTTAAATGAGGATGGGGATGGAGTGTACTCTGTGGAGGCGTCTAAAAACGAGTATCTAGTGAAATGTTCTGTTGTCATTGATGAAGAATCTTTGAAGACGCTATACGGCGAATTATGGCCAGATTTAACGACACTGGTAGCATTTCTAAGTGAAAACCGACGGGGAGACCTCAAGTTAGTGAAGACGTTGTTGAAGATTTAAGGATGAGAATGGAACAAAGTCCGAATAAAGCTTTGTCAAAAATCTTTACTGTCCGGAGTACCATACAGCCCATGTCAGAAAATCGTAAAAGAGAAGTTACATATGCATCCATACAAGATTTTGTTGGTTCAGGAGCTGCAACCAGCTGATTTTCCTTGCCGCGTTGGGTATTGTAGTTGGTTTCAAGCTGACATGGACGATAACGGGATTCTCGATTTATCGTTCTTTTCTGATGAAGCCTGGTTTCATCTGTTAGGCTATTATGTCAACTGACAGAACTTCAGAATTTGGTGTATAGAAAATACACACGCTTTTGAAGAAACACCATCACACGCAATGAAGGTTGGTGTGTGGTTAGCTGTTTCCAGACGACGATTCATAGGCCTGATACTTTTTCAAGTAAATGAATGTGATCAATAAACAAAATTAGATGTAGAAAGTGTATGTAGGTACTGCAATAAAGTTTTTTATTTTCAGTAACTTTCATTTTTCTTTCGGTGTTAGTTGCATTCTCTTAATTTAAAACTTACTTCAACTTACTGTTTAGTAATAATTGTAATTTTACTATTAGGAAAGTTAAAAGTCTTTATTAAACATTCTGTTGTTTCAAGAGATCTCATAATCATCTACAGAACTCTTAACACTATGCTCCTGAAATTTTATTAGTTTTTTCATCTTTTTTGTTATAGAAATTTTGAAAAATCTTGATATTAGGATGGCCATGTGGGCGTGTTTTGGGTAGAACCTCTTTGACATTCCTGTTATGCAGATCTGGCATGTTTCAGATATCTAGAAACTGTAAAGCTGAAGGTAATGTTTGGACATAGCAGTTTTCACCTATTGTAGGGATGAAGATCAAGGCTTTGAGTTGTGTTTTTTCAAGAGAAAAGCACCGGTCACAAACCATGTCTGCACCAATATTTTGACGATTCCTTACAATTTACAAACAGAACTTTCGCGGGATCACAACTTTGGCAAAATTATTTACTGCAAAAACTCATTAGGTACTCATAGTGTTCGTTAACTGTGATAAGACTTGCTCTGCCATTGTCCATTACGTGATTTTTCACAATTTTTACCTTCAGGGTACCTATAAAAATGTAATTTTTTAAATAATTACCGTGTTCATTGGTTTCGACAAACTTAACCTCACTTTTTGGATTTCATTATTTGAAAAATTATTGCTTCTTTGCAAAACAGACCAGATGATTTATTCTGTTCAACTCCAATCGACTTTCCAAGGTGTAATTCATGACAAAGCCCTTAAACGTTTTTCTGACAATTTACAATTTTTGAAACTGAAATGTATTGCAGTGGCGTTCACAAATGCTCGATAACACTGCAACCCTTAATGCTCTGGCCTGGCGTCTTTTCGTGTCTATTTAAAATGAAATTAAACCGCGAACCGGGCATTTCAATTTTTGACACATCTGACAGATTTGTTTGGACGTTCGTGACATTTCAAAACAGTTCAAATCATTTTGGTGATTAGCGGCACGAGAAAAATTTCATTTGTTTTTCATAGGTGAGTTGACTACAATATTTTATAATGACCCTGTATATTACAACAAGCATATAAATTCTCAATCTTCATTAAAAAATAGTGTGGAGAATTTATGGCTTGAGGCGCTTTCTAAATGTACTCCAAACATGTGGCAAAATTTTTGTAAACATTGTGAAAAGCTTATTTTGGCAGATTGGAAAAAAATATGGGAAATCTTTCGTACGAATCTATACCTCCTTTAATTATTTCGCTAGGTGAATCTGATTCAGAATCTGTATTTGAAAATGACGGTGATGATACAGATTTTCATAGCGAAATAATGGAAGTGGAGTGAATTGTAGCTTGTCGGGGGGTGATATTTTTACGCATTTTTCGTTCTAAATTTACCAAGGTAGTATGTGAAAAACTACCTGACGTACAACAAAATAAGTATAGTTTTAGTTAAATCATCCACGTTGTTACTTTGCACCAAATTTTAAGCATTTTCATTTTTTTTTTGTAACTCTTCATGGACCTGGAGAAGGCGTATAGTAACGTTCTTATTAATAAGCGCGTGGAAGTACTTAGTAAAAGCAAATAAAGAGCACTTACGTAAGCATTAGTAATAGCTATATAGATAAATCATTCAATTTAAGGCCGGAAAAATGTTTCAGAAGAGCTAAACCCATCAAAGCACTAGAGTAAGGTTGTCTTTTACCAACCCTTTTAGTAATCTTAGAAAAGTGACAAAAGTAGTTGGAAGATATGTAAATAGGCTGTTCACAAAGGTCGAAATTTCCATTTCTAAGAAGAGTGGGCGAGCAGAACGAACTGATGATTGAAAATTAAAGATGAGATGCTAAATGTGGCATGCGACAATAGTCGTATGTAGAACCCCCATTCATATAAAAACAATGTTTAAGTGAAATTTTAGTGTTTGTTCCTTACATATGAAATAAACACTTACAAAAAGCCGAATAACTGTTTTAAATAGCGTAAAGTTTTATGCTTTCTAAGAAATGGATACCGTTAACTTGGTCATTGTCACTTGAAAACTGAAAGTATCGCCAACAATGTTTATATATCTGGCATATTTTTTAACCTTTAATTTAATAATACATAACCTAACGAAAAAAGTTCAGGGAAATTTTATTCTTCTGCATTGAATACCAGCAAACTCACTAGATTTTCATGGCCAACCCTACTATATAAAGATCGTGAACGGATAATATGCAAAATGCATATTTTTGCATATTCTTCATATTCAACTATTTTTTTTTGCATTTATTGCAATCTTAAGTACATTTTTATGCATATTTGAAAATTTTTGCTCTATTTTTCGTGGTAATTGGTCAAAGTCTCAATTTTAATACAATGTTAATACAGTTGCTTATTGGAAGTATGCAGGTAAATAAATACCGACCTTTTCTAGTAATGCGGACGGGTTTTTCCAAGACTTCATTTATGAGCACCCCCAATTAGGCGTATTACCGGAATTCTTTATTTAAGGGCCTCTAAGCCGGATGTTGTAAATTATACATGTTTTAAGTTTCTAGTTGCGAAAAGAAGCCTATGTATATTAAGAAAAAACAGGCAAAATATAAGCCCCACCCACCCGCCCTGTCTTAATTCTGATGATTTTTTTATTCGTCGTAAGCCGAGGGGTGGAGCTTAATTGTAAAATCCTTATTGTTCTAGGAGAAATTATCAAATGAAATAATTTCTCAAGTAATCGTGTTATAGAAAGAAAAGTAAATGTATTAATTAAAAAAAAAAACAAAAAAAAAAAAAGAGAAGATGAATGTTTCATTCATTGTCAGAGCGAGGGGCGGAGCATAATTGGAAAATCGATATTTCCTTACAAAAATTTCCCATTTTAAAACGTTTTTTAAGTTTCTAAGAAAAAAAAAATCATTACAATGGAGATGGGGTGGGTGGGCGGGGTTTATATTTTGATTTTTTGTCGTAACATACATAGTATTTTTTGAACAACACGATGTTTTTATTTTCTTGTAAAGAAATAAGTATTTTGCAGTTAAGTTACGCCCCCTTGCTTCACGGCGAATAAAAAAAATCATCACAATTGAGATAGGGCGGGTGGGCGGGCTTACATTTTGCCTTCATGTTTTAATATGTGTAGGCTTCTTTTCGCAACATGAAACTTAAAACATGTTTAAAATCGAAAATTGGTATAAGGAAATATCGATTTTGCAATTAGGCTCCGCCCTAGCATGCAAAATACATATTTCCTTTCAAAAATGTACCATATTAATCATGTTTTACGTTTCTTGTTGTGAAAAGATGGCTCTGTATATTAATAAAAAAAGGGAAATATATGCCCCACCCACCCTCCCTGTCTCAATTCTGATGATTTTTTTATTCGTCGTAAGCCGAGGACAGGAGCTTAATTCCAAAATCCTTATTTTTCTACAAGAAATTACCATGTGAAAGATGTTCTTTAGTAATCGTGTTATACAAACAAAACTAAATGTTTTAATTAAAACAGAAAACCAAAAGAGAAGTCGCGGCCATGCGTGTCGATCTCAATCGTGATGAATTTTTCATTCGTTGTCAGACCGAGGGGCGGCGCGTAATTGCAAACTCGACATTTCCCTATACAAATTTACCATTTTAAACATGTTTTAAGTCTCTTGTTATGAAAACATGACTACACATATTAAGAAAAAAGGCGAAATGAGTTTGAAATCTTAGATTCCACCACTTGTCAAAATAGAATTCAATTCCCATTTTACAGTAAATAAAATAGATCAATGAAATAGAGAAAAAAGATGGCGGAGCTGAGTTTAGCTTTTTTCTAAAGAGTCTTATAAGCAAGCAGCACTCCCATCCACCTACCCCCTCTTCATTTCAATGACTACTCTTAATATTGTTCAGTTTAATCTTAGCAAGTACTAGCCCCGCCCACCCACCCTCTATTTTCTTAGGAGGTATGTCATTTGCCAAAATTAGTCTTAACTTAGCAAGTACTAAGTACATGTGTCAACAGTAAAAAATATGTTGTGCACCATATTCGCAAATTATTATTAAATTATTAATAACTAATTATTATTTAACTATTTATTAAACATCAGTTCAATAAAACAAATCAAAATTACGAAATTTAATATTTTCAAAAGTTTGGTGTAGGGACTAAATGTCAAAAGCTGGGGATAATCGATGTCATAATGTAACAGTCTTTTGGAAAATATAGAGGCTCTGATACGTCTAGTCCATAAGTCGTTATAAATTTAAATAAAAGATCGGTTTGGGGGAGGCCTCTAGAAGGATAAATAGCACCAATTTTAAGTGCTAAAAATATGAGAAAACGTCTCTGGACTTTTTCCATAGACTGAATGTAGATACAACTGAGCTGAAGGAGCCTATACAATACTAGCGTGTTTAAGTTTTGATCTTATGAAAGCACAATATAAAGTATTAAAAGTAGTGATATTATTGGAAGAACTAGACGATTTGATGATAAACCCAAGAGATTTAAGACGTAATGTAGCATTTATCAAAATTAATAAATAGCATGTTATATTTACTCCAGTTTTCAAAAGAGTGAATGTCTTTTTGAAGAATGACAGCCTTCAACATTAATAATAACAGATTTTCGGTGGCCTGCGTATATTAATACCTGAGAAATAATGTTTTTAACGACATAATTGATGTAGATAATAAAAAGCACTAATAAAACAGTCCAAAGTGTTTATACGAGGTAAGCGCCAAATATTCTCGGCCTGATATATTTGCGATTGCTCGTCGGGAAATTTGTACAACTCATAAAAGACTAGAAGGTCCCCGCAGTATGTGTGTAAAATTTCAAGCCCCACTGCCCATTAGTTTTGATACATTTGAGGAGTAACATTTGAAAAATTATGGACTCATCATGCCTGTTTAAAATTGAAAATCGAACGGCAATAAAATTCTTATCAAAAGATGGAATTGCTCTAAAGGGTATTAAGGACAGGATGGTTTTTGTGTTTGCTGAAGCTTGTCCTTCACATTTTACTAAAAAAAATGATCACAGTTATTTCGCATGGGGTAAGAAACCCTTGAAGACGAACCAATCTTCCAAAAAAATCATGGCCACAATTTTTTGGGACTGTAAAGGCATGTTGTTGATTAATTTTAAAGGATGAAATACCACTGTCAACGCTACATATAATGCTTACTTACTGCATAAATTAAGAGACCGTATTTGGGAAAAAAGGCCGAGAAAATTAACAAGAGGCGTTCGATTGCTTCATGAAAATGCGCTCGTTCATACCGCATGTCTTTCTCAAGCTGCTATAGGGGCCTGTGACTTCGAGTAACTTGATCATCCACCCTACAGTACTGATTTAGCTTCGAACGATTATTAACTGTTCTCTAAGATAAAAAACGACTTGCAGGGAAAACGTTTTGGACGGATAAAGAGGTGCAAACGGCAGTACTACATCATTTTAGTGATAAAGATTCAAATAATTTTTTTAAACGCATAGAGCTGTTAGTTGAACGTAGTTTTGAATGTATTGAAGTTAACAGAGATTATGTTGAAATATAAATATTTAATTTTTTTCCATCAGGTCTCTTTCTTTGTTAGGCCGAGAATATTTGGCGCTTACCTCGTACATTGATATTGAAGGTACTTCACGCATTGATATCTACTAGTTAGGTAAGATTCCATTAATTTAAGTAAACAATCGAGCAGCTTTTATGGGGGAAATCCCCTAAGTACTTGTAGTTTCATATTCTTTGGGTATGCAAGAATCGAAACGAGATTTCTTTGTATCAACAAACTTTATTAGTTAAAATAGTAAGTACATTTTGTTACAAAATAGCTTATTAAAACTCATTTGACATAATTATAAATTGCACATAAAATAAAAAAAACAGCAAAATGCTCTTTATCATAATTACATTATTGCCAAATAATTGTAAATAAGTGTAAAAATAACCTTACATCCGATAAAAAATAGGTTAGATATTATAGATAGATATGGTGGCAACAGATATCTTATAGTGGTTCCTCTGCGATTAAAATCAAAAGACAGTTTCGATAATCACCAGACGTATCATCCTACAACAAACAATTATTACGAGAACAAAAATTACTTTAAGTTCAACTTACAACAATATCGGCAGCCAAAGTGACGGAATATTGTGCTTGATATTCCCTTTTAATATCAGCCAGATCGATTTCGCACCTTGTCACAATGAGTCTCATCAGATCTCTGTCGCTCGTGCCAACTCCTGCTATAGTCGCATGTAGCTGTTGAGCGAAAAATCCAATTGGATTTTTTGCAACACCTACAATATCCAAAAGTCCCGTTTTAACATCGCCAGAGAAAAACTCCTGAATGGAATCTTCGATACTCTTCCCGGCCACTTTCTCATACTCTTCAAAAATCAGCTTCAACTGAGCATAGCTTCTGTGGCAGAACAAGTCATGGTAGACACTCCAGCGGGTCTCAGTCGTAGTATTAAACAAGGACTGAGCATCAGTAACAGCTGCTTCTTGATCAAGATCTTCATCTTCAACCCTCTCAGTACGGCACAAAGAGACCAAGAAATCTTTGTATTTATCGCTAGTATCATCAGTTATATCGTCTCCTAAGTTCACGCTGTATTCTGTAAAGTTTGAAATTAAAAATACGTTGTAGTTCAATAACCACGACTTACGTTGATGATAAGAACGGCGAACTGCCAAAATTTCGGCATTGCTTAAAGTACACAGTATTTGAGTTAAGTCATTCTCGTCGGTACCCAACCCAGCCATAGCATGGTGCAGCTCTGAAGCGTAGTACTGATCCAGAGGTGTCATCAACGCCACGATCAAAGTTTCGATATCACCAAAAAGTTTGCTCTTTAGATCTTCAACAAGATCGGCATCGTATTGAGTTCGGTATTTATTGATGATGTCGAAACGTTGGGCGAGAGAGCGTTTGGCCAAAATTTTGATGATTGCTGATACGTTTGTTGTGTCAGCTTGGAGAGCGTTATATAAGTTGTCGGCATCCTCACTTGCGACGAAGGAGCTCGAAGGGACGACGGTTGGAGTATTGCCTGTCGGGAAAAGCTACAAAATCGTATGAGTTAGCGGAAAACAAGTAATGGTTGTTGATTTACACACCTTTCCGGATTTATTCATGTTGGGCTGCAAATAGGAAAGAATTTATTAGTTGTTTTATCGTTTCCTGGTTGATTTTGTTGTGGGAAGAGCTTGGTTCGGCTGTTTTAAAATTTAATAACCAAGTTATACAATTATGTGCAAATTTGGTGCAGTGAAATGTAATTTTAATTACCCGGGATCATTTAAGAAGGCTACTCATTTGAGAGTTTATTTTGGAAGTACTAATTAACTTTTACATACTTGAACATTGGTGGATACAATTTTTAGTGCTTGTGATATTACACAAAATAAAATTATTACTTGTGTATTTATTTTAAAGTATGTAATAAGATAAGATAATATAGGATAAATTGATGCTCTTACCTTGATGTCAGAACGTAGTGATACCTTTTTTATTAAGTTTTGGTGCTCTGCTATCGAAGAACTGATCTCATGCGGATAGCTTAACGTCTTTTAAACATGACTTTATCTTTAGATAATATTATACTTTCGAGGGAGTGTGCAATTTAGAAAACACTTAACAGTTCTAGAAAGAGATTATTTATTGGAAACATCGACTTACTGATATAAGGTGATATGATTTATTTATAAAATGAAGGTTAACAAACATTATTCAAGTCAAATATAAATGCAACCTGGAAAATATTTGCACTTGAGATAAATATTACATTGATTTTACGTGATTTTTCCTTCTCGAGTAAGCTAAAGAAATCAATAAATGCTTTCATGTTTTGTCGGCTTGTCATGACCCCTAGAATATGAAAAAATAAATCTCCTGTTTCCGTATGTTTGTCTTTCGCCTGTGTCGATTTTTATTAGATAATTTTATCTGTATTTTAGAAACATTGTATAATAGAAAATTTGTCCAATTATCGTCACCAACAATTTGACGACGCCACCTCAAAATTTTGCGTGGTAATTGCTATTTAAATTTTATAATATTTCACATACTTCTATATGTATTTGTGGTTTGCGAATCCGCTTAGGCATCCAGATTTACGCGAAAAAATTAAAATTGTATAATAACGTTTTATCGTGATATGCGAACATTTTTAATTGAGAATGTTACGCGCTTGCTAATGCGACTCAGTTTTCACTTCTCTAGGTAAGCTAAGGAAATATTCTAATCGGGCTACCGATTACTTTATGTTTTCTCTACGTTTCATGTTCCCCTGATATGAACAATCTGATCTGCCGTTTCCGTCTTGTCTGTCTGCCTGCCGTCTGTCCGGTTTTCTATTAGACAGATAATCTCCGAAACTACCGGATCAATTGTTGTCAAATTTTGTATGTATGTTAGGAATAGGTACTTTGTAAATGATAAAACGCAAACTAAAATTTGTCTACTCATCTTCTATGGTACAATGGTAAAGATTATTTAAATTCTATAAAACAACGTACTCCTCCATTTAGTTTATGAATCTGTTGAGTTTTTACCTTAGGCATACAGATTTTTGCAAAAAAAAAAATATGTAAGTATAACAATTTTTCAATTTCTCGATTTTTCAACTGTCGATTTCCAGTTTTTCGATATTTCAGTTTTGGGATTTTCAGTTTTTTACTTCCCAAGCGTAAGCAAAGGAAGTATTGTAATCGAGTCCGTCGGCCGACTCTCTACTTTTACGTTTTCTCGATCTTTCATGACCCCTAGAAGACGAAGAAATAGGTCTCCCATTTCCGTCTGTCTGTCCGTCTGTCCGTCCGTCTGTCCGTCCGTCTGTCCGTCCGTCTGTCCGTCTGCCGTCCCGGATTTTTATTAGACAGATAATCTCCGAAAGTACTCGACCGATTGTTGTGAAATTTGGTACTTATATTAAGAATATCATATAGATGGTAAAACGCTAACCAAAATTTGTCTAGTCATCCCCACCACTAATGCGATGACGTCACTTCAAAATTGTACATAGTAAATGGGTTTTCAATTGTATAAAATAACATAGTCCTACACATGTAGTTTACAACTCTGAATCGACTTTTCACCCGAAACGTCCAGATTTTTGGAAAAAAAATTAAAATTATAAAACAACATGAAATTTGAAATTTAATTTTTAATCTGCTAACCAGAATGCTTTGAAATGTTGCAGATGTTTTAAGGCTATAAAGAGCATTATAAATCTTTAGTCAAAAAATATTTGCTTATCCCCTCCAAAAACTTGATGACGTCAGCTCAAAAGTTTGTGGAATAAATCATTTCTAAAATGTACAAAATATGATGAGTCTGTACTTGTGATCTATCACTCCATTCATATTTTTTGGATTTGCATATACAGGGTGACTCAAAAAAATTAATGAATGCGTAAATATATTTTATTGATTTAATCAGGAACTCCAAAACCGAATGCTCTGAAATCTTGCAGATGTTTTAAGGTCATAAAGAGCATAATAAATGTTTAGTCAAAATATATTTGCTTATCCCCTCCAAAAACTTGATGACGTCAGCTCGAAAGTTTGCCGAATAAATCATATCTAAAATGTACAAAATATGATGAGCCTGTACTTGTCATTTATCACTCCATTCATATTTTTTGGATTTGCATATACAGAGTGACTCAAAAAAATTAATGAATGCGTAAATATATTTTATTGATTTAATCAGGAACTACAAAACGGAATGCTCTGACATCTTGCAGATGTTTTAAGGTTATAAAGAGCATAATAAATGTTTAGTCAAAATATATTTGCTTATCCCCTCCAAAAACTTGATGACGTCAGCTCGAAAATTTGCTGAATAAATCATATCTAAAATGTACAAAATATGATCAGTCTGTACTTGTGATCTATCACTCCATTCATATTTTTTGGATTTGCGTATACAGGGTGATTCAAGAAAATAAATGAAAGCGTAAATTTATTTTACTGATTTACTCAGGAACTACAGAACCGAATGCTTCGAAATCTTGAAGATATTTTAAAATTATTATAAGCATGGTAAATTTTTGATCAAAATGTATTTGGCCGTCCCCCCTAAAAAATTTATGACGTCACCACAAAATTTTGCTGAATAAATCCTATCTAAAATGTACAAAGTATGGTGAGTCTCTTCTTGTGATTTATCATTCCATTCAAATTTTTTCGATTTGCATATACAGGGTGACTCAAAAAAATTAATGAATGCGTAAATTTATTTTATTGATTTAATCAGGAACTACAAAACCGAATGCTTTGAAATCTTGCAGATGTTTTAAGGTTATAAAGAGCATAATAAATTTTTAGTCAAAATATATTTGGTTATCTTCTACAAAAAACTGATGACGTCAGCTCAAAAGTTTGCCGAATAAATCGTATCTAAAATGTACAAAATATGATGAGTCTGTACTTGTGATTTATCATTCCATTCATATTTTTGGATTTGCATATGCAGGGTGACTCAAAAAAATTAATGAAGGCGTGAATTTATTTTATCGATTTAATCAGGAATTACAAAACCGAATGCTTTTAAATCTTGGGAATATTTTAAAGTTATTATAAGCATGGTAAACTTTTGTTCAAAATGTATTTGTTCATCCCTCCTAAAAAAATTGATGACGTCACCCTTAAATTTTGCTGAATAAATCCTATCTAAAATGCAAAAAATATGATGAGTTTGTACTTGTGATTTATCATTCCATTCATATTTTTTAGATTTTCTTAAGAGGTGGTTCAAAAAAATTAATGAAGTCAATTTATTTTATTGATTAAATTAAAGGCAACACTTATTATTAGTATTACACCCCAACCAACCCAATTTGGTAGACACAAAATTTGTTAAAGGAAAAACTCGGTTGAAACATAAGGGTAGCACGCTTATTTACATCGACTTTAACATTACATACCTGCATTTGTTTTATGCGCTCACTTGGTTCCGCGAATGTGAAATAGACATGTGTATAATCAACCAATTGTGAATTTCACCGTCAAGAGTTAAAATAAAACCCAATGTTTTATATAATAAGCGGAAGTCGAAGCAATAAAACCGATGGTCGTTTTGTTTACAGTTTCTCTGTTTGACTCTCACGTATGCTGTTACGCTTGTCATCTTAAATTAAGAATGTTTATACATAAACGATTTTCAGTTGCCTTTCATATTACTAGACAGCGGATTTTTGTCGGGCTACGTCACGATTATAGGTGGGGACGCGCCAAGGAGGGTGGAATAAGAACGGAGGGAGCATGTCGTATGCTTTCAATGGTACGGTTTTGGCCCAAAATCAACTACCGCAAACACCTCGAGAAAAGCCCATCATACTCCATGGGCGTACATCTCAGTTATTTTGTTCCATTACGTGCTGTATATCTTTATACTTTAAGCCGTTTTGTTTTTAATAAATTCAACATGGTGAATTGCAAACTTTGTAAGTCGTGGAATGGAAGTAAACAATCTGTGAATGACAGACTTAGTTTTCATAAGTAAGTAATAAATGTATAACTTGAGTAACTTTGCCCGCCACTGTTTAGCGATTCTCTCGGAACTGGGGGCGTGGTTTAGCCGAGCGCGTATTCCAAACACCGTCATAAACGGTGTCTAGATTTCGGACGGTCGGTGCCACATTTTTCGACCGTACTATCCCTCCGTTCTTATTCTACCCTCCTCGGGACGCGCTGGATCGCCGGGGCTCAGTAGCGGGTGATAGATAATCACTGAATTTAATCAGTACTAATTCCATAAATATAATTAACGATTTATTAATCAAACGGCTAAGTAAATGAGAACGGGAATTAACAGCAGAGTGCAACGAAACAGCGTTATTCTAATCTCAAATAAACGAAGTGCAGTCCGCAACCGCAATGAATTCGCATCCCGTACGAGCCGTACCGAGTTTGGCCTTGCCTAGCCCGACAGAAATCCGCTCTCTAGACATTACACACCGGCGCCGTATACGTGAGTAAATTGTTTCGTTATTTTATTGATTATAAGAAATCAATATTCAAAACGACCCAATTCATTTTCCCGAAAATTTGGGAATACATACAATAATTTTATTCTTAGTATTACACTACATCTATCCCAACTGATATACGTGTCCTTGCAAAAATGTTGATGACGTCATCACAATTTTTTTTTAAATTCCCACTACAAAAATGTAATGAGAAAAAAATACACAATAGGCATGCAGTCGTCAAGTTTCCGACAGCGAAGGAAGTACTGTCTAAACTCTTTAGACCAATTTTTTATTCTTCATTTCTCGATTATTCAGTTTTTCAATTTTTCGATTCTTCAATTGCTGAGTTTTTTCACTTTTCGGTTTAGCAATTTTATCAATGTTTCAGTTTTACGATTTTTCAATTTTTCAGTTTTTCGATTCATCGATTTTTTGATTTTTCAACTTTTCGATTTCTAGATTTTTCGACTTTTTAATGTTTCGATTTTTCAGTTTTTCAATTAAATTTTTCGATTTTTCAATTTTTCCGATTTTTCAAGTTTTTGATTTGTCATTTAAATTTTCGATTTTTTGACTTCGGTATGTAGTCTGCAATTTCTCGATTTTTTTTGTTTTTTTGATTTTTAAATTTTATATTTTTCGGTTCATTTTTATGTTTCCATTTTCCGATTTTTAAAATTTCATTAGTACATACGTTTCAGTAGCATTTCTTGGGCTTACCCCAGAAGTTCAGATCACCAAAATTTTTCCCTTGTTCAATTTTTCGATATTTTAGTTTTGGGTTTTTTAAATTTTTCGATTCTTCAATTTTTGTTCGACTTTACATTTCTTGATATTTCAGTTTTGAAGTTTTTCAACATTTCGATTTTTTACTTTTTCGTTTTTTGATTTTTCAACTTTTCGATTTCTCAATTTTTTGACTTTTTAATGTTTCGATTTCTAGACTTCTCGATTTCTCAATTTTTCGATTTTTCGGTTTTTGCGTTTTTCAATTAAATTTTTCGATTTTGCAATTTTTCCGATTTTTCAAGTTTTTGATTTGTCATTTCTTCGACTTTTTAAATTTTCGATTTTTTGACTTCGATATTTAGACTGCACTTTCTCGATTTTTCGAGTTTCAGTTTTAGGTTTTTTAAATTTTTTGATTCTTCAGTTTTTGTTCTACTTTTCAATTTCTTGTTGTTTCAGTTTTGAGGTTTTTCGAGATCTCGAGTTTTTTGCTTATTCGATTTTAAAATTTTATATTTTTCAGTTGTTCGATTTTTTGATGCTTCCATTTCTCGATTTTTAAAATTTTTCCCTTGTTCAATTTTTCGATATTTTAGTTTTTCGATTTTTAAAATTTTTGATCTTTCGATTTCTCGATTTTTCAGTTTTTCGATATTATTGTTTTTCAATTTTTCAACTTTTTGATTTCCCGATTTTTCGAATTTTTAATGTTTCGATTTCTGGATTTTTGATTTTCCAGTTTTTCAATTAAATTTTTCAATTTTTCCGATTTTTCAAGTTTTTGATTTTTCATTTTTTCGACTTTTTAAATTTTCGACATGCGACTTCGATATTTAGACTGCAATTTCTCGATTTTTCAATTTTTCGAGTTTCAGTTTTAGGCTTTTTAAATTTTTCGATTCTTCAGTTTTTGATCTACTTTTCAATTTCTTGATATTTCAGTTTTGAGGTTTTCCAACATTTCGATTCTCCAATTTTTCGGTGTTTCGAGATCTCGATTTTTTTTGATTTTTCGATTTTAAAATTTATATTTTTCAGTTGTTAAATTTTTTGATGCTTTCATTTCTCGATTTTTTTATTTTTCTCTTTTTCAATTCTTCGAATTTTTAATTTTTAGATTTTTCCGTCTTCTAAGTTTTTTCAATTTTTCGGGTTCTCAATTTTTCGATTCCTCGATCTTTTATTGTTTCGATTAATCGATGTTTCATTTTTTCAAATTTTCGATGTTTCTATTCGATTTTTCAACTTTTCGATTTTGGAATGTTTCATATTCTCGATTTTGCATTTTTCGGTTTTAGAGATCTGGATTTTTTTGTTTTTTCTATTTTTAAATTTTATATTTTTCAGTTGTTCAATTTTTTGATACTTCCATTTCTCGATTTTTCAATTTTTTCCTTGTTCAATGCTTCGATATTTTAGTATTTCGATTTTTTAAATTTTAGATTTTTCGATTTCTGGATTTTTCAGTTTTTCGATATTATTGTTTTTCAATTTTTCCAATTTTTCAAGTTTTTGATTTGTCATTTCTTCGACTTTTTAAATTTCCGATTTTTTGACTTCGATATTTAGACTGCAATTTCTCGATTTTTCGAGTTTCAGTTTTAGGTTTTTTAAATCTTTCGACTCCTCAGTTTTTGATCTAGTTTTCAATTTCTTGATATTTCAGTTTTGAGGTTTTCGAACATTTCGATTCTCCAATTTTTCGGTTTTTCGAGATCTCGATTTTTTTGCTTTTTCGATTTTAAAATTTTATATTTTTCAGTTGTTCAATTTTTTGTTTCAATTTTTCGATTTTTCAACTTTTCAACTTTTCGATTTTGGAATGTTTCATATTCTCGATTTTTCAGTTTTTCGGTTTTTCGAGATCGATTTTTTTGTTTTTTCGGTTTTATATTTTTCGGTTGTTCATTTTTTCTATGCTTCCATTTCCCGATTTTTAAAACTTTTCCCTTGTTCAATGTTTCGATATTTTAGTTTCTCGATTTTTAAAATTTTCGATTTTTCGATTTCTAGATTTTTCAGTTTTTCGATATTATTGTTTTTCAATTTTCCCAAATTTTTAATTTTAAGATTTTTCCGTCTTCTAAGTTTTTTCAATTTTTAGATTTTTCGGCTTCTCAAATTTTCGATATCTCCATTTTTCGATTTTTCAACTTTTCGATTTTGGAATGTTTCAAATTCTCGATTTTTTAGTTTTTCGGTTTTTTAAGTTTTGGATTTTTCGATTTAATAAATAATAAATAAAAAATAGATTTATTGTCCGACTTCTCGGTTTTTTGATTTTTCGGCATTTCGATTTTTCAGTTTTTCGATTTTTAAATTTTAGATTTTTTAATTTTTCGATTTTTTGATGTTTCGATTTCCTGATCTTTCAATTTTTCGATATTTTATTTTTTCAATTTTTTATATTGTTCGATTTTTCAGTTTTTTGGTTTTTCAATTTTTCGACTTTACGATTTTTTGATTCGACTTCTTGACATCTGTACTCCGCTTTTAAAAATGTTTCGACTTTTGATTTTTAAATTTCCAGATTTTCCAACTTTTAGATTTCAAAATTTTTCAACAATTCGATTTTGTGGATTTTTCAATTTTTCGATATTTTAATTCGATTTTTTGATCTTTCGATTGCGCGATTTTTCGATTTCTCGGTTTTTCAATTTTTCGATTTTTAAAACTTTTTGAATTCATAATATCACAGTTTATAGATATTCCGATGTTTCAGTTTTTCGATTATTCGATTCTTTTGACATTTCGGGAGTATTATTTACGCCACTGGTTTTGCGGAATTTGTTGGGCTGTACTTCAGGAGCGAGGGAAGTTTGTCGAAATAACCTTTGACCAATTTTTTTTCGTACACTGTGACTGGTACTTATTATCTTTTTTTTGCAAAAAGTGAAATCAAAATCATTAATTATAGGTATGTAAAATAAAAGGGGTCTAAAAATTATTTCATTAAATTTTTATGTTTTAAACTAAATGTTATATTTGATAGGAATAATTACGAACTCATAGTTAGATATTTCGGGCTTAGTTTATTAATAAGTCGTCGCCATTACTTTGATTTGTGCTTTGTTTTTAATGTGTTAAATAACCGTGTAAATTGTTCCGACATTCTTAATCTGTTTTCTTTACATGTACCTAATCGCGCCACAAGAGGTTCTCATTTGCTCCAAGTCCCTTTCCATCGCACACTATATGCTCAAAAATCTCCGTTATTATGCCGCATGGCTAAACTGGCGATGGAGTATAATGATCTGAACTTTTGTGGTGTGTCAATTAATGTTTTTAAGAGGGAGCTGAAGAATGCTTTAAATATGTAAAGTGTAACTATTGTTATGATTTGTAATGGTATATTCCGTAAATAAACTATTATTATTATTATTAAGTACCGTTACATATTTTTTATTTATTTTTCCTACAGTATGCAAACAAAGTTGACATGATTTTAATGAATTTAATGAATTCTTCGTTGCTTTGTAATAAAAAATCATTCTTTGTGTTTCGGGTCAATATGCATATAGCATACATTTTTTGGTTAGCTTGTCCTAGTTGATTTATAATTTTCCAATCCCTAATTCCGATAACCGAAATTTCTGCTAATACTCATATCGTTCGGATTACCCGATCTGAATGTCAACACTATTAACTAATACAATCTTACAACACACGTTTATTGCATTTTCCTGTTATCGACATTAAACACTAAAATACATACTTCAATTTTGTGTTCTAAAGCTCGTTCTGATTACACAACTTTAATATCACAACACAATTAATACAATCAATATTAAAATACTTCATTTTCGTGTTCTAAGGCTATTCTCCTATCAACGTCAACATACATTTTTTATAGTCCCCGGAACTGTCGCCCTGCAACAATAAAACTAAATTTGACGAAAACACTTCAAATGCTCTTCCAAACCTTAATTGCGTCAGCGAGAGATTCCGAATATTTAGCCTGATACTCCTTTTTGATATCTCCCATATCGATTTCGCACCTCGTCACAATCAGTCGTCTCAAATCCCGATCATTCGTTCCTAGTCCTTTTACAGATTTGTGTAACTGTTTAGCTAAGAAAGCTGGTGTGTTTCTAACACATTGTATAATACTCAAAAGGCAATCTTTAGTACTACCAGAAAACTCGTTTTCGATCGCCTTTTCGATACTGTGTCCAGATATAATATCATAGTGCTCAAAAACCAGTTGAAGTTGGGCGAAGCTCTGAAAACACAGAATTCTGTTGAAGGTGGATTCGTCAGTACCCCAGCGTTTTTCGCCAGCTTTGTATAGACTCATAGCGTCAGCTTTTGCTTGCTCGAGATTGGTCGTTGTAGACTCGTCGCGTTTTGCATTTATTAGAGACACCAAGAGACTTTTGAAATCGCCACTAGTGTCAGCACGGACGTCAGAGTCAAGCGTTTTTTTATACTCTATAAATAAACAGTGAGTCATTTTTTTTAAGTGTTGAATGTACTTACTGTGGTGATAAGCATGTTGAATTGCAGCGATTTGTGAATGTTTGACGGTGCATAAAATTTCTATTAGAATATGTTCGTTGGTACCTAAACCTTTGGTAGCGTAGTGTAGTTCCTTGGCGTAAAACTGAGGAAGAGGTGTCATCAGGGCCTGTATTAATTTCCGAAAGTTACCACTCAGCTCGCTTTTGAATTCTTTTAATAGGTTCGTTTTGTAGAGATTGTTGTACTGGTTGATAATTTCTAGACGTTGTGCCAATGAACGTTTTGTTAGAACATTAATAATGGATTTTTCGTTGGTTCCAAAACCCCTCATGGCTTTTTTCAAAATTGCTGCATCTTCGTTTGCTAGGAAAAATTCTTGTGGGTGTACAGTGGGTGACGGTGCCGGTGAAGGTCCGTTCTGTTAAATGTTAGCAATTAAAAAAGTTAAGAGCTTGTTGGATCAACGCACCTTTTGTAAAATCGGAAGTGATTGATGACTCATGTCGCAATCTACGTAGAATTGACGGATTGATTATGATAAGGCGTCAGTCTTGGAATTATGTGATTAGTGAACGACTTACCACTAACTGAAAAAGCGACAGCGCTACGTTCAGTGCCAAGCGAAGTATCGGTGCATTTATCTGATAAAAGCTTATCAGTTTGAGAAACTGTGAAAATGAAGGCCGATGAAAAGCATTAAACAATTAATATTTACCGAGAAAAGATCACTGCAGTGATAATTTTACGATACCATCAAAATTTTGGACAATTTTTTTATCAGTTCGAGAACTTGGAAGACGAAGTTCGATGAAAAGCCGGTATTAAACAATTAACATTTATTGAGAAAAAGTACAGTGCGATGATGATTTTAATTCATTAGAAAAATATACGTTGAAGATTTGTTCCCAGCACCACCTACGATTCTCCAATTAAAGCCAAGAGGCACCTTTTGTAATCTCCAGATGTGTCACCCTACAACCAGAAAATTATTCTGAGTGTATAATTATTTGCCTACGTACCTTAATAGCATCAGCTAGAGATTCCTTGTGATTAATAAGATATTCTCTTTTAATATCACCCATATCAATCTCACATCGTGTCACCACCAGTCTGACAAGATCCCTATCATTAGTTCCCAACCCTTTCATACTCTTATTCAAACACTTCGCAAAGAACGCTGGTTGATTCTTAATGGAACGTATAACAGCCAAAAGACCGTTTTGAATATCCCCGGAGAATTCACTCTTGATGGCCTTCTCAATATCATGTCCCGTAATCTTTTGATACTCTTGAAATATCAGCCGGAGTTGTTCATGGTTCCGTTGACACAAAACCATATTAAAAGTAGATTCGTCTGTACCCCATATTTTCTCCCCTGCGTTATACAGGGCTTGAGCATCAGCAGCTGCCGCTACCGGGTTTGTCACCATGCTTTCGTCACGTCCTCCGTTACATAAAGACACCATTAACCGTCGGAAATGCCCACTGGTATCACCTTTTAAGTCCCTCTCAAGGTTACTGCGGTAAGCTAAAAATCCCACATTAAAAAGGTTAAATGCTAGTCATGCTCGTACTTCTTTGGTATGCTTCTCTGATTGTCCATATTTCCGCGTTGGTTAAAGTGCATAAAACTTCAATTAGCACAGTTTCGTCAGTTCCTAGGCCGCTAATGGCATCGTGGAGTTCTTTGGCGTAGAACTGTGGCAAAGGAGTCATCAGAGCGACGATCGCCCTTTCGAAATTCCCGCTGAGCTCGCTTTTCAGGTCACCGATCAAGTCTTTGCCAAAGAGGGTTTTAAATTGGATTGCGATTTCTAAACGTTGGGCATTGGAACGTCGCGTTAGGACATTGATGATGGCTTTTTCGTCGGTTCCGAAACCTTTCATGGCTTTTCTTAGCACGTGAGCGTCTTCGCGTGGGTCGAACGGATGCGCCGGGACCACAGTTGGAGAGTGCTGGAATTAGGACATTCGTTGAGTTTATCCCAAAGGAGTGTGGGGGGCTACCTTTAACACTTGAGGTGAATGTCCGCTATGTCCACCGGGATAATTCGAATGGGAGTACCGTTGTTCTTGAACAGGGGGATAGCGTGACGATTGATGATAAGCATGTCCTTGGTTAGTGGAATTAGAATAAGCGGTGTGTGGATTAGGGTAGGTTGGTCCGCTGGGATAAGTCGATGGACGTTGATTAGTTTGTGGGTAAGTCGACGCAGGTTGAGGTGGATAAGATGACTGTGGGTACGACGCTGTGACAGGGCTAGGATTCCCTGGGTAGTGTGATGGTTGTGGGTAAGGGGTGCTGTATGATCCACCAGTGGTGGATGATGGGTATCCGCTACCACCGTAAGGTTGAGGCATGTACATTGGTGAACCCACATTGAAGCCTAGGCTAGGAGCAAAGACGCCACCTTGCGTAGGGTAAGGGGTGGCCTGTGAAGGGTAAGGAGGTCGAGGTTGATGTGGGTATGACGAAGAGTATGAATTTGACCCCTGAGAAAATAACATGTTTTATGACATTGTGAGTAAAAAAAGACCGCCAAACGTGTTTGTTTTTTTATGTTTATCTAAAGTATCAACGTTATCTTTATGACCGTTTCGATATTTAAATTATTGATTCTTATCGAATTGAAGGTACTTCTAATGTTTGTTAAAGATTAAATTAATGGGTACATGTGGGTATTAACATACCTGTTGATAAGGGTAGCCAGAGTGACTCATTTTGACCTAGAAAAAAAGATAACACCTAATATTTAGTATTTTTAAGTACATCTTTATAAATTCGTGGTAAATCCTTATGTATACGGTAATTGGTAACGATTTTTAAGTTATCAGATAGATTTAAAAATTGACTAATAAAAAAGTACAAATATGAAGAAGTATTTACACTTGAAAAAAAGTAACAACACACTTACTTGTATATGTATTTTATTTTATCCAAACAACGCACACAAAGATGTTCTCGCTTGGCCGTTGCGTTTAGTTTAAAGATAAGATAGCTACTGATCAACCTTGTTTAAAACCCTACTTACAAATGTTAATACCGCGGTCGCAATCGATGACTAATTCGAGGACGTCACTGGTCACCAATATTTTTATCTTTTGTTGCACATTTTAACACAATACTGTTTTCTTCCGTACTTACCTTGTACCAGACGTTTCTTACATACAAATCAAAAATTCTATAATTGTGTTATGATATTGTCATTTTTGAGCGATTTAAACGATGAGGTTAATGAATGAAAAGTAAATATCTGTTGTCTATTTTAATTAAGACTAGAGACGTGGTCACGCCTTGATTGTTTACAAAACTAGTATCACGTGGTGCGATATAAATAGGACACGATCTCTCAGTTGCATTTAATAAAACATGTTTCATTGATTTTTCCATCGTTTGGAAATAATTCAGTTGAACTAGAAGTTCCGTTTTTTTTGGGAGGAAATGTTGTAATAATTGAGTCATTAAATAGTAATAATGTTCGTACAAAACACGTCGGGTTTGCGACATGGTACAATAAACGTGGGAGGGGATTTGAAGGTGTTTCTACTAAGCGCTAATTTTAAATGTTCGTTCATTGTTCTGATTTATCGAACCCTATATTTATTACAGACTAACAAAAGTATCTAAAATACGAGGGACGTGTGGTTGATTTAGCACTTTTTGGGTTATGTTGGCCATGTGGAATGTAGATGAAGTTGGCCATGATCTGTGACATTAATTTACATGATCAAGTGGATCGAAACAGATTAGATTCATTCGAGTGGTTAATTTTGTTAATTAGGAATCAAGGTAATTTTGTCATTGTTGATAATGATTAAATTATTTTTTCTTTCATAGAATAGGGCTGATAAAAACTTGAAAAATCGTTGATATCTTTAATCATGCTTTATTATTCGTTGTCAAGTTAAATTGAGTCTGGCTAAGATATGGTTTACTTTGAACTGTTGTTGTTATGTTTACCTAGTAACAACTAGTGCATATCTTGCGTATTTTTTTATTAATAAAGATTATTTAGTAAATACAGATTGTAACATACAATGCAATGCATGCGTGGATATGTCAGTCAATGTATTGTTTTATTGTCTAGAAAAGTCAGGTTGTGGAAGAACTGGATTTAAATGGATGGATTAAGTTAACATAATTTTTTCAATATTTTACGCAACAACTACAGAATAGTTGAAAATTTAATAAAGTACGAAAAAGCGAATTGGTTCTTAATTGTGCTTTTTTGACGTTAGTTGTGTGCTTTTGATAAATCGGCACAAATTTGTACATATATATTTAAATTCTTCAAAAATTTAGTGTCTTAACACGAACAAGCAATTGAGATATACACTGTCATATAGCTTAGTAGTCTATGTACTTGCGTAGACGTTATTATAAAACTATGTTAAGTTTTAAATGATTGAAATTGATTTGAAAATTTGGTAAATATTGTCAGTTAACAATGTGAAAACTCTATTCTCCTACTAGTGCCAGAAGACACCTTTTGTAGTTCCCGGAAGTGTTAGCCTACAAGAACACAGATTTAGGTTTTGAAACTCCATCTCCTCTCATACCTTTATTGCATCCCCCAAAGACTGCTTGTAATTAGCAGCAAACTCCCTTTTAATATCACCCATATCACTCTCGCACCTCGTCACCACCAACCTTATCAAATCTCTGTCATAGGCCTCCAAACCCTTGATACTCTTATACAACCGTCTAGCAAAAAAAGCCTGCTGATTCTTAATCGATCGTATAACAGCCAAGAAACCTTCTTGAATGTCGCCCGAAAATTCACTATTAATCGTGTTTTCAATGTCGTGTCCAGTGAGGCGTCGATACTCTTGGAATATCAACCGAAGTTGTGCATGATTGCGTTCACAAAGAATCATATTAAAAATGGATCCGTCTGTACCCCAACGTTTCTCTTTTGCGTTGTAAAGAGCTTGGGCATCTTCAGCAGCGCTCGCGGAATTGGTCACCATGCTTTCGTCGCGGCCTGCGCTGCATAAGGACACCATGAAGCGACGAAAGTCTCCACTAGTGTCGCCTTTGATGTCACTTTCAAGGTTTTTATTGTAAACTGAAAATTGATAGGAGTATTTGAAAAAGAAGAATGTGGGGCCGAAATTGGCTTACTTTTGTGATAGATTGTGCTAATAGCACGAATTTCGGTATTGGGTAAAGTACACAAGACTTCTATCAATACTGCTTCGTCAGTTCCTAGCCCAACAATAGCGTTGTGGAGCTCCTTGGCGTAGTACTGTCGTAGTGGTGTCATTAAAGCCACGACGGTTTTCTCAAGACTACCACTGAGTTCACTTTTCAATTCTTTGGTTAAGTTTTTGCCGTAGAGGGTTTTATATTTAAGCGCGATTTCTACGCGCTGAGCGTTTGAGCGTTTTGTTAGTAACTTGATGATGGTGTTTTCGTGAGCACCGAAACCTTTCATTGCTTTTTTGAGCACTTCGGCATCTCGGCGTGGATTAAAATGGTCTGCTGCAATAACAGTGGGAGATTGCTGCTTAAACGACATGTTTTAGTAAAGTGACTATAAATACAGACAGAGTTTTGAATACCTTTGGCACAGTAATTGTCGGATTCGGGTTTCCTATGTCTTTGAGGTCTGAAGTTTGATTGTGTTCGTCTTTGGAAAGAAGTGGCAGTGATTGTAAAGAGGTTCTTCCCGGACTACCGGGACAAGAAATTGGAAGTTTGGGGTATATTGGTGAGGGACAAATGTTAGAAGATGACGAGCGACGTTGTGGCTAAAAAAAATAATTAGTGAGGTGACTCTAAAAATAGGGTTTTCAATACCTTTGCCACAGTAATTGACGAATTTTGGTTTCCTGAATCTTTGCGGTGTGAAGTTTGGTTTTGTTCTTGTTTGGAACGAAGTGGTAGTGATTGTAAAGACGCTCTTCTTGGACTGCTGGGACAAAAAATTGGGTGGTTGGGGTATCCTGGTGAGGGACAAGATGGTAAGCGACGTTTCGGTTTTGTGTCATTATTGGCGTAAAACTGATTCTGTTCCGGGACGTCGAATCCTAAGTATGGAGCACGTGTTGGGGTACCCGAATAAGGTTGCGGCAGAGGTCCAACATTAAAACCTGGGCTAGGTGGTTTAAACCCCAGTGTCGCCGGAAGTGGGGTTGTGTGAATGAGGGTTGGAGCATTTGGCACCACCCAGTTTGAAGAAGGGTGGTGGGTTGGCGAATCCTATTGAAATAAGGATTTTAAGGTTGCTACAGGCAGATGATTGGTACGCCATACCTGACAACAGGGAAATAATGTGTGGTCCATTTTGTTCTAAAAAAAATCATAGTAGCGTTAAATCTTGAAGAATGTACATATTTTTGAGATACGGACGAGTGAAAAACAAGTCGGAAATTTTTATAGTCGAGTGTGTACATAATACAGTAAACACAGGGGTCCCTTACCGCTTATTTGGTGGAAGACTTCAAGGTTGTCATAATATTTATGAAAACTGTAACTTCGTGTAAAATGAACACAAAACAATTTTTAGAAAAACCCTCGCACTACTCAGTTTATATATACATTTATCAAAAATAGATTGCAGCAATTGAGATTGTTAGATGGCACCACCAAGAGGTTTTTCACCAGTGGCGTAGCAGGAGTTTTCACTTTAGTTTGGCTAGCACCCTGATAGTAGTAATAAGAATACAAATCGTTGGGGCTGATTTTTCTGTTCTCACTATAAATTCAGATTAATACTTAGTGTCGTGTTGTTTTCAATATCATTTGTAGTGAAAATAACGTATACATTATTTATTATTTATCGCGGCACTTCGCGTTTCGTCAGAAGTGATAAAAAAGTAAAGTTATGCACATAGTCCTTTCCTCGCCTCTAGAGCAAAATAAATAATGTATGCCTGGCACGGAGTATTTTTCAGTCAAGATTTATTTAAGAATTTTATCAAACTTTTCGCTAATATAACGATAATGCATATAATGTAACGCTAATTATAAAGTAACGGTGTGTCCAGAGTGTTGGAGAACTTAAATGAAGCAAATTCAAATATTAATCTTTAGGACCTCTTGTTGAGGTAACGCCACTGTTCGAAGGAGGCTGTATTGATTCGACGTGAAGGTCAATTGTGTGGCATTTTTAAAATTAAAACGTTTAAATTTGTTCGTTAATAATTCCGTCTTTCGTGATAATCGTAAAGGTTTAATAACAAAATTTGGTCGAAAGTTATTCCAACAGAACTTCCCTCGTCCGTAAAGAACAGTCCAACAAATCCTACTTGTTGTAGTTAACTGTCAGAAAATTTAACCATCACTTTTCTTTGCACAAGATGTTAGACAAATGTTTGATTTTTTTCTCGAATTGACATTCCGTAAATCTTAGAAAACCTGGCAAAACCTTAACCATAAATTATCTGACAGTTACCACCCAAAATTTGGTGACGTCATCTCATTTTTCGACCACGTTCGAACATTAGCTGAAGAATTTCTTCGAAAGTTCGCACTATTTCTGCAGAAATATTACAAAAATCTTGTTTTAGAACAATAAAACCTGCGTATTTTTCTAATTAGCAAGTTGAAATTTACGTCTCAAAATTGTTTGTGGATTTTTTTAACTTTTCCAAAACTCTCGAAAATTACTAGCTAAAGATATTTATTGTAGACTGTATTATTTGTAGATTTCGACCCCCAGAAGTTATTTTCAACCCCATTTCTTTGAACATTATTATCATTTTTCCAAAATCGCCAATTAAATTATGGCAACTTTTATGATTTTTAAAAAATTTGACTTTTAAACCGATTATAAAATTTAATTTTGCGATTTTTTTTGTGATACCTCTATACGAGTAAAGTAATGAATGCCTTGATAAACTACATATAACAATGGGCTCAAAATATTTTGCATATTTTAGATGGGATGTATCGGAGAAACTTTGGCGATGGCCCCATCAATTTGAGGGAAGGAAGGAGATAAAGTTTCATTATTATTTACCACCCTTTCGATAACTTTAAAACGTTTCCAAGATTTCAAAACATTCGGCTCTGCAATTTAAGAGTTAAATAGTAAATATTGTTACATAATTTTGATTTTTTCCAAACATCGGCGTGTCTTACGAGTAAAAACTTAACACACATTCATAAACCACAAGAGCACGGTAGGTATCTTTTTTTTATAAAATTTAAGCTACATTTACTGTGTATTTTCAACTTTGGAAACGAGGTTATCCCATCGGTAGATAGCGCAACGAAATTCATAATACAAGTATAAAATTTGACAAAAATTATCTATTATCTGTCTAATAAAAATCTGGACAGACGGCAGACAGACAGACGGAAACGAAATATCTTTTTTCGTATTATAGGGGCTTCTTTACCTTACGTGCGGGACGTAAACACAATAAAATTGCAATGGTTGTATGTTTTTATTTAATATAATTACAGAGCATTTAACGTTTGTACTGGAAATGGTCGTGTAAATACATATTCATTTGACATTACATAAGGCTTCGTCGTTAACTTGGCCACATTTGTTCAAGTTATAAAAAATACATTTATATGTAAAGAGTAAACACTTCTAAAGGCAAATATTATAATCGTAAAAAGACATATAAAAAGAGCAGAGAATACAACATGTAGCACATACTGTTAAAATTCTAATAATGAAAATAATCAGTTCCTACATAAACCCCATTATGATTCACCAATCAACGCTAACAGACACTTCTTGTAGTCTCCCGAACAGTCGCCCTGAAAAATCAACCACATAAATCTGAGAACCCACACAAAACCTATTTACCTTAATTGCATCGGCTAACGATTCCCCATATTTTGCAGCATACTCCCTCTTGATCTCACCCATATCAATCTCAGATCTTGTCACAACCAACCTAATCAAATCGCGATCATTGGTCCCCAAACCTTTCATGCTCTTGTTCAAAGCTTTCGCGAAGTATGCTGCTTGATTCTTAATGGAACGCACCACCGCCAGAAAACCATCTTCAATATCACCAGAAAACTCATTTTTGATCGCCTTCTCAATATCATGCCCCGTTAGGCGTTGGTACTCGCTGAACACCAACCGCAGCTGTGCATGATTCCTCTGACAAAGAATCATATTGAAGGTGGATTCGTCCGTTCCGAAACGTAGTTCACCAGCACGAAGAAGTGCTTGCGCGTCAGCAGCTGCCGTTTGCGGATTGGTCATCATGGATTCGTCACGTCCAGCGCTGCAGAGGGACACCATCAGGCGTTTGAAGTGGCCTCCGGTGTCGCCTTTCAGATCGCTTTCCAGGTTTTGGTAGTAGGCTGCAATTTGACGGGTTAGTTTTGGTGTGAACATGTAATGAAGTGGTACTTTTGTGGTACGCTGCGGTGATGCACCGAATTTCGGCATTGCTGAGAGTGCATAGAACGTCAATGAGAACGGTTTCGTCAGTGCCTAAGCCACTGATGGCATCGTGGAGTTCTTTGGCGTAGAATTGGGGCAGAGGTGTCATCATGGCAACAACCAAATTTTCGAAGTTTCCGGTTAGTTCGCTCTTTAGGTCGCTAATAAGGTCCTTGCCGTAGAGAGTTTTGAATTGTACCGCGATTTCCAGGCGTTGCATGTTGGTACGTCTGGCGAGCACATTGATGATGGCCTTCTCGTCGGTTCCGAAACCTTTCATGGCTTTTCTGAGTACTTCCGCGTCTTCACGGGGATTGAAGGGATTTGCGGATACCACAGTTGGTGATGTCTGCAACCCCAAAATCAGTTCATGGTATTAATAAAAGGGATATAGTACCTTCCGTGTGTGTTGGCCATGACTAGGGGATTGTGAATAGTTGGGGGTTACATGCCCGGCGCTGTGCGGTCCTTGATTACCGGGATAAGCGGTACTTCCGTGACTGGGATAGGGAGATCTGCCTTGGCTGGGATAAGGAGAGCTTCCTTGGGTGGGGTAAGGAGAGCTTCCTTGGGTGGGGTAAGGAGAGCTTCCTTGGCTGGGGTACGGGGAGCTTCCGTGAGAAGGATACTGTTGTGTTTGGGGGTAGGCAGAAGCCCCGGAGGGGTAAGGTGCTCCACTTGATGGAGGAGCTCCGGAAGGGTAAGGTGTCCCACCGGAGGGAGCGGGATATCCCGCTCCACCGGACGGGGGAGGATACCCCGCACCTCCGTATGGCTGAGGCATGTACATTGGGGATCCGTAGTTGTAGCCCACACTGGGGGGAAAAACACCCCCCTGTGGGGGGTAGGGAGCGCCCGTGTTTGGTTGTTGCGGATATGGAGCATTCGAACCCTGATAAAAATCGATAGTTAGGGAGGGCTTTGGCGCCAGAGTGGCGGCATGTCGAGAGGGCAGGTCAAAATTGAAATCGGAACAAGCAAAAATCGGAGTCATGGAGCGATGACATCATTTCAAGTTCAGCGCGTTAGGGTCAGACACAAGAGTCAAAAGCCTTAACCAATTGTTAGTCTTGCGAGGAGTTTCATCACAAAATAATCCCTATCATGGCTTGAAGGTGCAGTGAGGAAGTTGTTATCGTGTTATCGTTATCAAATAATTCCGTTTTAATGATCTTGTTCTTGTTATCAAAGTTTGACCGCTAAACCCACGTCAAGCTGGTATTTACCTAGATTATACACTTACCTGCTGATATGGTGGATAACCCGGGTAACTCATGGTGATCTGTAACACCAGACGATTACTATTATTAAAACGTTTAACTACCAACTGTTGAATGTTAAGATACCGGCATTGCTCTTGTTCTATTTAAAGTTGTCTATTTAACCTAATTAACTCGTGTCGCGTTTTTTATTAAATGAGTACGAAATCAACACTACTCACCTTTTATAATCAGTTGTAGTGGTTTGTTTGGCTTCGTAATGTGAATAACGCGAAATTCCTGTACGTATTTCTATGACTCACTGAGTTACCTCTTCGCGCACTGCCGACGTCAAACTGAAACGTCGACAACGCAGACAAAACAAGGTCGTTAAATCACGTGATGGGCCTTTAGTGAAAGTTTCTCATTTTTCCTGTTACGAGAAATCAACTTCTATTACTGCATTGTAGTACCTCTGCTACTTGGTGATATAGGTTGAAGGTCACTGGGGATTTGAAAACAGAAAGGAGCAAACGATATGCAACTTTTATTACACCAGTAGACACATAACTGAACTATTTCGGAGAAGATAAAATTTTTATTATATTGATCAGGAAGCTATTCCCTTTTCATTTCTAGTGAATAGGGGCGACTATAAAGGAAATAAAAGAGGATATTATATTAAAACAAATACTTACCAGGGTGCCTTTTAATGGGTTTTTAAAAACTATTAATGAGGGTTGTGGGAAATCATTTTAACACTCCTTGTTACACGCAACATATACCTATTGTCAATATTTTATTTATAACTGTGGTTGCGCGATCGTGATAGTATTATCAATAAAAACAAATAGACTGAATGATCTAAGCAATTTTACAGTTTTAAAGATGATTTTATCAGTGAGGATTAGTGTATTTTTATTGGAATCTTTCACAAAAATCCTAGAAATGTATTGGCTGTTAGAGATAGTGAAATCCGGTCGTGTCTAGAAATGGACAAAAAATATTGGCTTATGGGCATAACTAACTCAAACTTGTGAAGATATGCTTTATTATTGTTTCTTTTTTAAATTTAAACAAGTAATTTTTATTTTGTATATACCCGTATATAATGGCATATTGCCTATGCTACTCCATGTTTCTGGTTTCTGGTGCATATAAGTGCATATTTTTACAAAATTTCGAAAGTTTACGTTTTATTTTTGTTCCTGAAAGATTTTCCGTTTGTAAGTATAATATATGTAGGTATCTGTGGCACTGTACAAATATGGATCGGAGTGGTCTTTCAATCGTTTTAGGCCAAGTGTTTTGGTACATACATGTTCTTAGAACGGTTGCTTTTTGTTTGAAAATTTAGTTTGTTAATCCTTTACCGTTTGAAATTTCGGTCATAAGAATTTAAGGTAAAGACTGGCAATTAGTGAACATTGATTTTCTCTTTTCAAAAGTGCTTGTCGGCACAGCTCAATAAGTAGACTGGGATTAGAATTATAATAACCCTGGGCAGTTTATTAAGGGATTCCAGTAATATTTTTGGATACAGAAAGTCAATATTCATTTATTCGTGGTCTCTACTATATTAGTGGAAATTGTTTTTTTAAGAAAACTATAATTAAATAATAGGTAGCAATTTTAAGACGGACCACCAATTTTATTATTATTACGATTGAAATGTGAAATAGGCTAAATTTCCCCACTTTCTGGAAGTTATATGATATGAATGGATTAATTTGTTCCCTGCAGCTTGTATGATCAAAACAGGACAAAATTTAAAAAGTTTTTTTCCAAATGTAATTCATTTTAGTTTACGTGTTTAGCTCATGCGATGAATGTAGTTGCTGAAATAGTAAGGGGACAATTTCCTTCAATAGTGCCCTGTGATGTTTTGTCGATGTGAAGCGGGCTTTCGTTATCTATAAAAACATATTAAACAATTTAAAATTTTCTTGTTGATAATTTACAAAAACATATTTATTTATTATAACAAAAATAAATGATAACAAACATTATATCAGTCTCTTTTTCTTCAGTCTTATTTTAATAACCTTTCAGTAATGAGGATGACTAATGCCTTATTTATGCACTTATGATTCACTAAATTTTGCATGTTTTTACTTATCAAGCATAAGCTAAGGAATTATAGTAATCGAGTCCATTAGGCGACTTGCTAGTTGCATGTTTTTTCGAAGTTTCATGTTCGCTAGAGTATGAAAAAAATGGTTTTCCGTTTTCGTCTGTCTGTCTATCTGTGACGATTTTTATTATGCAGATAATCTCCGAAATTACTGGCCCGATTGTTATTAAATTTTGTATGTATAGGTATTAGGAATGTAGATGATAAAACGCTAATAAAAATTTGGTTAATCATCCCTACTAACACTTTGATGACGTTCGCTCGTTATATTGCATAATTAACCTTACCAAAATCGTATGAAATAATATACTCCTGTATTTGTGGTTTACGAATCAACCTTGATTTTGTTTATAGTCATCCCTTTTTCTCGAAAATGTGAAAATTCGCACGTCTTTATTTAATAATGATAAAATATTTAGAACATTTTGTTGGATTATGGCTTAATTAATAATTTTAATCCACTGTTTTAAAGAGACAAACTCATCAAACAAATTTCTACATAACATTTTTTCGATGTATAAGCATAAACACTTGAAGTTAAGCATGTTATTAGCGGTAAGAAAAGAACACATTTTTTTCCTCTGTTTATCTGCTTTAAATAGCGCAGGAGCTCCAAGGGTATTATTTATGACGCTGGCTTTTTCTTATAGAGATTTACACAAAATAAAAATAGTAAAATCAAATTTTATCATTTTTCAAAGAAGCCGGATTTGTTGGACTTGTACTTTAGACGCGCGGGAAGTTCTGTTGAAATAAATTTCGGCATTTTTTAAGGCATATTAGTGCAATGGTGCATATAAGCTTTATCTTTAGTGCATATGTGTCCGTCTCTACTCATGTCTATTGTAGAATCTAGTTATTAAATTCTAGTGTTGCGGAACGTCGTAATAACGGACTCTAATGTATAAAAGTTATTACGTAAATGTCACAATAGAAGCATATTTTTTAAAAACTGAAAGCGTGAAAAATTGCTCAACTTAATATTCGTCACAGTATTAATGTATTTTTTGTATAGTTTAATTTTTTTAAGGCACCTGCCGCATTTACAAAAATAAAATTGTTCGGACGGCCGTGAAACTGATGTATTTTAATCGTAATGACTTTTTAATTTTATCACAGAATACTACCTCTGAATACTTGGAAATAGTTTTATTAAATTTATTAATTTCATAGCATATAAACACTCATTCTCAAATTAATTTCAAATTTTTTTCACGCTCTTTTGAATATTTGTAATGCACAACAGTTGAATAGTGGGTAGGATTTTACTCTATTTCTTTTCTCTTTTTTTTTGCAAGATTGACATTTATACACTAGACAAAATTTTGATTATTATTGATGTTGACACTTCGAGTTTCATTTGAATTGATAAAAGAAATCTGTGTAGTTATGTATGTAGACGTTTCTTCGCCTCTAGAGAACAAAAAAAAAATTGTATACATATGTGTGTTTTTAGTAAATATTTATGTTATAATTTTATCAATTTAAAATATTAGATAGATTAGATGAAACAGCGAACCTTTGGGATATCCTATTGAGGTCACGTCACCGTGCTAAGGAGCTTGTATTGATTCGATGTGAAGGTCAATTGTATGGCATTTTTTAAATTAAAAATACTTATTTTGTGGTTGACAATTCCTGCTTTTATGGGATGGCAAACGTTTAATAACAAAATTTGTAAATTTCGAGATTAATGTAAAAAAAAAACACAAAATATTAACAGTTGTAAATTTTTATTTGGTATAATTAATAATTACACAGCATTTGAAATTTGTACTGGAAATGGTCGTGTAAATACACACTCATTCGACATTACATAATACTTCCTTTACTTCACCACACGCGAAATCTAACTTATAAAAATACATGTATGAGTAAAGATTTTGTAAAAAGAGTTGCCTATTAACACAGCAGAGAATACAATTAGCAAATACTGTTAAAATTCTAACAATTGAAATTATCACTTCCATCATAAACCCATTATGATTCACCAATTAACGCTAATAGACACTTCTTATAATCCCCTGAACAGTCGCCCTAAAAAATCAACAACTGTTATATTATGTGACAACCACAAAACAACCTAATTACCTCAATCGCATCGGCCAACGATTCCCCATATTTTGCAGCATACTCCCCCTTGATCTCACCCATATCAATCTCAGACCTCGTCACAACCAACCTAATCAAATCGCGATCATTGGTTCCCAAATTTTCCACACTCTTGTGCAAACATTTCGCAAAGTATGCTGCTTGATTCTTAATGGAACGCACCACAGCCAGCAACCCATCCTCGATGTCACCGGAAAACTCACTTTTGATCGCATCCTCAATATCATTCCCCGCCAGGCGTTCATACTCGTCGAAAATCAACCGCAGTTGTGCTTGATTCCTCTGACAAAGAATCATATTGAAGGTGGATTCGTCCGTTCCGAAACGGTCTTCACCAGCAGAGAAAAGCGCCTCTGCGTCAGCAGCTGCCTCGTGCGGATTGGTCATCATGGATTCGTCACGTCCAGCGGTGCAGAGGGACACCATCAGACGCTTGAAATGACCTCCAGTGTCGCCTTTAAGATCACTTTCCAGGTTTTGGTAGTAGACTGAAATTTGAGGAGTTAGTTTTGATGTGGAGACTGTAACGAAGTGGTACTATTGTGGTAGGCTTCAGTGATGCTCCGAATTTCGGCGTTGCTGAGAGTGCACAGAACGTCGATGAGAACGGTTTCGTCGGTCCCTAAGCCACTGATGGCGTCGTGGAGTTCTTGGGCGTAGAATTGAGGAAGAGGTGTCATCATGGCAACAACCAAATTTTCGAAGTTTCCGGTCAGTTCGCTCTTTAGGTCGCTAATGAGGTCCTTGCCGTAGAGAGTTTTGAATTGGACTGCGATTTCGAGGCGTTGTTCGTTAGTGCGTCTGGCGAGCACGTTGATGATGGCCTTTTCGTCGGTGCCGAAACCTTTCATGGCTTTTCTGAGTATTTCCGCATCTTCGCAGGGATTGAAGGGGTCTGCCGGTACCACGGTTGGTGATGTCTGCAATCCTAAAATGAGTTAGTGGCATAAATAAAGGGTCATAAGTACCTTTCGTGTTTGTTGGCCATAACTAGGGGATTGTGAATAGTTGGGGGCTACATGCCCAGCGTTGTACGGTCCTTGATTACCGTAACTGGGATAAGGAGAATTCCCTTGACTCGGGTATGGTGAGTTCGTCGCTTGACCTGGGTAAGGACAGTTCCCTTGATTGGGATACGGGGAGCCTCCGGGAGGATATTGTTGCGCTTGGGGGTAAGCGGGGCCCCCGGAAGGGTAGGGTGTCCCATCGGCCAGGGCGGGATATCCCGGGCCGCCGGCTTGGGGAGGATACCACGGACCGCCGGATTGGGGAGGAAGCCCCGGGCCTCCGGGTGGCTGAGGCATGTACATGGGGGGGCCGTAATTGTAGCCCCCTTGTGGGGGATAAGGGGCGCCTGTGTTTGGTTGTTGCGGGAATGGAGCATTCGAACCCTAATAAAAATCGATAGTTAGGGAGGGTTTTGGCGCCAGAGTGGCGGCACGTTGAGAGGGCGGGCCAAAATTGAAATTGGAACAAGCAAAAATCGGAGTCATGGAGCAAAGAATTATTTCAAGTTTAGCGCGTTTAATAATGTAGGGTCATACGTCAGAAACATGTTACACTTATTTTTAGTCGTGTGAGGAGAAGTTGCTACTGTTATCAAATAGGTACTTTAATTTTAATGATCTTGTTCCTGTTATCAAAAGTTTGACCATCGAACTCACGTCAAGCTAGTATATACTCATATTTTAGATTTACACTTACCTGCTGATACGGTGGATAACCCGGGTAACTCATCCTGATCTGTAACAACTGTTGAATATTAAGATACTGATATTGCTCTTGTTTTATATAAAATTGTCGATTTAACCTAATTTCTTGTGTCGCGTTTTTGCCAAATAATGACAAAGTCAATATTGCTCACCTTTTATAATTAGTTGTAGTTGTTTGTTTGGCTTCCTAATGTGAGTAACGAGAATTTTCCGTACGTTTTTTTATGATTCACCAGTTACTTCTTGGCGCACTGCTAACATCAAACTGAAACGGTGACCACGCAGACAAAACAAGGTCGGTAAATCACGTGACGGGTCCCTAGTGTAAGTCGCTAATTTTTCCAGTTGTGGTGTTACACGGAAAATCGAGTTTTATTGTTTTGTGGTACCTCTAGGTGATATTGCTTGAAGGCCACTGGGGATTTTGAAATAGAAAAAGCAAACTATTATGCAACTTTTATTACACCAGTAGACATAATTGGACTATTCCGGAGAAGATAAAATTTTTATTATATCGATCAGAGGCTATCCGCGTGTCTTTTCCCGTGGAATAGGAGCGACCATAAGGTCAAGGATCGGAAATAGGGAAGGAAATAAATAAAGCGGTAGATTATATAAATTAAAAAGGTATACGTACCTTTGTTCTATACTAACAACCCTGAATTACTGGAACTTTAATAACAAAACTGTTAACGAGGGTTGTGGGAAATTACTTTGACATTCCTTGTTACACGCAACATATGTTGTGAATATTTTATTTATTACTTGGTGTTGTGTTATCATGGTTATAACATCTATGAAAACAAATAGACTGAGATAACTTACAAGATTTTGAAGTTTTGAAGCGGATCTTCTGAGTGTGTTCTCAAATTTTTTAAAGAATTGTAGACTTTAAATTTAGGATTTAGTACAGACATATGAGTTTAATAAATAATCTGGAGAATCATTACGGTGTTATGGAGCTAATAATGTAATATGGGTCCGTACAATTACAATTTTTTTGAGTGGATTGCCGCATTTACAAAAATAAAATTGTTCGGACGACCGTCCAGCTGATGTATTTTTATCGTAACGAGTTTTTAATTTTATCACAGAATAATACCTCTAAATCCTCGGAAATAGTTTTATTTTGTGAATATCATTCACCAGGAAACATAACTAAACATAATTTTAGAAAAATTCGACTTCTTAGCAAAAACACTGCCGTACTCAAATTAATTGAAAAGTGTCTTCATATGGTGTCCTTCCCCTACTTTGTTGAATACTTTTATTCCACGCCAACTGAACAGAAGGTAAAATTTTACTCCATTCCGACGAATCATGAACCACTATCCAACTTTTTATTTCATCGCCTATATCATCGACAGCGCAGGTGCCAATTCCTCCATACTTGGCACTAAAATCAACCCAAACGTTTTGTATCAGCCTGATCATTTTTTGCACAAACTCGGCTCCTTCTCGAGATTGTATGACCTTACAAGTACCCATCAACGTTAAAACATCGACTACATTATCAGCAACTTCTTCAGGAGTTCTCGTTTTCATCGGTTTAAACACACAAAACCTCGTGAGGTTGTTTTGATAGACCATAATGTATTTGAACTCGTTGTCGGGACAAAAATAGAAGTTGATTATATCAATTGAACATTTGGAACTCATCAAACTGCAAGCCATATGATCTGATTTTAGTTTGTGCCTAACTCTTTTCATACAGACGGGACACAGTTGGCAGTAGGTCCAAATGTCACCCGGAGATATATTGACGAAACGACTTTTAAGATATTCGTTCATTTTTTTAGTTCCCATGTGCTGCAATCCCGTGTGAACATAGTGAAGAATGGTGAATAGGTCGTCATCGTGGACGTATAACATCATTTCTCCTTGAGCTGAAGGCAAGATCAAACGTTCAGCACCTTCGAAGAAAATTGCCCCATATTTTTTGAGTATGTCGGTTTGCTTGGTCACTTTGGCCGCTGTCACTTGATACAATAGCTCGTAGTAGTTTTGCTTAGATAAGTAGTTAGTCGAGGAAGAACTTCTATTTTCTTTAAGTTTCGACAAGAACAGTTCTTCTAACACGTTATCCTGGAATGATATGTAATTTTGATGTGCTTGTGTATAGTTAATACTCACCTTTAATGGAGGAAATTTTTTGTGTAGTGACGGGAAGAGTTCTGTTAGTAGTTGAAGAGTACTATTCTTAGTATCCATGTACTCCTCGCTTTCACAGTCATCATCAGGGGTGTTCGTTACACCAAAAAGTGCATCATAAGGTGCTCCTTCGATATCAGAATGATATTCCTGGTTTCTGGCCAACTGAACGAACCGGAGTCCTTTAGTCCATCGCACTGTCTTATTTTCTTCCAACCAAGTTCTGATGTCTTCATCTATGACACGAGTGCCTTCATACGCGTCATTTTTCAAGTGTTCAACTTCTAAGTCTTCCCATACAAATTTTAGCTGTCTGATAATGTCCTCGATTAGTGTCCAATCTTCCTTTGATCCGATGGTAGTAGGAACTCCAACGAAAGTAAATATGTCGATCAAATTATACGCTACTTCTGCCGGTTTCAAAGAGAAGAGAGCTTTCAACATGTAGAATTTCGTCAGATGGTTTTGATAGACTAGGACGTATTTGTAACCACCGTCTGAACGTAAGTGGTAATCTATAAAATTAATAGAACAATGTGCACTAATATTACTATATATAAGCGGTTCACGGTCAGATTTATTGTAGAGACGTTTTCGTTGACATTGCGTACATGCATTTAGATACGTCATGATATCTCTTGTAACAATATTGGCGAATCGCTTTTTTAATTCAGAAGCCATTCTTTCACGCCAGGCGTGTTTTAAATTAATGTGGGTGTAGTGGAAGACATAGAATAACTCATCATCGTGAACGTAATGTTTAACGGTGTGTTCTCTCATTTCTGTTTTTACTAATCTTTTTATTCCCTCCCGTTCTATCACTTGATAGTTTAGCAAAATATGATAGTTTTTACCTTCTTCTACAGCTATAACTAGTTCGTCGTACTCCTGTTTCGTCAGTGTTCGACTACTGTGGTAAGTTTGCCTACTTAAATTTAGTTTCGTCGTAAAGTACTCTTCTAAGTTGTTGACATCCTTCCAATTGGTATAACATTGCGGTAGAAGATTTTTCACGATTCTTTTTTTCAAACAGTTACGACATTCTTTTGACTCAAGGGAAGTTGTACCACATCCCATACAGATTCCGCTCGGGTTTGTATCGTCTTCCACAACCTCGATTTTGATTGCATTTTGTTCAGGTACAGGTTCACCGGGGTTAAATGTCAGTTGTTCATCTTGAGCAAGTGGATCTTTAGCGTCTTCAACTTTCTGTTCAAACTCTTCTACAATTTGATCTTCTTCGATTTTAATAGTATCTTCCACTGTAGATTCAGACACGAAAATGATATCAGGACGATTTTCTTCATTTTCGCCATCTTGACTCTGTGGTTCACTTAACCCATAAATGGCATCATAGGGGGTTGTTTCAATATCATCATTAAGTTCTCGATTTAGTTGAAGCTGAATTATGTGCAAATTTTCAACCCATTTTGTTGAATTATTTTCCATCCACTCATTGATTGTCCTGTGAACATCGCCAATAATTGCAGGTTCTGTTTTCATGAAATGCCTAAGTTTAAAATCTGTCCATATATTTTTCAGTTCAGTGGCCACGTCCCGCCAAAACTGACTCCCAATACTTGATTCGATTTCCTCCGAAACTCCCACAATTGTAAAAGCATCTACCAAATTTTGCGCCACTTCTTCAGGCGTATCACTTTGTAAACAGCTAAGTAAACAGAATTTAGTCTCTTTATTTTGGTATATCATCACGGACGTGCCGTCATAATTTAAGATATTTACAGAGCATCTTCGACTTAAGTCACTATAGACTATCGTCTCTCTTTCAGGTTTCTTTTTTCTAGAAGGTCTTGGTATCCATTGAGATTTTCGCTTGCAAATGGGACACGACTTTCTAAAAATAGCTACGTCCCTACGGACAATATTTGTGTAGGTTTTTTTCAGCTCTGTCATCATTGTGCAAGTAGTGGCGTGTTCGAGTTTGATATGCGTGTTGTACAGAACTTTAAAGAGCTCGTCGTCGTGGATATAAAAAAGGATTCTATCCGCTGTTACTAGTTTTTGGACGCCGTTGACGATTTTCACATTGTAGTTTTTTGGTGGGGAGCAGGTTTTGGGGTTTGCTGTTGTTACCGAGCGAATTAAATGGTTGTATTTTTCCTGGGTTAGATTCCGGGGGTCTTTGTGGAGAAGGCGCAGGTTTTGGAGTTTCCATTTGAAGGCTTGTTCTGGGGTCATCCCCTGCAAAGAAGTTGTATAAAAACGTAACTTTTTGTGTCTAATTTTCTTACTCGTTTTGGTTTCGCATTGACAGCTGGCTTTTTGTTCGCTTTTGTTGACACTGCGTCTGGTTGTTTTTCTTTTTTACTGATACATTTACCTTGAGAACGGGGTCGCAGTTGGTAGTTGGATAAGATAGGGAATTTGCACGGAATGGCATTTGGCGCTAATTTCGGTACTTGAAGTTGGTACTACAATGTAAGATACAATTTTTTTTTACTTTTTAGTGTTTCATTTACCGTAAATACGTCTGTTTTCACCTCTCTGATGATATCTGATTCCCGAAAATGTTTCATGCAAACGCAGTCTCGGTACGTCAATTGTCGTCCCTTCGTCGGTAGCGCCTTTTGCCATATTTCCAGTTTATTTTTTGGAATTGAAAACAAACTCACTTTTTCTAAGCACGATTTTAAGCCACTTTTGCATTTTGGGACTACACATTTTCGGCCCATTTTGCTCGAACGCGATTAAAAAAAGCAACGGGATCAATGAGATAGACAAAGCAAGCGGATCAATTTGTTTTCATCCTTGTTTTGCTCACGCAGGAAATCTGGCGACAAATGACATTTGAGGTTATGTTCTTGGAAATAAATGTTCTTTTTTAGGAATAGAGAACAAGTGTGCGGCACATTACGACTTACCTTTCGTTTTGTCCATCAAATTCAAATTTAAAGTAAACACAAAAATATTTATTGTTGGTGGTTGATTTGGAATGATCACTGGTGTGTTTGTTTTGGAATGTACTACAATAGACGTACACATAGGAAGAAATAGGTTATGTTGAGCTACTCGCACTGTTTAGAAAATTAATGTACACTTAAATTCAAAGACATTGCGGGTTACTAACAGCGAACAGCTGATTGTTTTGTGGTTTACACTACGCATGCGCAAAAGCGAAAGTTTTGGATAGCAACCACGTTGTTACTAACAAGTTTTTTTTAAATACGAAATGTTCAAAATTAAAGTCTTCAAGGACATCAAACTTTTATTTATTTATTTTTTTCAATAGTTATAAATGCAACAATAGGGCAATCATGTCAATTCTTTACTTTTACAATGGTTACACTCAACGTCTTCATCACTTAATTCCGTCCCACAGTCTCCGCAGATCGTTTTCGGTTCCGTTTTACTTATTTCCATAATTTCGTTCATTTCTACATTTTCTCCATCATCGATGTCATTGTTTTCGTTATCATCATCATTTATGGTCTCCTCTTTACACACAACTGCCATTTCTTCGTTCTCCTCGTCACCGTCATCCTTCGCTCTACTAGAACCCACTTTGACCTTATGCTTAAATAGCGCCTCATACGGTGTCATGTTAATTTCTTCATTAAAAATAGTGTTACATTTCAGCTGCACAAACCGGATTCCCTCACTCCATTTCGACTTTTTGTTACATCGCATCCAACTCGTTACCAAACTCTCAATGTCTTGCACAAAAGAATCCGTGACTTCCGTCTTCATGTTGCCAATTTCCAAACTAGGCCACAATATTTTCAAAATATCGATAAGTTTTTCAACGAATTTGGTTCCACAACTGGACTGGAGAAACGCGGGCGGGCCTAAAATCCCAAAAATGTTAATCAAATTGGTAGCGACTTCTTCCGGCCGGGTTGAATTTAGCGGTTTTAATATGGAAAACTTCGTATACATTTCTCTGTAAACCAAAATATATTTAAAACTGCCATCAGGCGAAAATTCATAGTCAATGAAGTCAACATAACACTGATTATTGAATTGAGCAGATCTTTTGTCTATTTCAGTTGGTTGTTCTTGTTTTTTCGTGATACATTCCTGGCACACACTTAGAAAAATTGTGATGTCTTTGTATGTCACGTTCTTAAATTGTTTTTTGAGGAGTTTCATCATCTTGTCGCGATTTCCGTGATCAGTGGACAGGTGTGCACTTAAAAAAACCTGGAAAAGTTCGTCGTCGTGTACGTAAAATACCGGTTTTGTGGGGTTCGTTGAGGGAACAATGAGTCTTTTAGGTTCGCTGTTGGTCACGTCGTATTTTTCTAATAGTAGAAGATCCTGTGCTGATCTGTGTGATTTGTTTAATTTTGTTACTAGTACTTTAGACATAAGAACGTTGTATTGACGTTGAGAAAGCGCAGTTCTGAGACGATTCACGGAAGATCTGTCGTCTTTGAGTTTGGCTCTGAAGGCTTCCCCCATTGTCTACGATAAAAGAGTGTTAATGATTGTGAACATAACCTTACTTTCGGGAAGTTGTTTTTGAGGTTTTTACCGCCAATTTGTCTGCGTCTGGCGTCGGATCGGCAGCTTGAGGCTTAAATAAAGAGAAATTATAGGCGGAAAGTGAAAGTGAAGTGTAATTACCTGGTAAGTCATGTTTTGTATGTTAATTTACATAGGGATTACAAAGAAATAGATCCCGCTTGCGGCGTCGCTTATTTTACTGTACTTTCTAAAATCGATATGGGGTGTAGGCAACCAACAATACATTGTTAACGCTGTTTGTAGCGGTTGCTTTTTAAATTCATGTTTCTTGAACTTTTTTTTCCCTCAAAGATTCCGTTTAGTCGTTTACACATTCGTTCGATATTATGTATTACAAGACTACACCTTGCGGAACCCCCAGATTTAACGACAAATTAACAAATATGGCTTCACCATTTATCAGGCGGACGTTGAGAATTTGAGTAGATAATACCACCATGACACTATTTTTATTATACTTACTTTGTACAAAATTGTTAGGTCTCCTGATATTGACAAGAATTCTCTGTTCAGAAGTGATGTTTTTATTAAACATCTCGTGTTTTATTGCAACTTCACGACCTCTATCACGATTTTGTTTTATGGTGAATAAGAAGAAAGAGACAGAAAACGTTATTTCTGTAACGACCCATTGTTTTACTAAATTTTACGTTAAAAACGTCGGTGTGCATAAATAATTATAAAGTACTTACGTTTGCAATTTATTGTTTTTATCTATGTTTACTTTAACCTGTTTACATGCTTTTGCTAATAGTTTCAACCTCTTTCCATCTCAACGACTCAATTAAAGTGAGTAACGTCAAGTCATTGTCGTCTGTTTGTTTTACAGCTCAAAAGATAAATTCCTGTTACAAAAGTGCAATTAAATTGCTCAGATATGTAATTCGCACTTGTGGTTGTCTTATCTATCAGCTGTCCTTGATTTTTTCGTTGCCGACAGGACGTTGAGTAATAGCTTTCATTGGAGAACATTTAATAACGACAAGCGTTTGTTACAATTATAATTTAATAACTGCAAAAATACTGGATAGTTAACAGATTCATTTGAGTACAAATATAAAGCCAGATTTTCGAATCCCCAAACAATTCAATCGCTCTACTTTCTACAAATTTTCTAACTATCGACTACAGACAATAGACACTTCTTGTAGTCGCCGGAACAATCGTCTTGGATGAACTCGGCCAAAGTTTTTCCATATTTATTCTGGAAAACTTCTTTAATATCCGCCAAGTCGATTTCCGATCTGGCGACCACTATCCTGATGAGGGTGTGATCGTCGGTCCCCATTCCTGCCATGCTGTCATGTAAACGTGTCGCCAAATAATCCGTCCTGTCTCTTATTGCATGCACCAAAGCCAGAAGAGATTCTTTAGACGTGAGCGAGAACTCATTCTCTATCGCTGTTTCGAAGGGATGTCCGGTGATTTTTTCGTATTCTTCAAAAATCACCCTCAATTGAGACCGGTTTCTTTGGCACAGGACTTGATTAAACGCCGATTCGTCGGTACCTTCGATGAGCTCCCCGGCCCTCAACAGCGTCTGGGCATCGTGAAAGGCTTTCTCCTGATCGATCGTCTCGGATTCGTCGCGATGACCCTGAAAAGAAACGCGTGGGAAAAACTGTATTGACCCAAATGCCCATCCTACCGTCGAAAGGGAGACAAGCAGTCTTTTGACCGTCCCAGACGTGTCGCCTTTGATGTCTTTCTCCAGAGACTGCTGGTAGACTGAAAAAAGAGCGCGTCAGAGAGTTGGAACTATGTATTATTCAAGAGGTCGTAATTGACGTCAAATGAGAGTAATTAAATGCGGAAGGCAACTCACGTCCTTCGTACTCCTGAGAGATCTTGACGACGTCGTCGTTATTGTGGATGCTGAGGATCTCCACGATCGTACCCTCGTCGGTACCCAGCCCGCTGATGGCCTTGTGGAGCTGCTTGGCTTGGAATTCGATCGGTTCAGTCATTAGGGCGACGATAACGTCTTCAAAGTTCCCCCTAAGTTCACTCTTCAACTCTTTAATCAAGTCCTAGAAACAATTAAGGGTTCTAACGGTTTTACGTGTTCGTGAAACTCACTTTTCCGTACATCGTTTTGAACCTGGCAGCGATTTGCTGGCGTTGCTCGTTACTTCTGTTCGTGATGATCTGGATAATTGCATCTTCGTCTGACCCGAATCCTTTAAATGCCTGTTTTAGGGCTGCAGCGTCTTCTTCGTCGTTGAAATTGGGGTCAGGATGAACTGTCGGCTGCAGGAATTTAGATTTGTTTGATTAAAGATGAAAAGGTGAAGTACTTACAGTGCCGGTCATCTTGAGAACACTCGGATCTTTCAGTGGCAGCCGAACAACCTCGGAGCGATTACTGTTGTGGAATAGAAATAGTTAAAGAGAGAGCGAGCGCTTGCGCGATAGCGGGACCTATTTTTAGTGCTGATGATGATTCAAAACCAGTTCCTGCTATTTGACGTGCGCTATGGTTATTTGCACTCTGAGTTGGTCAGTTTGTGGAAAAAAGACGAGAATTTATGGTGCTTCAGATAAGTGTTGCGCTTTTAGAATGCGGGCTTTCTTTGTCTCATTTTTCCTCATTTTAATTAGGTTGCGAGGACGTCGTTCAACGTCAGGGGAAATGAAAGAACTGCGATAGGTTTCAATTTGGCGCTTCTAAATTGACTTTCTGCCACGACAATAAATATTAACTTACAGGGTGAACGATTTAGAAGACGTCAGATTATAGCATAAAATATTAACGAAATTTATTTCCAATTTTTTTCTGCCCTTAATAACAGTAAAAGCACTTATCACAAATGAACAAAAACGTTCTGCAACGAAAACCTGATACATTTTTTTAATGGCGGTTAAACTAGATAAAAGACAGTGAGATGAAATGGTTGGTGAAGAAATAAGTCGACAGTGGTCCTTTTTTTAAAATAGTTTATTTCTCTATAATGTAGATTTTTAACAGTCACAACACACTCTCATATAACATTCTCTTCTTACTTTGTAACAAAATTTCGTTCTAGGTTTATTGTTACTTAAAATCAGCTACGTTATTGTCAGTTCACCTGACCAACTTGTGCTACCACTTAAAATAGCTCCATATACGTATTCAAAAGTTCCTCTTATTATGGGATTTATGTACAATGAAAAACGATGTCACTAGGATCCTTCTCGTCTATTTCAACTCTCAACAACGCTACAGGATAAAATTTTTAGTATTTTTTTTATTTTAGTAAATGTTTCAAGAGACAACAAAATCGGTAGAAAGGGCCTCAATGATAAACGAACTGACATCATTGGTGTAAAAATTTTGATATGGATTTTGTTAGCTTGTGCGATCTACTCTAGTCTCTCGAATCGACCAAACCAACAAAATATTCGCGCCACAGTTATGGCAGTGTAACTTTAAGCATTGTCAGCATATTTGATATGCATTTTCGTAATTATTTTCAGCTGAAAATATTTCTGCGCCGCCGGAGTTACATCGAAGTTTCCACCCGGCTCCTTTCAAGTTTCACCGGAAGGGTTGCAATCTCGAGATTCCTCCTTTTAATATTTATGCGACGACAAATCGAACTCTCACAATGTGATTCAATGGCAGGTTTTTGTGTGAATTCCGTGAAAATTTAATGCGTTCGTAATGAAACTCGGCACTCACGCAACGCAACGCGAGATAAAAAATTAAAGGATTTCGTCACGGTGTAACTTCAGCGCGCTTTTATTACCTAACAAATCGTGAAATTCGCTAATTTTTGATTCTTCTAAGTATGTACAAAACGTGTCATCAGTCATTGTACTCGTCGTACAGTGCCACGCGAGAAAAAAGTCCCCCAGATCGATTTTCTCGCCACTATGTACACTTGTTCCTGTAACTTTTATCAAAATAAGTTTGAAAACGTGTGTCTTTAACGAATGCTCTTAAAAAATTATTCACTGCTCGAATTTAAATCGAAAGTCGTTTCGTCCGCGAAAGCGCGTTAAAGTCGCAGAATTTTCACTCCCAAATCCATAAATCGATAGAATGTTCAGCGTCAAACCGTTGCTTCTTTAAAGTGTCCATGAATGAAAACTTTTATCGACAAAAACGTGCACATAAAGAAGGGGTAAATAACAAACTCCTATAAAAATAGAACTCTTTCCAAGCAACCGAAACACCAACAAACCGTTCAATTACAAACCACCCTGAAACAACTCATTCGAAAGGAAAATATGCAAAAACGAACCGGTGAAATATCGGCTAATCCAGCTATAAACGCGTTCGATTGGCTAACCGGTTGGCGATATTATTTTTAAAGTTATTGCATATTGAGACATTTGTTGGAATATGTGTTTCCGAAGATGTGACGACTCTTTGTGAGCGGGTTTGGAAGTGCACGAGTTTGCTTTATTACAATCCATTACTTTGCGAGTTTGTTGGAACCCTTTTTACGACACACTTTAATCGGTGGCCAGTTTACGATATTAAAGTTCGCCGTTTTGAACGATTCGGATTTGAACATTCTGTGTCTAACTTTCTTGACGAAACCGAATGAAAAATTGAAAGCTCCTGATCCCCTAACAGGTACGCCTATCAAAATCACAACGCTAAAAATTCGCTTATTTGCTTGGTCCGTTTCTAAATTACGAAATGTATAAAAGTCTGTTTACTACCAATTCTGCACGTTACGTCGCTTCCGAAGTGTGACCGTCACACCGTCGTCACCCTGTCGACCTCGACGTAACGCACAGAATTGTCGCTGTGTCAGCAAATCACTCCCTTTTCGTCGATAATGGCAGTGTCTGAGGAAAGACTCTTCAAGCGCGTCTGCAATATCGACCGCGGCCTCCTCCTGCAAGTCTTCCAAACGGCCAAACAAGTGGCGAAGCTCGAAACGAGGATCCCGCAGGCCCCCAGGAAGAGGTAGAGCGGGGGCAGCTGCAGGATCATGGAACAGTGAGTGAGAGCCTCGTCGATCCCCGAGGGACAGTCCTCGGTGCCGTCACACCACACCGTGGCATTGATGCACGCGTCCAGCTCCGGGCAGCGGTATTGACAGTCGTCGGGCTTGAGCAGGAACAGTCCCATCCCGTTGGGAGGAACGTCCCGTCTGGAAGAATAATGGTCGGGATAGGGTCAGAACAATCGGATGCGGTTACCTTCTCCCTAGTTCGAGCCACATGACCGAGTAGGACGCTTCTTCCTTCCCGATGAACTCGACGACGATGGATCGCGGCAGCTCTTTGCCTAGACGGTCGATTTCGATCTTGTCGAGCGCTAGATTCCCGATGGAGTGACCGTCGACTTTGCCGACGTTCCAGCCCTCGGAGAAAACCTCGACGAGGTTGTTCCGGGACGAAGAGCTGTACGGACATATGAGGGCTGAATAGAGGGCCGTGTGCACCTTAATCCGATTAGAAGTTCCGCATCTCACGGGGGTGACGCTCCGGGAGCTGCCGTCTCCGAGGCGGCTCGAGTGTTTCATTATCACCCCGCTGATCTTCACGTAGAGATACTTGTTTGGCGATGGAATTATCACACGAGGGCTGTTCTCGCAGTTGGTCTGGAAATTCAGGAAATGATGTTCAGGAGCGAATCGGTTGGTTAAATGGAACAGATTAAATCCGAATGCAAAAACGACGAACGCTCGCCCCATTCGAGAGGTGGCGAGGTTCGCCGATAAAAACTTTCGCGATTTTAATGGAACCGAAGGGTTAATTGAGAGTTCGGACGATTTTTATCGTTTTGCGTGAACGAGAGCGTCAAACGCGGACCGTTAACGACGGATCGTTTGGCCGGAATGGTTTCTACTTACTTCCTTTGGTGATTTGTTCGGGTAGTTCAAGAGCACTTCTCCGCTGGGCCCGTGCATCCGCAAATTACTCGGGCAGATCGGAGTCTGTATCAGCTTCCACGTGCCTTCGAACGACAAAGTAGTAAAATCGTCCGAAGCGTTCATGCCGGTCACGTCGAAACGCAATTCGACTACGTTAGACGTAGAGACGTAAGTGAACGGCATGAGTTTATCCTTGTCGAGCGAGCAGAGGCAGTCCCTCGGAACTCCGGGTACGTCGGCCCAAGGAATTTCGTACAGACGCACCGCTGCCGTCGCGTTTCCGACGCACTCCAGTCGATCCGTGTCCTTGCTCACTTTCGTCCTGCAGTCGCGGTTCTTAATCGTCATCTGGGTTATCGTTATCTTGATGCGCTCGTCTTTTTGGGCTTCGAAGCGGTACACGCAACTGAAAACATCCGGCGGTCCGGTTGAGGTGATTTATGGCGGAAAAACATCGCGTTTTACCTTATGTTCTTCGCTCCACCCCTTCCGTAGAGAAATATATCTCTCGGAGACCTGAATTTCTGGGATGACTCCTGAGTGGCGCTGGTGAAGCGTCTCGAACAAACATCGGGGCCGAAAGGTTCGCCGTCGAGATGTAAATCCACGAACTCGTACAGTGCACGGAACTGCACGGGTCTGAAAAAACAATAACAATACCAGCTGAACAAACTTTTCTTGCTTTTACGTAATGTTTTATAAGCCGAGTTAAGGGCGAACTTTGAGAGGCGAGCGGCGATAATAATTAGATCAGAGAGATAAAAGGGGAACGTTATTCTTAAAATGCGGCCCCGGGTTTTTCCTGCGTTGAGTTCAGTGGTTCACAAACTTTTTTCAAAGGGGACCGTCCCTTCTGGCAAGAACTTTATTGGCAACCTCCTGTCATGCTTAACTCCATATTAAAACAGCAACTCGCAAGCCGATGAAAACTTGGAATGAGTAAATACGACAGAGTGGAGAAAAACGAGGACAAAAGAGGACCGAAACGAAAGACATCAAGGGACTGGAAAAAATCGAAGAGAAGAATTAAGAGCTAAAAGATACTACTCCAACATCAATTCAAGGGTATAAGGAGATATCGGAAAAGGATTATATGATTTTGTTAAATATGAACAATTTTTAAAAAGATCATCTACATCTGGAAGCGACAAAGTTAAAAAGGAAACATATAGTTGAAGGTCATTTCGACAGAACTTTCCTCGCCCCTGAAGTGCAGTCAAATAAATCCCGCTTTTTTGAAAAATTATAAAACATTTTTTGCGATTTTTGTTTTCTGATCACCTATACAAAGTCAAAACCAGTGAATAATACTCTCGCAGCTTGTTTGACTTGAATTTTTCAATTTTTCATTTGATTTTGTTTCTTCAGTTTGTCACTTTTTCAATTTTCCAACTTTGGAATTTTTCAGTTTTTAGATTTTGCAATTTTTTAATGTAAAATTTCACGAGTTTCTATTTAATTTTTAATTTTTTAATTTTTCGTTTCGTCAATTTTTCAATTTGCAATTTTTCAACTGTTAATTTTCTTTTGTTTCTTCAATTTTACAATATGTAGCCCATCAAGTTTTCATTTTTAAATATTTCAGTTTTTTGATTTAGCAACTTTTGAATGTTTTAATTTTTAGATCTGGCAATTTTTCAATGTGCAATTTCACGAGTTTTCAATTTTTCGATTTTTCCATTTTTCATTTGTTCAATTATTCCAGTTGAAATTTTTCGTATCGGTTTTTATTTTCTTTATTGTTTCAATTATTCGGTTTTCCTGATTTAATATATTTTTTTTAATTTGAAATTTTTCAATTTTTGGGTTTTTCAATTTTTCAGTTGTCAATTTCTCAGTTGTCAATTTCTCGATTTTTCAACTTTTCGTTTCTTCAATATTTGAATTGTAATTTTTCTAGTTTTCGTTTTAAATATATAATAATAATTATGATTTTTAAAATGATTCACTTTTTCAATTTTACGATTTAAGAATTTTTCCATTTTTTTAATTAAATTTTAAAACTTTTTCATTTATTTGATTTTTCAATTTTCCGATATTTAATTGTTCACTTTTTCGATCTTTCAATGTTACAGTTTTTGGACTTTACGATTTTGACGATTCTTTAATTTTCCGATTTTCCAATTTTTGGATTTTTTACAAATGTACAATTTATCGAGACGCTTCGTTTTTTCTTCTTTCCAATACTTTGATTAATTAATTTTTTCGATTTTTAAATTTCTCGATTTTTACTTTTTCATTGTTCCACTTTTCAAATCAAAAATGAAATTACGAAAAAGCATAAAATGAAAATTTTTAAAAAATCTAAAAATTGGAAATTAAGAACTTGAAAAATTGAAGAAACGAAAAATTTAAAAATCCAAAATTTAAAAACTGAGGAACTTTAAAATCGAGTGTTCAAGTATAAATTTTTCGGTTTTTCAATTTAACAAATCTTGAATTTTTACAATTTTTAAATTTTGCAATTTTTCGATTTTTAATGTTTCAATTTTTGAATTTGCAATTTTCGGTTTTTTTTCTTTATTTATTCGATTTTTTGATGTTTCGATTTTATAATTTTTTGCTTTTTCGATTTTAATTTGTTTAATTTTTCCTTTCTTTAATTTTTCGATTTGCAGTTTTTCAAATTTTCGATTTAAAGTTTCTGGAGTTTTCAATTTTTTATTTTTCGGTCTTCGATTATTTAACTTTTCATTTCTTCAAATTTCCGATTTGCAACTTTCGGTTTCGGTTTTTATTTCTTTTATTTATACAATTTTTCCATATCTCAGTGTTCCGATTTTATAATTTTTTGTTTTTCCAATTTAAGTTTTTTTAAAGTTTCGATTCTTTAATTTTTTCGGTTTGCAATTTTTTATTTTTCCATTCTTTTGTTCCTTAAATTTTACGATATGCAACTCTTTCTAATTTTCATTTAAAAATTCAATTTTTTGATTTGCAATTTCACGAGTTTTCAGTTCTTTACTTTCCAGTTTTTCGATTTTTCGGTTGTTCATTCGTTCAATTTTTCGATTTCCAATTGATCGTTTCGGTGTTTTATTTATAGATTCTTTTTTTTCATTGTAAAATTTTTCACTTTTTGGATTGGATTAAAACTTTTCGTTTACTCGATTTTTCAATTTTTAAATTATTAATTTTTCATTTTCTTGAGACTTAAATTTTCAATTTTAACGATTCTATAATTTTTCGATTTTACAATTTTTGGGTCTTTACAATTGTACAATTTTTCGATACGATTAGTTTTTTGTTCTTTCCAATTCTTTGATTAATTCATGTTTTCGCTTTTTAAGTTTCTCGATTTTTAGTTTTTCAATGTTCCAATTTTTCGTGTCTTCAATTCTTTAATTTGCAATTTTTCGATTCTCTACTTTTTCGATTTTGCAAATTCTCATTTTTTTCAACTTCTCGAATCAAAGAAATGGAAAAATTGCACAATCTAATACTAAAAAATTAAAAATGAAATTACGAAACAGTATAAAATGAAAATTTTGAAAAATCTAAAAATGGAAATTAAAAACTTGAAAAACTGAAGAAACCAAAAAACAACAAATCCAAAAATTAAAAATTGAGAAACTTCAAAATCGAGTTTTCAAGTTTAAGTTTTTCAGATTTTCAATTTTACAAATTTTGAATTTTTCAATTTTTAGTTTCTGCAATTTTTCGATTGGAGTTTCTGGAATTTTGAATTTTGAATTTTTCAATTTTTGGATTTGTAGTTTTTCGTTTCGGTTTGTTCTTTATTTTTTAAAATGATTCGATTTTTTAATGTTTTAATGTTTTAATTTTATAATTTGTGGTTTTTCAATTTGATTTTTTTTTTAATTTTTCGTTTCTGTAATTTTTCAATTTGCAGTTTTCAATTTTTCGACGTTTCATTCTTCGATTATTTAATTTTTCATTTCTTCAAATTTTTGATTTGCAACTTTCGGTTTCGATTTTAATTTTTTTATTTATAATTTTTTTAATTTTACTATTCTATTTTTCGATTTGCAATTTTTAAATTTTTCATTTTTTTCTGTTTCTTAAATTTTATGATATGCAATTCCTCTAGTTTTCATTTTAAAATTTTTCAGTTTTTCGATTTTTCAACTTTTGGAAGTTTAAGCTTTTATATTTTGCAATTTTTCGAATTGTAATTTCACGAGTTTTCAGTTCTTCATTTTCTAATTTTTCGATTTTTCACTTCTTCAATTTTTCGATTCGCAGTTTTTCTAGTTTTAATTTGAAGTATAGTGAACCAAGACCTATAAGGTTATATGGCCATCATAAAAGTAGTTGACCGCAAATAAATACCCCCTTTGTGTGGTTCGCACTAAGCTTACCGGTTGGCAATAAATCATCTTCTAAACATTTCTTGCTCATATTTAACAGGGCCGGCTTTCAAAGCGAGTGGTTATTTCGGAACCCTCAGCGGCTGCAGGTAGTAAAGAAATAGTGGAGTGGTGGATTTTCATATTTAGTGAAAGCCGCCCCTGAACGAAACCACAAGAGCCGGTCGAGCTGCAGTGGACACGGTATTTACGACCCTAAAACCTTTTCTATTGTAAACAGCTTAACTTCGACACAATGGGATGATTTTATGATGGCCATATAACCTTATAACTCTTGGTTCACTATATCTGATATTTATTATAATTTTCAAAATTTTTCAATTATTAATTTTTCAATTTCTTGAGACTTAAATTTTCAATTTTCCTATCTTTCAATGTTACAGTTTTTGACTTTCCAATTTTTCGATTCGATTCGTTCTTTCTTGTTTCCAGTTTTTAGATGAATTAATTTCTCGATTTTTCACTTTTTCAATTTTACAATTTTTCCGTTTTTCAGTTTTTCGATTTTTCAATTTTTTTCTATAATTTAATTTTTTAATTTTTCAACTTTTCGAATCACAAAATGGAAAAATTGCAAAATTGTAAAATTAAAAAATTTATCATGAAAAACGAAAATTGGAAATCAAGGATAATTGAGAAATCCATGAAACATTTTAAAATTGGAAAATCGAGAAACTGAAAAATCAGAGGTCGAAAATTTGAAGAATTGAATAAACGAAAAATGAAAAATTCCAAAATTTGGAAGTCGACAAATTGAAACATTAAATGAATTATGTTGAAAAAACGAAAAATAGTGATATCCAAAAATTGGTCGATGGTAAAATAAATCCAGATTTTTTGGAACATTATAAGATTTGATTTTGCGTTGTTTTTTTTTGTGATAATCCTTATAAGGCAAAATAAAGATATGTACCTATGTAATATTAAAGTAAACGTAAAGAAGCATGGTACGCCTTTGTTATTCATTTTTTGAGTCACCCTGCATAAGTAATTCTGAAATTTATAAGAGGATTTATTCGGCAAAATTTTGAGATAACGTCATCAATTGTTTGGAAGGCGATAAACGAATAAGTTTTGATGAACGATTTACGGTGATTACGATAACCTTCAAAAGTTCGTAAAATTTCAGAGCATTCGGAATTGCAGTTTTAAAGGTTTAAAATGTTGTTATACATTTTTGATTATTTTTTCCAAAAATCTGGATGAGTAGGCTGGTAAAAATTGAACATGCATTCATAAACCACATGTGAAGGACTATCTTATTTTGTAAAATTGAAATAACATTTTTATTAATGTAAATTTTGGAGATGACGTCATGCTATTGGTGGTGGGGATGTTTATCCAAATTTTGGTTAGCGTTTACCATCTACACAATATTCCTAATGCACATATAAAATGCGACAACAATCGGTGTAGGTACTAGTTTCGGAGATAATCTGCGTAATAAAAATTCAGACAGACTACAGACAGACAGGCAGACAACATGAACATGGTTTCGCCGTTTTTACCAAGAAGCCTCAGAGTGTTGCTTCTCGAGAAATTTTGTCAAAAGAAAGTATGAACCCAACAAAGCTACTTAAACATTTATATAGCAAACATCCAAGAAAAAAAACTTGTGGTATTTTTTGAAATACCACAAGTTCAAAGAACAAGCCAGTTTTCCAGTTAGATCAAAATTTTTGATGTATTAAGAAGAATATGAGAACCCATTATCCAGTTCTATTTGAGTTCTCATGCTGTCTGTCTTTGTTGATGTTTTCAGACACTTGAATATTTTGTACACTAGTATGCAAGGCTAAGGTCTTAATATAATAATAACCACGGATAAAATTATGATGATCAACTTCAAAATTTGATTCATTTCAATACCTTCAAAAACTCATGGCAAGCCAAGTATAGGATGATCAATCTTGACCCTGTTTTTGCAGATATTCAAACCCGTTTCTACAATTTAAAACAATAGATCTGCAATTATCCCTCGCCTCCCTTCCTTTCTCTTAACCGACCCGTGCTTCAGAGCCGCTGGTTTAGATAAATGTACCCCGGATGCGTTTCGAGATGAAAATAAAGCCGAACGAGTTATCCGAACACCGCTATCTGTTTAAAGAGCCAGGACGCGAAATCCCGTGTTTGAGTTAGCTTCAATTTATTCAAAGTAATAACCTGAGCGCCGTCGAGTCAGCCAGTCGCAGCTCCAACGTGAGGCTGTCTCCGGAGGTCAGAAAGCTCTCGGCCAGAGTGCACGGCCTGGGAAATCTGGTCCCGTTGGCCAAGAGGGAATGGTCACAGCTCCGAGGCACGTGCTCCCTGCAGTAGCGCGCCAACAAAGTCACGTTCTTTTTCTTGCCGCCCGTCGTGCCGCTAGATAAACTCGTTCGGGGAATGCCCTTCGATTTATCTCTGCCACTGAAACATATCTGATTTAGGAAGGGACGTAAATACGGCCGATGCAGCCTACGTTGTGTACGCGACCGATTTGAAGAGTACTCTCAGACGAAACACTCACCAGAAGAGGTCGTTGCAGTTGGACGGGGCCCACAGTTGACCGTCCCATACGTTGAGATAGCTACGACACAGCTCTTGGTCGGGCTTTTGGGGGTCCCTTGAGCCAGAGGCGTGGAATTTGACGATACTGAGCCAAACCCGGTAGCGAGGAGGCGGGAGGATCATGCCGGCATGTCTCCAGTCTGGGAAGCGGGAGGAGAGCGGCCGGAACGGAATGGGGGATGGGGAAATCGACGTGTCGATGCCTTGGAGGTGGTAGAGGCAGGTGGTGTTGGCTGGCAAGGAATGTAGAGGACTCTCGAGAACCCCTTTGTTAGTTCCCCTCAGGGAGAACTCGCATTGACGTTTTGTTTTCACGTACGTCGGCGATTGTTGGTCCACAAACTTTACCTGAACGGAGTTGTTCCATTACCTCGTTTCGTAATTTTTACTACTTACTTCTACTTCCAGTTGGAACCCGTGGAGCGCCTGCGACGGTGTAGGATACAGGAAAGTACCATACGGCGACGTGGAGAACTCCACCAGGAGCTCGTGTCCGCTCGATATGGCTTCAGGAACGGATTCGCCGCCTCCGCAGAACTTGAGGATGATCGGATCTCGGGTGGTGTAGCCATCGTAGACGGTGACATAGTCTTGGACGTCGTCGCAGTCGTCCCAGACTTTGAGTTCGCGAGTACTGGCGGTACCGTAAAGAGCGGATTGACTTCTAATGGAAACTAGTTGGCCTTTGAGTTGTCGTACGATGATGAGGGCATGTTTACCCGGTGGAATTTCGTGCTGGCGCACTGCGTAATAACAGGTTAAATTGCGCGGGTAAACCCCCGGGAAATTGGGGGACTGGAGACGGCAGTGCTTCCTATCACAGTCGCTGAAAATTCGGGAACAATATGTACCCGTTATTAAATCTCCCAAGTAGTATTCGGGCTCGGGCTCCGCAGTGGGTGCTGTTGTGTTCAGGAATGGCCGACCTATAACGAGCACGAATTACACGCATAAATCACAAGCGAGATACCGCAAAAAGTGTATTGTTTCAGGGGCTTATTGTAACTGGCGCTTTATTGCTGCAAAATTCGCCGATCTGGACAAAGTTATTGTGTTACGGCGAAGACTTCATTATGCGACAAGGGAAAAAGAAACGATCGGAAGAGATAATCGTTTGGGATACGTGAATGGAGGAACGGCCGTGCAGAAAGGCAAGGGCAGGGGTTGGAGAAATACGCTGATTTTAAAACCTGAGAAGGTTTCTTTCAATAGCTGTTCTCGCAAATATTAATCATCGTTTTTGACTACTTAAATAACCCTGGATAAATCAAATTGATATTTTTAAGCAAAATTGCATATTTTTACGTTTTATAAAAAAAATACTCAAGATTTATAGGACAAATTGATATATCATTGAAAAGGGGAAGGAGAAATGAATAATATTTTTATTTCTTGAGCGCAAGCTAGGGAAGTATAGTAATCGACCCCATCGGCCGACTTGTTACTTTCATATTTTCGCAACGTTTCATGACCTCAAAAGTACGATCCGATTGTTGTCAAGTTTTGTATGTCTATGAAAAAATATCATGCAGAAGGCATAACGCTAACCAAAATTGGGCTAATCATCCCCACCACCAATGGGATGACGTAATTTCCAAAATTTACTATAATTAATTTTTGTGTGAAGTTTTCAACCTAGACAACCAAATTTTTGAAAATTTTGGAATTTCTTATACAAGATGACTCAAAAAAATTAATGAATGAGACAGTTTATTGTATTCATTAAATCAAGAACGACTTATTTTATTTCCCGAAAATTTGACAATACAGTATTCTTATGATTAGTGCTACACTGTACCTATCCAAATTGATATTTGCAAAAATGTGATGTCATCACAAAATTTTGCAATGAGAAAACTTACTTGAAACAAACGCATAGTATGCTTCTTTACATATTTACTTTAATATCGCATACATGTTTTAATTTTAACTTCAATTATAATTATATAATTATCATTATAATTTTTTGAAAAACCTGAATTTATTTACTTTCAACCATTTTTTTTGACATCATAATTTTTTGTTTTTTTAGCGTTAATTTCTTCAATTGTTCAATTTCTCGACTTCCAAATTTTTCAGTTTTTGTTTCCTCAATTTGTCGATTTACAGCTTCATGTTTCGATCTTTCAGTTTCTCAATTTTTAAATTTTCGATTTTTCAATTTTTCGTTGCCTCAATTTTTCAAGTCTTATCTTAGCAAGTACTAGCCCGCCCACCCGCCCTCTATTTTCTCAGAAGATATGTGATTTGCCAAAATCAGTCTTTTCTTACCAAGTACTAGCCCCGCCCACCCGCCCTCTATTTTCCCAGAGTATATGTGATTTGCCAAAATCAGTCTTATCTTACCAAGTACTACTCCCCCCATCCGCCCCCATTTTCTCAAAGGATATGTCATTTGCCAAAATAAGACTTATCTTACCAAAAGTACTAGCAAGTATTACCCTCTGAGAAAATAAAGGGCGGGTGGGCGGAGCAAGAACTTGGTAAGACAAGACTGATTTTGGCAAATCACATATCCTCTGAGAAAATAGGGGCGGGTGGGCGGGGCCTAGTACTTGGTAAGATAAGACTGATTTCGGCAAATGACATATCCTCTGAGAAAATAGGGGTGGGTGGGGCCACGTTTTACTTAGTTTTAAATCTTAGATTCTACCACTTGTCAAAATAGAATTCAACTCCCATTTTACAGTAAATAAAATAAGTTAGCGAAATACGGAAAAGAGGTGGGCGGGGCTGAGTTTAACTTTTATCTAAAGAACCTTATTAGCAAGCAGTAGCACCGCCCACCTATCCCCTATTCATTCTAGTGACCGTCCATATTGTTCAGTCTTATCTTAGCAAGTAGTAGCCCCGCCCACCCACCCCTTATTTTCCCAGAAGATGTAATTTGTTTTTTATTTTTCACTTTCCCAGTTTTTTTAATTTTCATTTTTTCGATTATATTTCACAATTTTTCGATTTTGTAATTTTTCGTTTATTCAATTCTTCAAATTTTCACTCTTTGTTTTTCAATTCTTCGATTTTCCAGTTTTTAATTTTTTAAATTTTGCAATTTTTGGATTTCTCAATTATCAGATTTTCTGGTTTCTTTCATTTTCAATATTTTGAATTTACAATATTTCATTTTTTCGATATTGCTCTTTTTCGATTTTTAAATTTTTCACTTTTTAATCTTTCGATTTTTCAATTTTTCGTTTCATTTTTTTCAAGTTCTTGACTTCCAATTTTTAGATTTTTCAAACTTTTCGTATTATACTTTTTGGTTTTTTCATTTTTGATTTTTCACTTTTACAATTTTACAAGTTTTTAATTTTTTTATTCAAAAAGTTGAAACATGGAAAAAGTGGAAAACGAAAAATTGCAAACATTGGAAAACCCAAAAATTATAAAATCGAAAACCATCCAAATTTCGAAAATTTGAAAAGTTAAATATCGAGTAATTGAAAAATTGGATAAATTAAGAAGTCAAAAAATCCAATTGAAAAATGAAAAAATCTAAAATCGTAAATTTGGAAGATTGAAAAATTTTTTAAATTATGATTATTATTACATTTTTAAAGAAACCTGGCAAATCAAACATTGAAGAAACGAAAATTTGAAAAATCCAGAAATTGAAGAAATCCAAAAATTGAAAAAAGTCATTGAAAAAAAGAAAAATTAGAAGATCAGAACATTGAAAAACGAAAAAATTAAGAAAGTAACCGAAACGAAAAATCGACAAATTGGAAAATTAAAAACTAAAAACTCGTGAAACTGCAAATCGAAAAATTGCAAAATATAAAAATTGAAACATCCAGATGTTGGAAAACCAAGGAACTGAAAAATTTAAACATGAAAACTCGAAAGTTGCATGTCGTAAAATTGAAGAAACGAAAAATTGAAAACAATGATTTTGAAAAATTTCGGAACATCAAAAAATCGAAAAAATATTTAAATAAAGAAAATAAAACTGATACCTAAACTTGCAATCGAAAATTTGAATAAATGAAAAATTAAAGAATCGAAAAATTGGAAAATTAAGAACTGAAAGTAGGGAAATTTTAAATCGAAAAATGAGAAAATCTAAAAATTGAAGAAACAGAAAAAAATTAAAATTGAAAAAATCGCAAATCGAAAAATTGAAGAAACAAAAAATTGAATAAATTAAAATTGAAAAACCAAAAAGTTATAAAATCGAAACATTGAAAAATCGAGTAACTAAAAAAATAAAGAAAATAAAGAACGTAAACGAAAAATTGCAAATCGAAAAGTTGAAAAATTAAAAATTGAAAACTAGAGAACTCAAATCGAAAAAATGCAAAATGAAAAAAATTAAGTAACGAAAATTTTAAAAAACGAGAAACTGAAAAATCTAAAATTGAAAAACAAAAAATTTCAAAATATAAAAGTAGCAAACTCAAGAAATTGAAAACCGAAGAATAGCAAATCGAAAATTGGAGAAATCCAAAAATTGATAAATTTCATATATAAAAAAAAATAGAAAATCAGAACATTGAAACACCGAAAATTTGAAAGAATTAACAAAGTAATCGAAATGAAAAATTGCAAATCGAAAAACTGAAGAAATGTAAAATTGTAAAATCGATAAATTAGAAAATTAAAAATTGAAAACTGATGAAATTGCAAAATCGAAAAATTTAAACCTCTAAAACTTGGAAGATCAAGAAACTGAAAAATTTTAAAATGAAAACTCGAAGAATTGCATGTCGTAAAATTGAAGAAACAAAAAAAACTGAAAAATTACAAATTGGTAAATTGAAGAAACGAAAAATTGGAAAAATTGAAATTGAAAAATTTCGGAACATTGCAAAATCGAAAATTTGAAGAAAAGAAAAATTAAAGAATCTAAAAATTGAAAAATTAAGAATTGAATGCTCGAGAAATTTTAAATCGAAAAATGGCAAAATCTAAAAATTGAAGAAATAAAAAAATTAAAAATTGAAAACATCACAAATTGAAAAATCGAAGAATCGGGAAATTGGATAAATTAAAATTGGAAAAACAAAAAATTATAAAATCGAAACATTGAACAGTAAAAAAATAGAGAAATTAAAAAACGGAAACGAAAAATTGCAAATCGCAAAGTTAAAAAATTAAAAATTGAAAACTCGAGAAACTCAAATCGAAAAAATGCAAAATCTGAAATTGAAAAAACAAAAAATTTAAAAATATAAAATTTGCAAACTCGATAAATTGAAAACCGAAGAACTGCAAATCGAAAATTGGAGAAATCCAAGTATTGAAAAATTTCTTATTGAAAAAAAGAAAAATTAGAAAATCAGAACATTGAAAAACCGAAAATTTGAAAGAATTAAGAAAATAACCGAAACGAAAAATTGCAAATAGAAAATTGAAGAAATGTAAAATTGTAAAATCTATAATTTGGAAAATTAAAAATTGAAAACTCGTGAAATTGCAAATCGAAAAATCGTAAAATCTAAAAATTGAGACATTCAAAAGCTGGAAGCTGAAATTGAAGAAATGAAAAATTGAAAAAACTGAAATTGAAAAAATTCGCAACATTGAAAAATCGAAAAATTATAAAAATAAAGGAAATAAAGACCCATATCAAAAAGTCGCAAATCGAAAATTTGAAGAAATGAAAAATTAAAGAATCGAAAAAATGAAAAATGAAAAATTGAAAACTCGGAAAATTTTAAATCGAAAAATGGTAAAATATAAAGATTGAAGAACCTAAAAAAATTAAAATCGAAAAAATCGCAACTCGGAAAGTTGAAAAATTAAAAAAATGACAATTGAAAAATTTAAATCATTGTTATTATCGCTACTGGTTTTTACCTTATAGAGGTTATCAGAAAACAAAAATCGCAACATTTTTTTTATAATTTTTCAATGAAGCGGTATTTGTTGAGGTGTGCTTGAGGGGCGATTGAAATAACCTTCGACAATTTTTCATTTAGTTTTTTGTTTAAAATTGTCTGTGTATAATTGATGTTTTAGGGCATTTTTAAAATGTCCCTAATGTCGCCTTCCGCTCTGAGCTGATTTCAGCAGTTTTCAAATAATAGATAAAAGCGGAAGGATTTTTATTCAAATACCAATTTGTCCTATATTGGGCTATTCGAGTAAGTAGTTTTTGAGAGTTCACGTCGCAAAGTTGTTTGCTTCAAGAACTCGTTTTAAAGCGATAGAACGGGATTAACAATCGAAAAGAATTATTAGTCCTCTAGTCGTGTACACACGAGAAGAGCGTCAACGAAGTCGAGACGTTGGCAGCCGTTCCGAAAAGGGATTTGATTCAAATAGGTGTACTTTGGAATGTTTATCTTCGGCGCCAATGTCCACATCGTCTGTGAATACCGAATCAAGACAGTTGGAGCTTGCGAAGGATTATTCCCGACCAGCTTCATGCCTCCGCATGAGCTCGCCTTCCAATTTTTGCATAATCAATAAGATAGTCTCAACTTGTAGCTGACCCTTCCCGGGACTTTATTACTCTAAAGCATCCAAATAATCTCGTCGAGTCTCGTTATTCGAAATAAACGCACCTCCTCCGTATCGAACAGTGGCCAGTTTTCTCCGGAGGAACTTGTACTCCAAACGAAAATCGAAATTGTAACCATTTTGATCTTTGGCAAGGCGGATAAGATTAACATAAATTGTGACGCTTTTCGTTTCGCTGTAGTAGATTGCGGGGACCCACGACGTCCCGCACCAGGATCCTCCCACTTGGGGCCTGCTGGATTCCGTGATTTGTAAGGCACCGTCTGGACAACCGTCGGAAGTGAAAGACACAAAGCGACCCAACGTAAAACTGTCGAACGTCAGCTGAAAAAGAATTCGCTCACTTAAGGATCTGTTTAAGGGTGAAACACATGATAAATGACAGCAGTGATATTACGGAGACGAGTGGTTGTAAAGTGGCTATTTTAGCTTTCGCGTCACCGATTTTCGTATTAAGATGGCTCAAATGTTCGGTTTGAATTTCCGCGGCAAGTGAGCCGGAACCGCTCGTTTTATAACTTTTCGTAATTTTGTCTGTGTTTGGTGTCGGAGTGGAGTTCGGTGACGCTCCGTGGAAGACAAGCAGCGTCGGCACATACCTCGAAGCCTTAATATTTCATCAAACGTTCAAACGCTGCTACAAAGGAAACCTATTCATATCTGGAGGAAGATACCGGCGCGTTGCTTTTTATTATTTTTTAACTTCTAGTTCTCGAGGGTGTTTTTTTGTCAATCTTTCGCTAACCGCTTTCAATGGAGCTTTCAACGTCTCGGTGACAGCTCGAGGTGATGTCAACGCCGCGCCGGTATAGAACCTTTTGATTTGTTCTATTTAGGTCGTCTCTGAGTCGAAAAAGGAAATAAATCAAACCCGGGGCTTAATTTTTCGAGCAAGGATGCAAGTTGACACAAACAGGATTCGCGTGCCTGCGGTCGACCGGTGCAGGATGTATGTAATGCGGTGCTTCCGGAGAATTTTAATCTCGGCTGCCGCAGTCGAAAACACGCCGTCGTGCATTTAAATCGTCGTCTGCGATGTCCTGCCGGCGTAAATTTCAACCCTCTTCAAAAAATCTCAGGATAAATACGCGTCTGTCCGATGGAATTTCAACGTGGCCGTCGCCGCTTTTTTACAAATGGATAGCGCGTCCCGAAGGATGCCTCTGTTGTGAAGATATCCCGTATCTCGATGCAAATGAAAAGCGGGAGTTGGGAGTTGTCCGTGAAACTTTTCATTTTATTAATGGATCTCTTCCGAAACGGTTAATTTTTGAGCGAGCAGCGCAATAAAGACTCATTACTCAAATTTCACCTAAGCGGGAAGGGGTGCCCGTAATGCCATATAATAGCGAAAGTTTAGCCGGATTCATGCATATTAATGAATGACAATTCCAGAGATATCAATGAGATAACGAGCAGAATTTGAAGAACAAGATTAACGCGAACTATTTGCTCCAATTTGCTAACTTGAGTTGAACAGCCGAGCTGATGAGATCGCATTTGCCCATAAACAAAAGCCATTTCCGTACTTGCGAGCTCTTCAAAATTGGCGTTTGATTAGAGAGCACGGAGCAGAGTCTGCTGAATGGCGCAGTCGAACGGATGGCGAAGTACAATTCACGTTAAACGTATTTTCTCAAATTGTTGAAAATTTTCAACAGATTTATAGACATTGTCCGTTTCGTGACGTCAGCCACCGCTTCGCCCGGTATCTGTCTTTTGAATGCTCCATTTACATATCATTTTACCCTTCACTTCGCTACTAAATTCTGCGTTGCCCCAGGCGAGTGTAACTCCATACACCAATTCGCTTTTTCGAGAGCGCCTATTTGCATCACGATTTGAACACTAGAAATTAATATGCATCGTAGCTTTAGATTTACATTGCAATAAGTTTCTAAACTAAACACGACTGCTAGTGTAACACGAGTGTGTAATTACGCAGCCTTGAATTATGAACCACCCGTGCATGGTACGTTCGCAGCGAATATTATTCCGTTATTCTGAACAAGGCGAATTAAAAGCCATCAAATTTATGGGTACTACACTGTAAAATGATTCGATTAAAAAGCTCCACCTAATCTAATCCAAGCTTTCAGACACCTGCGCATCCATATACGTATTATTTAATTAAATCTCACTCGAGCTTTAATATGAGCACTTGACTTCCGTAACTTTGTTGCGGAATTTAAGAACCGTCAAGCTAGAAAAATTAATTAGACTCCTGCGACTCCGGCGCGGCTTTAGGGATTTTAATCAGGTCTAGTTTGGTACATACCTGGACGAGGTCGCCGAATTCACCCCCTCCGGCCGTGAACGTCAGATGACAGATGAAGGGTATCTTGTCTTCCTTGGGACGATGTAGTTCCAAGTCGTACGTTTTTCCGGCTTCACCGAAATAGGTGCGATTACAACCTGAAAAAACATTTTGCTTCATCGATCGAATAGATGGGGTTTTCCTGAGTGTTCGAGGAAAGTCGCAACTTGAAGAAGTGGCCGCGAGCGCTTAAAAGCCATAAATCATGCTCTGAGAGGCTCTGCTCCTGACCCGGGTAATAAATTCGATACTTCACCTCTTTTAGCCATTCATATAATGTTTGCCTCCGGTGTCCCGCGAGACTTTAATAATGAGACGAGAAAAGTTTGCAGGGTAATGGATAATCGTTTAATTGATGTGGCGCTTGTTCAGGTGGATGCACACACCTATAGTCCGTTTACCGAACAAATGGAGTGATCACGTGGCGTGAGCGTCAAAATAAGAACAATCATTGATCAGCGTTTTTAGCAGTAACGAAAAACTTCTCTTCCAAGATAAACGTAATGTTCCAATTATTTTTATTTCCCCTCGCTGCGAGCAGGATCCAAGACGGGACTAACGTCATTTTTTAATCTTAAAAACCGTAATATGATGCCAGTTTAGAGCTTTATCAACCGTCAGAAATGTTAAACGGGCGTAACTAACACTCGTTTACATTCTATTTATTTTTTATAAAAACGTTTACACTCGCGTGCTTGTTATCTCTTAATTTTGTTTAATTTACGAGGTCCGCATCTGCTTGTTCTTTTTTGAACAGATTTTGCTGCGCTTTTAGAGTTAACTAGTCGGAATTTCGTTTTTGTTTTTCGGAATTTCCTTCAACTTGAGTGGATTAATAAAGACTTGGCATTTTCGTCTTCAATAGAAAATTTAATCAACTATTCAGATTCGTTTTTGTAAAAGCCCGATTGATCTTAAGTTCGCTTGTATTGCAGACGAAGACGGTGCAAATAAACAATCTGATTAATGAATGAATTTTTAAAGCTTGTGCTGCGAATGAGTTTTAATTAATCTCGTTCTTGTTGCAGATTTTTTACTGAGCTGTGTTTGACACGATCTGTTGAGGAGGCTTATTTGAGCCGGGTAAGTGTAATTGCATTTTTTCTTTTTTACATTGTGTTTTGTTTTGTCGAGACTAAATTGACACAAAAAGCAGTTTGTTATTTTTCATTTAAATTAGAAAGCTTACAAATGTAGGGCGATTTGTTCTCTACGTAACTTCACTGTTTCTGCTTCGTTAAGTAACGTGAATTTATATTGGCAAACATACGCTCTGTTTTACCTAACATTCTAGTACAGTATAACCTCGATAATCCGAAATAATTGGGGAAAGGTGTGTTCGGAATAGCAATTTGTTCGGATCTGCGAATTTCCCAAAAAACTGAAAGGGAATTGAATAACAACTTCATACACTGCTGAAAACAAATTTCAAGAAATAAACCTTAATTTTATTAAACAGAAATAAAGTATTCTTAACCAACCTTGGAGAATAGATACATTCGAAAAAAATATTACTCAGTGACTATAACACGTCGGGATCTATATCTCTGAATTTAATCAAAATTTTTAGATGAATTTTTCAAAAATGAAATTTCCCATAATGTATTCATATTACCCCCCTTGTGCAAATTTCGACCCATTCTCGACAATTTTCGAAATTTAACTAAATACTTTCATGTAGATTTTGGGCCGCAGAAGTCACTTCTGACTTCATTTCTTCGTTAACTCAAACCGTTTTTCCAGAATCGTCCATTGAAATATCGCAATTTTAAAAATTTCAAAAAAATTAAATTTCACACCGAATTTTCCGGAAATATTGCTCCGTTACCATAAACATGCTATATAGCACGTCGGGATATATATACATCTCTGAATTTTTTTAGAATTTTTAGACAACTTTTTCAAGAATGAAATTTTTCACCATGGTAGTACCTACTTGCCAAATAACCTACCCCCTAAGAAAATAAAAGGCGGGTGGGCCAGGCTAGTATTTTCCAAAATAAGAGTCATTTTGACAAATGACTCTCTTCTAAGAAAAGGTACTATTCCCGCCCACCCACCCTTTATTTTCTTAGAAGAGTAGGTCATCTTCCAAAATCAATCTTATCTTGGCAAGTATGACACTTATTTTTGCGAATGACATATTCTTTAAAAAATAAGGGTGGGTGGGCGGGGCAAGTACTTGTCAAGATAAGACTGATTTTGGCAGATGACCCACTCTTCTAAGAAAATAAGGGGTGGGTGGGCGGGGCTAGTACTTGTAAAGAGTGATATTGGCAAATGACATACTCTCTAAGAAAATAAGGCAGGGTGGGCGGGGGGCTAGTACTTGCCAAGATAAGACTGATTTTGGCAGATGACTTATTCTTCTGAGAAAATAAAGGCTGGGTGGGTGGGGTTAGCACTTGCTAAAAATAAAAAAAAATAAAAATCAAAAATTGACATTGAAAAATCGGATAAATGAGAAATCGGAAAATTGTACAACTGTATAATCGAAAAATCAAAAACTGAAATATCGAAAAATTAAAAAAAAACAAATTTCATAAAATCGAATTCGAAATTCCAGTTTTCATTTTTTTTAGTTTTTAGATTTTTCAACTTTTGCATGTTTCATTTGATAATTTGTTTGACAATTTTCCACTTTTTAATTCCAATCTTTTGATTTTTCAAGTTTTAACTTTACAAGTTTTTAATTTTTTGATTTTTAATTTTTCAAGTTCTCAAGTTAAAATTTTTCCTTTTCACGATTTGTCATTTTTCGATTTTTTAACTAAGAAGAACAAATTTATTCGAACCGAAATTTTGAAAAATCGAAAATTATAAAACAAAATTTTCAAATGTTTTAAAGTTACGGTAAACATGGTAAATCTCTGATCAAAATTATTTTTACTCCCTCTCAAGAACTCGGTAACAAAAAATCAAAAATCGAAAATTAAAAAAAATAAACATCTATTTTCTCGATATTTTTAAAAATCAAATAATTGAGAAATCGGAAAACTGCCAAAATTGTAAAATTAAAAAATCGAAAGTTTTTTTCAGTTGCCCAGAGAAATCAAAAATCGAAAGACAGATCAAAAAATTGAAAATTTAAAAAGCGAGAAATTGAAAAATTCGAAAGTCGAAAAATCAAAAAACTGAAAAATCAAGTAGTTCTCACAACGATAAGACTGATTTTGGCAAATGATCTATTCTCTTAAGAAAACAAAGGACGGGTGGGCGGGGCTAGCACTTACCAAATAACCTACCCTCTAAGAAAATAAAAGGCGGGTGGGCCAGGCTCGTATTTCCCTAAATAAGAGTCATTTTGGCCAATGACCTACTCTTCTAAGAAAAGCTACTATTCTTTAAAAAATAAGGGTAGGTGGGCGGGGCAAGTACTTGTCAAGATAAGACTGATTTTGGCAGATGACCCACTCTTCTAAGAAAATAAATGGTGGGTGGGCGGGGCTAGTACTTGTCTAGATGAGACTTATTTTGGCAAATGACATACTCTCTAAGAAAATAAGGGAGGGTGGGCGGGGAGCTAGTACTTGCCAAGATAAAAAATTGAAAATTTAAAAAGCGAGAAATTGAAAAATTCGAAAGTTGAAAAATCAAAAAACTGAAAAATCTAGTAGTACTCACTACGATAAGATTGATTTTGGCAAATGATCTACTCTCTTAAGAAAACAAAGCAAATCTTATGAAATCGAAATCGAAATTCCAGTTTTTATTTTTTTTTAGTTTTTAGATTTTTCAACTTTTGAATATTTCATTTGTGATAATTTGTTTGACAATTTTCCACTTTTTAATTCCAATCTTTTGATTTTTCAAGTTTTAACTTTACAATTTTTTAATTTTTGGATTTTTAATTTTTCAAGTTCTCAAGATAAAATTTTTTCTTTACACGATTTGTCATTATTCGATTTTTTAACTGAAAAGAACAAATTATTCGAACCGAAATTTTCAAAAATCGAAAAATCCAAAAACTGAAAATTACAAAACAAAATTTTCAGAAGTTTTAAAGTTACGGTAAACATGGCAAATCGCGGATAAAAATTACTTTTTACTCCCTTCCAAGAACTCGGTGACAAAAAATCAAAAATCGAAAATTAAAAAAAATACACATCTACATATTTTCTCGATATTTTTAAAAATCAAATAATTGAGAAATCGGAAAACTGCCAAAATTGTAAAATAAAAAAATCGAAAGTTATTTTCAGTTGCCCAGAGAAATCAAAAATAGAAAGACAGATCAAAAAATTGAAAATTTAAAAAGCGAGAAATTGAAAAATCGAAAAACTGAAAAATCTAGTAGTACTCACTACGATAAGACTGATTTTGGCAAATGATCTACTTTCTTAAGAAAATAAAAGGCGGGTGGGCGGGGCTAGCACTTGCCAAATAACCTACCCTCTAAGAAAATAAAAGGCGGGTGGGCCAGGCTCGTATTTCCCAAAATAAGAGTCATTTTGGCCAATGACCTACTCTTCTAAGATAAGGTACTAGCCGCGCCCACCAACCCTTTCTTTTCTTAGAAGAGTAGGTCATCTGGCAAAATCAATCGTATCTTGGCAAGTATGACACTGATTTTTGCAAATGACATATTCTTCAAAAAATAAGGGTGGGTGGGCGGGGCAAGTACTTGTCCAGATAAGACTGATTTTGGCAGATGACCCACTCTTCTAAGAAAATAAAGGGTGGGTGGGCGGGGCTAGTACTTGTCAAGATGAGACTGATATTGGCAAATGACATACTCTCTAAGAAAATAAGGGAGGGTGGGCGGGGGCTAGTACTTGCCAAGATAAGACTGATTTTGGCAGATGACTTATTCTTCTAAGAAAATAAAGGCTTGGTGGGTGGGTGCTAAAAATAGAAAAAATTGAAAATCAAAAAATGACATTGAAAAATCGAATAAATGAGAAATCGGAAAATTGTACAACTGTATAATCGGAAAATCAAAAACTGAAATATCGAAAAGATCTTATAAAATCGAATTCGATATTCCAGTTTTCATTTTTTTTAGTTTTTAGATTTTTCAACTTTTGCATGTTTCATTTGATAATTTGTTTGACAATTTTCCACTTTTTAATTCCAATCATTTGATTTTTCAAGTTTTAACTTTACAATTTTTTAATTTTTTGATTTTTAATTTTTCAAGTTCTCAAGATAAAATTTTTTCTTTTCACGATTTGTCATTATTCGATTTTTTAACTAAAAAGAACAAATTATTCGAACCGAAATTTTGAAAAATCGAAAAATCCAAAAATTTAAAATTAGAAACAATTTAAATTTAAAAATCAAATAATTGAGAAATCGGAAAACTGCCAAAATTGTAAAATAAAAAAATCGAAAGTTTTTTTCAGTTGCCCAGAGAAATCAAAATTCGAAAGTTGAAAAATCGAAAAATTGAAAAATCTAGTAGTACTCACTACGATAAGACTGATTTTGGCCAATGACCTACTCTTCTAAGAAAATAAAGAAAAGGTCATCTGCCAAAATCAGTCTTATCTTCGCAAGTATGAGACTGATTTTTGCAAATGACATCCTCTAAGAAAGCAAGGGTGGGTGGGCGGGGTTAATGCTTGTTAAAATAAGACTGATTTTGGCAGATGACCCGCTCTTCAAAGAAAATAAAGGGTGGGTGGGCGGTGTTAGTACGTAGGTCATTTTCCAAAATGGCAAATACTAGTCTGGCCCACCCGCCTTTTATTTTCTTAGAGGGTAGGTTATTTAGCAAGTACTAGCAAATTTCGACCCATTTTCGACGATTTTCCAAATTTAAAAAATAATTCTTGTAGATTTCGGGGCGCAGAAGTCACTTCCGGCTTCATTTCTTCGATATAATTAACAGTGACATTGGAAGTCAAAGTAAATATGCATTTGCATAATAATAACTTTAACCTTTTTTCCAGAACTAGATAATTAATTCAGTGCATTGAAATATCACAATTTTTAAAAATTTCAAAAAAGTAGGTGCATGTTTTCAAGTTCAGTTGCAGAGTTTTTGTTTGGATTAGAGAGATATCTACTTCAACTAGCCTTTGTTCGGATTACTGGATGTTCGGATAATCGTGGGTTCGGATTGTGGAGGTTATACTATA